TGAGATGTACTTAAATCTACGTAGTGACTGTGTGCAGGTAGGTTTTCACCTGAAATCGTTTTACTTCCGCCTGTTTCCTTTGAAGAGTTTGCACAATACAAAAACCTGTCGACTATTTGAGTCCAAGTTCCGAGACCAAGTACTACTTCTGGTCTGGTAGAGTTCATTGACGTATAAATAGAGCCTATAGGATATAATGTTTGAAGTATTTCTGTCTTTAACGTTTGAAGCTCTGTTTTGTCAGCTTTCTTATCTAACTCATCGTTAACATATGTTTTGTCAGCTTTCTTATCTAACTCATCGTTAACATATGTTTTGTCAGCTTTGTTGTCATATAAATCTTGAGCAGTGAATTTAACTTTGTTTTCATCCTCCATGACATAGACATTTCTACATCTAGTGTATTTCATCGTCGTTATGTCATCCTCCGATGTTAAACCTTGTGGAAAGTTAGGAGGTTTCCAATTTAATACATCCCCAGTTTCTTCAACCGTTCCTTCAATATTTTCTATACCAACAGTTGCGAAGAAATCGTGTGTATGGTTCTTATCTGCCTTCTTTTCAAGGCTAACGTTTAAGTCTGTTATTTCAGAAGATGTATGTGTATGTCCAACGGCACTTTTACTGTTTAAGGTTTCTTGTAAGTTTGTAATATTTGCAATGGTATGTGTATGTCCAACGGCACTTTTACTGTTTAAGGTTTCTTGTAAGTTTGTAATATTTGCAATGGTATGTGTATGTCCAACGTCACTTTTCCTGTTTAAGGTTTCTTGTAAGTTTGTAATATTTGCAATGGTATGTATATGAGTCTTTTTAGAATATTCTTTGTCAGCTCTTGTCACTTCACTTGACATTTTATTGTCAACATATGTTTTGTCTGCTAGTTCAGGATGAGTATGTTCTTTCGTTGCATATGTTGCATCTGCTCTGTCATGTTCTTCTTGAACTTTTTCAATGACATACTCTTTGTCAGCTTTGTTGTCAACATCTGCTTTCAAAAGAAGTTCTTTTATAGGCTTCTCGTTTAAAGTTCCTTTGTTGGATTTACACAGACAGTATGGTTCTTACTGTCTTGAAACAGAAACTCATCTGTCATTGGGTTTATCGTCAGTTTTAAGTTTCCTTCTTTCAATGACTCAGATATCTTAGAATAGTTTGAAAAGTTTGTTGTTTCTTATTTAGAGCTTGCAAAATGAGTTGTCGGTTGTGTTGTATTTCTCTCATAGACGCTGTTTCTTTCGACATTTTTATTCTAGATAAAATATGCTTTCAATAGAAAAAGAAAATTCAAGAGTTGCTACAACTAAACCATTAGATGAACTTTTTACTAATGTCGGTCAAAAGTTTGAGACAGAGACCGTAAAGCATGAAGGCTATCGTTTTGACTACCCATTAAGATGGCTAAGAGACCCATCTGTCACAAAAGCTATTGGCTTTCGTAGAATGAAGTTTGTGTCTGTAGAAGATAAAAGTTTTCCATTTATTGTAAGGTTTCATATAGATTATATATCTGAAGGGAAACGAAAAATGTGGGAAGAAATTGAGCTAATACAAGTTGACCTTTCATCTTCTCTACAGACTGCGTTAAAAAATATAGAAGATAAAATAAATTCATGTTATGCAAAATATGCTGATGAATATGCAAATACCGAGAGCACACTTTATGTGAGAATTGTATATGACAAACAAAATTCACAAGTGTCATTTCAAATCTACGAAGACAATCCAAAGAAAGACGAACAAATATATACAGAATTCACTGCAATGTCATGGTATTATTTGCAAAGAATGTTAAATCAGAAAGTCAAACTTCCTTTAGCAAATATTTACAGTCGATATGCAAGAGATGAACCATATTTATTTAAAGATGTTTCGACCCAGCTGCTATTATTGTTCATGCTTCATTTTCTGGCGCTCAAAACTCTTTCTTATGCTTGGCAAATGACTTTTACGAAAAACCTACAAAGTTATATGAACCACCAAGTGGAAGTATTTCAGACTTTCAAGTATGGTTTACTACAGATGGAAGAAAAAGAATAATTCCATTATACCATGCGTTTTACTTAGAACTTAGTTTCATATACAACTACTATCGAACGGTAAAAATATAATTTTTTAATACGGTTGAGGTGTTGGATTTGGTTGCCAACTTGACTGTGGTGCAGGTTCAGGCTGTTGTATTACAGGAGCTTGTTCTTCTGGTTCAGGGTCTTTAGGTATAATACCAACAAACTGACCTACCCTTTTACCAATATTTTTGACTCCGTTCCAAATTCCTCTTCCTACGGTTTTTATTCCATTCCATATACCTCTTCCAACATTTCGAAAGAAGTTTCCTATCTTACTGAAGAAACCCATTTTACTATATGTAAAAATCTAATGTCCGCCTAGTCTCTTACGTTTCCTGTTGAGTTCCATAGCATTCTTTAACTGGAGCTCATACATTCTATTTCTCCTCTGGTAGAAAACATATTCTGGGTCAACTCCTGTGTTCGCGTCATCTGCATAGAGTTGTTTATATCCCACTTCAGGGTTTGTATAAAACTCTTTCCATCTCATATTTGCATACCATGGTGGCAAACCTAACGCAGCGTCATTTGACATGGCAGTTTGCATTTGTACATCTGTTGGCACTTGACCATAGTTTGCCATTGCAGTTTGTATTCTAACTTCATTTGGAATATTCTCTGGGTTTGGTTGTCCAGGTTGCTGTGCATTCGCTAAGTTCTGTGCGTCCATTTAATATTAGATAAAAATATCTCTTACGAGTACATATACTGAACATTTGCAGGCATTGGTTCATCTTCATATTCTCTATATCTTTCTGCCACGTCAAATAAGTAAATGACACAATGGAAAAAACCTAAAACAAGTAGTCCTATTTCAAACCACATTTACTTACTAGTAAAATTTCTTTGTTATGACACTTTCTCCGGTTTATAGGACCTCTCTCATATTCTATCTTATCGTATCTAAACTCATAGTCATGTATGTCCTCTAACCATCTCATGACACTTTCCAAACCACTTTTATCGGATGTAAAGTAAAAGCATGGATGGTTATGTAAAACGTCTAAAGTTTCTAAAGAGTCTCTCAAAGTCCAGTCTACTTGGTATTGAAAATCATATGTGTTATAGAACGGCGGGTCTACTATAAAGAAAACATTTTCCTTGTCTTTATATTTTTCATACAACTCTGTCCAATGACATCTCACAAACTCTATACCCTCAGTATATTTTTCTATGTCCTCTTTGAAAACATTTGTATAGTTAAGATATAAAACGTTTGACATAAGTGTTTCAATGTCATGAACTCTTATAGAACCACTATACAATAGTCTAGAAGATATACTATCCCAGTCAATATACTCTGCTTTTTTCAAAACCTCTCTGACAATATTTTTCTTATCTAATGGTATACGTTCCATCTTACCTATAGGTATCTTTTCTTTTAACTCTTTCAATATTTTGTTTGTGTCTGGTATATGTTTGAGACGGTTCATATAGTTGTCGAAGTCATTGCATATAATCTTTGAGTCAGGAAATACAGTATGGCACAAATGAGATATATAGAAACTTCCACCGAACAAATCTACAAATGTTAGACCATTCGGTAGTTTCTTAAGTTCTCTCAATAGAATATCTTTACATCTACTCTTATTTCCAAAGAAGGGTAACGGTGGTTTTGTAAAATTCATTTTATATATATAATAAAAATGTTTTTACCTGAAAAGTGACAGAAAAGCGGTTTTTGACAGATGTTTTATTGTGACTTCTTCGTAAAGACTTTGTTGAGATTTCTTCGTAAATGAGTGTAAATGACCCAAAAATATATTTTAGGGTAGAAGGGTATATCTACCCCGTTTTCTACCCTCTTTTCTACCCTCTTGAATTTTCATGAATTTCTTCGTAAAGACTTTGTCAAGACTTCTTCGTAAAGACTTTGTTAAGACTTCTTCGTAAAGACTTTGTTGAGACTTCTTCGTAAAGACTTTGTCAAGACTTCTTCGTAAAGACTTTGTTAAGACTTCTTCGTAAAGACTTTGTTGAGACTTCTTCGTAAAGACTTTGTTGAGACTTCTTCGTAAAGACTTTGTCAAGACTTCATCGTAAAGACTTTGTTGAGATTTCTTCGTAAATGACCCTAGTAGTATATTTTTGGTGTAAATTTCATGAAAATTCAAGAGGGTAGAAAAGAGGGTAGAAAACGGGGTAGATATACCCTTCTACCCTAAAATATATTTTTGGTGTAAATTTCATGAAAATTCAAGAGGGTAGAAATGAGGGTAGAAAACGGGGTAGATATACCCTTCTACCCTAAAATATATTTTTATTGAATTCTGTATAAAATTCTGAGTAAAATGACAGATGTTTATATGACCCTTACTTGTCCGGTTTATAGGACCTCTCTCATATTCTATCTTGTCGTAAATAAAACTCACAGTCATGTATGTCCTCTAAACTTCATTTATACTAAACATCTTCAGGGCTAGAAGGCACGAAGTGCCTGGAAGCCCCACTACCTTTTTTTTTTTTTTTTTTTTTTTTTTGTATACATCATTAGATGATGGATATTTTGTCAACATACAATAAAAGAGAAATTTGTTTCATTAATTCCTTCTATTTTAGGTCCATCCGACTGAATTTAATATTTCGGATAGTTTGAAAGTTACGATCAAAAAAATTAATGAGTGAGGGAATTGTTCAGGATTACGAATATATTGCCGCTCATATCAAAGAATACATTGATGAAAATAAGTTATTTGATACTTTCGAAAGAGAAGATATCAAAAAAATCATGAAATTTACAAAAGATTTGGAATAAAAGACTTCATTAATCTTCTGAAGCAGTCGCATCCTTCAGTTAAGGCAAAGGAATTATATGCCTTTACTCGTAATGCTAATGTTGCTATTCATAGCAAAGAAGATGAAATTTCAATTCTAAAATCAATTAAGAAATATTTTAAAACAGGATTGCTTGGTGGCGTTATTGAATTTTTAATGCAATCAGAATCTGAATCTCATGAAAATGCAGGCACACAACCTCAAAACAGTGACAATGAAAAAGAAAATCAAAAAAAGGATAATGAAAAAGAAATTTTAGAAAAGATTGCAGAGCTTAAGGGATCAGATGATTTTAGGCAAGTCTATGGTTTATTTGAAGCTCTTGCATATCAAAACAATCAAAAAATGATTGCAAAAGCATGTGAAGAAGGACTTTGGGAAACAAAAACTCCTCGAAAAGAAGTTTTTGATGATACAAAGAATGTTCTTCATGTTGCTGCTGAAAAAGGAAATCTCAATCTTGTAAAATCTCTTATTGAATGTGGCTGCGACAAGGAATCAAAGGATGGTATTGGAGAAACTCCACTCTTTCGTGCTTCGGGCCAAGGACAACTTGAAGTCGTCAAATATCTTCTCTCTATTGGAGCCAACAAAGAAGCAAAGAATAAATACGATTCTTTTCCAATAATCAGTGCAGCATTTTGTGGTCATGTTGAAGTTGTCAAAGCTCTTATTTCTGCTGGAGCTAAAAAAGATGCAAAAGATTCTCGCGATACAACACCACTTATTAGTGCATCAAAATTCGGCAACACTGAAGTTATTAAATATCTTCTCTCTGTTAAAGCCAGTAAAGATGCTACAGATCATGACGGAAATACAGCGCTCAGTTGGGCATCAAGCAATGGTCATCTTGAAATTGTTAAACTTTTAATCTCTGCTGGTGCTAAAAAAGATGTTAAGGACAGATATGGATGGACTCCACTCATTCGTGCATCGCAAAAAGGATATCTTGAAGTTGTTAAATATCTTATTTCTGCTGGTGCTGATAAAGAGGCAAAGGATAAAAGTGGAAATACTCCACTCATTCATGCATCAGAAAAAGGTCAACTTAAAGTTGTCGAATATCTGATCTCAGTTGGAGTTAAAAAAGATGTAAAGAATAAAAAAGGACAAACAACACTCTCAGTTGCATCTCCAAATGTCAAAGGATATCTCATTTCTGTTGGAGCCAATTAATCCAATATCAAAAGAATTTAATTTTTAAACAAAATCATTTTTTAAATGTACTCATTTGTTTTTAATAGACAGCTGATATTGATTAAACTCATAAAAATATTTCAAGCAATGGCAAGAAGACGTCATAAAGTAGATGCTTCAATAAAATCCCCATTGTTTTCGATCTTCATAAAATCAATTAATACTATGATTATTTGATTAAGCAAAATTTATCTACAATATACAGAGTGAACATATCCAATAAGAAAAATCAAATTGAAGTAAAATTATTAGACGTTTACAAAAAATTAATAAACGATTTCTCTAAGAACAATAATGTCGTATAAATTTAAGCTCGAACTCGATAATAACAGTATAGATTGTAGTATAACAATCATTAACGAGGGAGAAATGAAAATAGAAGCGAATGATCCTATTAACTATCAAAGATGGCAAGGATTAATTGGCGTAGATTATTTTAATAAGCTTGCAAGCAAAACTGTCATCAGAGACCCGAAGGGATGTGCTAAAATCGTTAAAGATTCACTTGAATTAAAAATCGGATGCGATATCAAACTTAAATATGCAAAAGATTTTGAACAGACAGAAACTATAACAGACGCATTACTACTCATCATTAGTATCAACAAATACGTCAATATTAATTTGCCTTTTCTTCTTTTACCCAAACCATATTCAATGCAAGAATTAGTCGACATTATCAAAGATTTAAAGAAAAATCAAGGATCAGGACTTGCTGCTGAAAACAAAATCATACAAAAACAGTTATACGAACAAGCGCAAGCATTCTTCGTCGAAAAACAAGATTTAAATAATCAAATTCAAAAGCTACAGCAAGAAAACAAAGACTTAAAGGAAGAGCTATCTAAGAAAGAAAAACTTATTCGAACACTTCAAGAACCAATACACACCAAAGCACAGACATCTACATATACAAACAGACGATCAGCAAGTCCTAGATCAAATTCACTTGTTGAACGTCAAAAGCAACTCGAAAGAAGCAGACAGAACACAACAACTCATACTAGACAGATATCAGGACCATATAAAACTAAACGCTCTGAATCTGCAAATTCGAGAAGTTCTTCTGCAAGAAATTCGGCCAGAAATTCTGCAAGGAGCTCAGCTGCTGCTTCAAGAAATAATTCTGTTGTTAATTCTCGTAATTCATCAAGAAATAACTCCGTTAATAGTTCGAGAAGAAATTCAGCCGCAAATTCATCAAACAGCTCTAGAAATTCATCTGCAAGATCTTCCAGAAGCTCAACACCAACGCATTCACGTCCATCATCGCGTAGTGGCAATATTCCATTCAAGAGATTCGATCCAACTGAATGGAAACGCCAAAAAGATTCAGCAAGAAGATCAGCATCTCCTGCAAGGAAGAGTTTTTATTGATATTTTGTATTATTTATTTTTATATTGTTGTTAATTAAATTATATTTTGTTTTGTTAGGTTATTATCTCATATTTAACTAATACTAGGAAAGAGAGGAATGAAGACTTTAATTTTTTTTTCCTGATGATGAATTTGTTTTCATTCTATGGAATCATATTGCACTGGGAAATATTTCTTGCCTGAGTAACTCATTGAATATGAATAGATCTATTACTAACTATAATTTTCTATCTAAATAAGAAGTAGAGTGAAAATAAAAAACGTAATTAAAAAAAATTAAATTTTAAAAAATTCTATCTAAAAAAAAAGACTTACTGTGTGAAACCGAACTTAGAGAGAATATCCTTGACAGCTGGGAATACCTCCTTAGCGATCTTCATTGTCATTACAGAGACAGCAGTTGAAGCTGGGGCCTCAGCAGCCTTAGCGTTCTTCTTCTTCTGCTGTGACTTCTTTGGAGCGATGACGTTGAATGGCTGGCAAGCTGGAGCATACTTAGGAATGTTAGCAGCAGCGACGCCTTCCTCCTTCATCTTCTTGACCTGTTCATCGTACTCCTTCTTTGACTGAGCGTTGAGTGGCTCGAAAGCAGCGTTGATCTCCTTAGCGAGCTTGTCAGCGATGTCCTGCTGAACCATGCCAACGATGTATGTTGGGCCCTGGACTAAGATAGACTTGTTTGCCATCTCTGGGAACTGCTTGCAGGCCTCATCGATACCCTTGATGAATGATGTACCGTTCTCTTCGCTTCTGATGACTACGTGCTTGTCACCTGGCTGGTAAGCGCAGCACTTGACGAGGAGAGAGATGACCTGGTCAGTCAAAGCCTTGTTCTGTGATGTGAGGGAGTTCTTAGCGGCGAAGAACTTGTTGCAGTTCATCATGATATCAGACTGCTGGCAGCCGTAGACTGTGCAGACATCGTGGATCAATCTCATGTCCTCGCAGGCAGCCTTGATAGCGAGTTTGCCTGCAACGAATGTGCATCTGAAGACACCATCCTGGACAGAGTTGACACCGAGAATACGGATCTGGCCAATCTCAGAAAGGTGTGAAACGTGTGTTCCGCAGCATGCTTCTGTATCAATGCCACCGATATCGACAACACGGATGTCGTTACCTGGAATGGCACCACCCTGGTAGAGAACGAATCCCCACTTGTCTTCTGCCTCCTTTCTTGTGTAGACGCACTTCTTGACAGCGGCGTTTGTCATGATGAGCTCGTTTGCAACGCGCTGGATCTCAAGGACTTGCTCGAATGTTGGTAATGAGTAGTGTGTCAAGTCGATGTGTGATTCAACCTTTGTCTTCTTTGCACCGTTCTGCCAAACGTGTGGGCCAAGAACTCTGCGGGCTGCAGCAGCAACAAGGTGTGTAGCTGAGTGCTGTGTTCTCATGATTTCACGGACTTCTGGGTCAACGTACATTGTGCATTCTGTGTTTACGTACTTCTCGTCAACATCGCCGTCGACTGTGAAGATGGCGACCTTTCTGACCTTCTCGATGTTCTGGACTTCGTAGAGTTTGTCACCGATCTTGATCTTGCCATCATCGTGTTCCTGACCACCTTGTGTTGGGTAGAGGATTGTGCGGTCGAAAACGAGTTTGTTAGGAGCGAGTAACTTGATGAGCTTGGCTGTTCCCTCGTACTTGTACTCGTTCTCTGGGTAGTTGTAGATTTCCTCTGTGTCTGGGATTCCTTCGACGTTGTACTTCTCGAGTTCAATACCCTTAGCTGTGCGGCACTTGTACTCTTCAAGCTTGATGTAGAGATCATCTGGCTTCTGTAACTGTGAGTTTGGATCATCGACTTGGAAGGCTTCGATGATTTCATCAGCGGAAACACCGTTGGATGTCATCTGTGTGATCCACTCCTGGACTGGGATCTCCTTTCCACGCCACTTGTTGACGAATGACTTGAGGAGCTTGATGGCGTTGGCGTGTGAGTTCTCCCAGCGAGTGAATTCAAGACGGATGACGTCTTCAAGGCAGCGTGTGTTGGAGAATGGGCCGAAGAAGCCTTCGAGACCCTTCATGTGGGCCTTGAAGACATCGATGATGCCATCGACACCGCCGATCTTGCCGAGCCAGTTGTGCTTCTTGATGATATCGAAGACAATACGGAGGATATCACGGATGTTAGCAGCACCACCGTTGTTGGATGGAAGAGCACCATCTTCGATAGCGTAAAGAACTGTTCTTGTGTGGTCGCAGATACGAACGAGGTCGGAGAATTGGCGAAGATGCTGTCTGAACTTGGCAAGTCCGGCCTTGTCGAGTCCCATCTCTTCACCGACCTTGGCCCATGTCTGTTCGATGTGCTGGTTCTCATCGGCATCGAAGAGAGCTGTATTTGGAGCGAATTTTCTGAATTCTGGTGTATCGATTGGGACATCGAGCTTCTGGGAGAGGACTGGAAGGATGTAGTCGAAGACATCGAGGTATGATGTCCAGCCACCGTTGACAAGCCATGGAATACGTTCGAGACCAATGCCGACATCGACGACCTTTGTAGAGATTGGAGAGAATTCACCTTGTGGTGAAACGGTGTATTCTGTGAAAACCATGTTACCGATTTCGAGACCACCGTAGAAGTATTCGACGCAGGCACCGCAGTTGCCACCACCAGCCCAGACATCCTCGATGAATGTGAGCTTCTTTGGATCGAGGTGGAGTGTCTCTGTGCACCATCTGTAGTTGTTGGCGATCAATGTGTCCTTCCAGAAGATTTCTTCTGTTTCACCGAATTGGTTTGGTTCCTTTCTGGCACGGTCGGCGTGGTTGAAGACCTGGATACCGAGCATGTTGAAGCCAGAGTAGTGACGACCTGTGATACCGATGTTATCAAGATCATTGAAACGAAGGCAGAACTGGCAAGCGCAAAGTGGGTTAGCTGGTGGTTCTGACTCGCCAGTAACGCAGAATGGCTGGAAGCAGTAGATACCAGCAGCAACGAAGTCGACATCAGACCTCCAGCGGCAAACGACTGGGTAACGCTTGATGGCTGTGTAAGGAACTGGTGTGTTTGTCTCCATAGACTTCTTGAAATCGAGCCAGGCCTGGAGATATGTAACTCTCTCCTTTGGTGGCTCATCTGGATGCAAGAAGGAGTAGCCTCCTGCACATTCTGAGTCGCCACAGTCTTCACGGTTTGGATCAGCTGTCCAGAACTTCTTGTGGCAATGCTTGCAGGTTGCCTGGTGGAATCCTTGTGATGTTAAGAATTTGTATGGCCATGGATTTCTACCAGAATCTCTGAGCTCAGCAAAGTACTTGCGAGCCTTGGCCTTAACTTCACTTGGTGTTAAGTTAAAGACCTGTGGAGCTTCCTCCTTGGACATTTTCTGAGAAATATGGTCAGAGTTTCCGATCGGTTTCTATCGTTAAAATCTCTTTAGATCGGCTATTTTAAAGAAATGATCTGCACAATGAGAGAAGAAGAATTACTGAAATTAAAATTCGAAATGTTTATTTTTCGATTGATGACACAATTTTTGTCATGTTTTGAAAAGACCTATTTCGCTTTGAATCTTTCACATTCTTTATGCACTACTCAGAGTTTTCCATTGTCTTGTATTGTATTTTGTATATAGGAAGCCTAATTATGTATCATAAATCCGGTAAAAACCTATAATTTAACAATATTATTAAAGAATTGAGCATGATAACCAAAATTTACAAAAGTCTCTTATTATAGATCGATTCAAATAAGGATAATTGGTAATTGTACACTGGAGTTAACAATGATGATGACTTTATTCGTATTACCATCATCTTCTCCAGATCCCATAAATAGTATTACAAAAAACTTTACGAAATATATGAGTATTATATTTTCTATTATTACTATCCGAAATCTATCATCTGAATTGAATCGTTTATTTTTTTTTGAATATCGGAATTCTGGAATAATTATTCTAAGACTCATTAAAAATATAATGATTTCTATTGAACAATTTACTTCAAAAACAAGCTTTCATGAAAAAATTATGTGATAAATTCAACAGGCAATGGATAAATGAATGAAGTATCCCATTTTTCGATCAACTCGCACATAAAGTCCTTGCCAAGAGTTGCACACAACTTTAATTCGTTGACATCATTTGCAGAGCATCTAACAACGTTTGCACCAAACAACATTCCACACTGTAAGATTCCCATTTTTGTTTCACTCTCGAATTTAACGAATTCCTTAAGGAATCCGGTCAAATATCCTAATGTATCATGGTTAACTTTTGGAAGAGTTTCAACGAACTCAATGATCTTTTTATTCTTGATTGCTTCCTTTAATTTATTATATTTTGCCATTGGAACAATTGGATCCGGAATTTCTGCAAGCCATCTCTTAAATACGCTTGCCATATCCATTATTTCAGCATCTTTATAAGAGTCTCTTCCAGTGTTTATTTCTTCGACCATCAAATCCATTTGAACTTTGTTACCTGGAAATCTGAAAACGCCTTCCATCTTTTGAATGCCTGCCTTCCACATCTCATGGATGTATCTGTGCATGAATAGAGGGATCGTGCACTTTGGTGATGACCTTCTCTGCGAGAAGACTAATTCAAGCAATGGAGCGCCGAAAATGAAATTATCTTGAGAGACATGAGTTGGTATGAGGTCAATCCAATGAACTGGTTGCATTGGGAATATCTCCTGTGATTCAATTCTTGCAGTTAATCTGATGTAAGCAATTTTCGCTATTGTATTGATGCCTGCTTTAGTTCCCATTGCATTTTCTGCAATTATGTGTTTAACAACTGGTTGAATGCTCGCTGATGGAGGGAAAAATGTTGAAATTACTAAGATTAACTCCCAAATTTTTGGAATATGATCGGTATTTGGGTTATTTCGCAATAATTTTAGAAGATATACGTATGTTTCATCAACTAATGTTAATTCACTGAAGAGTTGCTGAACAAAATGACTTGGTAGAAATTTTGGAAGTTGCTTGCAATAATTCACAATGAAATTGAACATTTCAACACATTTGTTTTGAAGTAACTGCGGAGTTGCTTTGAGAATTGGAAGGATTGATGTATCCATATCGTAAACTAATAACTCATCTGGAGCTATCTCTTTCTTACTGAAGAATCCGCCACGGAAACGTGTGTTAAAGTTCTCAGTTGCGAACTTTCTAATGTCAATGCTCAATAAATCTTTTTTGATTGAAGAAGGGAAATAGAAAGGTAGAGAATCAGATGAAGAAGATGCATTTCCTGGATTATTAGGGCATCCAAGTCTAACGAGAGTAGATTTTCTTGTTTTTTGTATATCGATATTGAAATTTTGAATTAAATTTGGTAAAGAGCTCTTTCTGTTTGCTGAGTTAGAAGGAATAAATTCGAAATCTGTTACAACTGGAGGCTTAGATATCTTTTCTGGAATAGTTATTTGAGTAACGTCAAAATATATTTTTTTACAGGTAATTGGATCAAAAATCTCTGCATCTTGAGGTGGCCGCCATACAACTTCATTAGTTATCGGGCAATGGAAGTATTTAATATCAGTGCCTTTCTCAGTGTATAAGTAAAAGCGGAGAGGACGTGCACGCCTCATTTTCTATGGAAAATAATGTATAATTTGAATTGAATTGAAATGTTGTGTAAGTAAATTTTACATAATTATTAATGTTAATGTGAAATAGTGTATATATTAATTTAACTTACAAAAAAATTGAATTCAATAGTTTTATCTTTTTCAATTGTAAATTCAATTGAATTGTTTACAAAAATATTATTTTAAATTTTTTATATAAAGTGTGTAAATTAGTAGTCTACTGTATGAAAACAAATTTCCCAACATAAAATTCTTATCTGTCAAAGAGGTTAATTTTCAGGACATGTGACAAATCATTTTCATTTGATTTTTTATGAATTCTTTTTATATGCTTTAATAAGCTTGCATGAAAGCATTAGTTGGCTTAATGGTCAATAGAAAACGGCACAAATTAGCTTCAATGATATTGTTTAAAAGGTTACAACTATACACACACCATGAGAAAAAGTGAAATTTGCATTATAACATGTCAAAGAGTAGGAAAAATATTGGCTGAAAATGAATGATGTTTTTCCACAAATTATTCGGCCAAAGATGTATTATACATTTTGTCCTAGTGATTGGCATGATACTTTTGTAGCAACCTATGATAAAAAGAAAATTTTTAAATTTTTTCATGATTTAACTAGATAACAACATTTTATATTAGATAATAACTACACAAAAAAGGATCTATTGATGACCGCGGCATGCCCAAGTAGAATTAAAGCTATTCAAATGTTTAACATCTGTTTCATCACAAAATGTGCACTGACAGCAGTAAGCACAGCGACCAGGTGCAGGAATAAGATTTTGTTCAACAGTATCTGGGTAATTGTTTCTTAAAAATAGATAATCTGTATTTGGAGACCATTTGTAATTAGGGAATCGAATAACCTTATGATCGCAGCTAACACATATGAGATTGGAGCAGAAGTGGGGTGTTGTAACGTCAGATGTACGACCTGATGGAAGATCAGGACCGCCTATACAGGCAACTGCGCATTTTAGAGATGGAATTGATGGTGAGTGGCGCATTGCTGAATTTGCCGATCTGTTTAAACTTGATTTTGAGTGACTTTTTGTTGGTGATGGGATTGATAAAGGTCCTAGTTCGCGATCTAATTGATCGACGGGAAGAGACTCTGGAGCAGGGTCTGATTCATCGCCGAGAATATCATCGATAGCTGCAAGTTCGTCAGGACTCAAAGACATCCAGACGTTTACTCACTTTTCCGACAAAAAACAGTCGAATTGATTTTTTCTTCATTGTATTGTTGTTGTTTTGCCTGTCTTGAATTATAAAGTTTTATTCTTCAATATTGCGTGAATTGCCCAAATTCAAAATTTTCAAATTTGTTCCAATCGAAAAGGAATATCATAGACATCATTTTATATCTATACATTATAGGATTAACATGAAATAACTTATTAAATTCACCAAACAACAATTCCATCCGATATTTGAATCACAAATTTTTAATAAGCTATAATTCATGTCCATAGGTTTCATAATTGTGTTCCAAAAGCTAAACCCTGTAAATACAAAAATAAATTTTTTAAGCTTTAATATAGCAAGCAATTAGATCAATTAGAGTTAAATTAGTGTTAAATTATATTAAAACTAGGCTTCCTATAGAAAGTATTCGATAACTCTTTGGTCAAATCATTAACATGAAAAACAAATTTTCAAAATTGTTATTAAAAACTTGTTTTTGGTTTAAATAAATATTTATATAAAAATATTTTTATGATTTACAAATTATTCATCATCTTGTTTCTTCTCGAACTCTTCAAACTCTTTAATAATCTTAGCATATTCTTTCTCGAACTGAACTAACTCAACATCGACCTTCTCACCATCATCTTCCTCTTCAGGAGCCTTTTCTTCTTCGCCTTCTGCCTGTCCTTCAGCCTTAACCTGCTCAGTCTTCTTGTTTCCTCCACCGCGAGCGTTGAATCTTTCTCTTGTCTGAGCAACGAACTTGTTCTGCTGCTCGACGAATGTTCTAAGCTGTTCCTCCTCGTTCGGGGCAGGGTTAGACATGAAGCTTGGCACCTGGAAGATCATTAAAGTGCCATCTCCACATCCGATACATAATAATTGGACTCCGGTCTTAGCTGTTCCAAATGCTAAGCTGGAGACTCTGCTACTGGCTACAGACTGCGAGAATAAGCATTCATGGGATTTGTCGAGGATTGACCAAACTTCGATATCACCGTTTTCTTTTCCAACAACGAAAACACTTGGTCTTGTAGGGCTGAATGCAACACAAGTAGCTGGATGATGTCTTGCTGCACTACGGAATAATTCTGTGACTTCATTTGTAAGATCTGCCAAAACTACCTGGCATCTATCGCATCCAACGAAGAGTCCGTGGACAAATGGGTTCTCTACGAAACCTACAGCTGTATGGTACATCAGCTGTTGGCTGCTGGAGATGTATGGGTTCTGACGGCCGATAACTGTCTTATCTGGGCCGTTAATCCAATTGAATGCACAAGCGTCACCGTATTCGGTAACGAAACGGCAATCACCTGTAAATGCTCCGTTGTTGTCCGTAAGTAAGCCGAAAATAGTACCTGGATAATAAATGTTTTCTTTGGCTGACTTGAAGAGGTTCATATTGAATGTTGGGAGCCATTCATTTGTTAGGGAAGCTCCTGGAAGGAGTGCATGAGTATTTGGTGCACATGTAGATTCATCAATGTCAATATCCCAAATAATGAGATGTCCATCGACAGAAATTGTAGCAAATTGAGTTGTATTTTCGCATTGAACAACTTCACCGATACGAGTAAACTTTTGTGTCTTTGGTAAGAATTTAAGATCATAAACTGGTTGAGTGTGAGATTTTGATGGAGTAAGATTTGGTCCGAAGAATGTTGATGCATACTTCGGGTGGTAGAATGTAGAGAATGAATCTTCTGTTGAATATGAAGTTCTAAGATCAGCACTGATCTTTGTCTTTTCATCTGATATATCCCATAGTAATACTTGACCATTTTCACAACCACCAACAACAATGTTAGGGTTGTGAGGACAAAACTTAAAGCATAATACGACAGATGGAGATTCTAATACATATTGTGGATGTAAAATTGCCTGGAAGTTCCAGATGAAGATATGTTCAACTGGAGCATTCGCAGATCGTTTCATATATTGATCAAACGAAGTAGATGAAGCAAATGAGATACCAACGGTTTCTTTCGAACCTGGCATCACATCGATGCATGTAACTGGGCTACTAAACCTAGCATCTTTAAGAGATAAGAATTCTTTGAGTTGTGAAACGCTGAATGATTTGACGAGAGAATCATCGCATGCTTTGAGATTTGCCAATTGATCTTGAAAGACATCGGAGGATACATTTGATTCAAGTACAGGAGAGACTCTTTCGGCAATTTTATGGGCAAATTGCAAGAAATCTTCCTGCTCTTGAATAGATTGACGTAATTCGGGCAAAAACGTAACAGGAATTGTTTGTGCTGACGAATTTACTTTGCGACACCATGGGGTTTGCGAAGAGACTTCAGTTGTTTGTTCTGAGCTTTGAATCGCGCAATCTAAGGTTGCCCTTACTAAATCATAGTTAGGATCCTTAAATGAACGGTATTCAACGAGACCTTCTGTTCCTAAATGTGAATCTCTGTCAACAAAATTTCGTTTTTTGTTTAATTCTTTTTGAGGTCGAGTAATTAAAAGTTGAAATAGATTTCGTGTATTTTGGACTGTTAGGAGCTTGACTTCCTCTTCAATTGTGAGAGGAGGAGCTGGAGCTTCTTCTTCAGTCATTGAATTACCGTTTATTAGTTGTAAAGTTTTCAATTTGTTTCAAAAAACGTATTTTTGTTCCAGTGATAATTTCAAGCAATCTTGGCTATGATTAGCACCTAATAGATAAGATCTCATTTGCGTATACACTACCTTTTAATGAATTGATTTAAAAATGGAGCAATATTTAATTCAACTTGATAAATGATTTCCAGGATGAAATATAGATGTAAGAATGGAATTTTATGATAATTGGCTGGCTGTATATATACTTATCAGTAAGTTTAAATTGCCCAGATTTCTCCCTTACTTTTGATACCAAATATATATCTCCAATAAGAAGCCTTAGCTAGGGTAGTACTATTTCAGTTTTTAAAACAATCCAATAGATAAAATCAAAATAAAATTGGAACAAAAATATTGATTTTTTGGATTAAATAGATATCAATCTCCCCTTATATATGTGTTCTAATAATATCTCTATAGATATCAGATGTAGTAGCGATTTTTTTAGAAGAGAAAAATCTTCGAATAAATTGTATTAAATTTTACATCGGGTAATTTAGCATGAAGTAAAATCTAATCCTCTCATTATTAAATAAACATGACGGATTAATTTGCCGATTTTTTGAGTTCCAGATGTCAAACCGCTCGAATTTTAGAAACTTGTTGGGTTGAATTGCTTGTCATACTATTCTTCATAATAAGCTAAAAATTTTCCTCTGACGATAGCTAAATTTGAGAGATGATTCAAAATCTTTTTGGAAAAATCTTTTAAAAAAGTTACATTACTAAAGCGATAAAGGTTTGTTATCCTGATAGACTGGAAATTTAATGAAATATCAAAATCTGAAATCGTAAAATTGACTGTCAAAAAGAAAAATGTTTCCTGCAATTAGGCTTTCATCGTTCGAGGAGACCACCAAGCCCTCGATGCTCGATTCGGGCGACATCAATAAATGCATTGCCAACCTGGGATACTTCTACTCTATTGGTTTATTCAAGCAGATGTCCGAATTACAAAAATTATCAGCAACAATCTTTTTGGAACTCGAAAAAGACTTTAATAAATTAAATGAAAGGATGGAAAACGTTTCCCAGCGCATTAACAATTTCAAGAGGACAGCTCAATCAGTCATTGCACAAAATCAAGCTATGTCCCCTCAACAATTTGCAGAAAAGGCTTGCGTTCAAAACCAAATGCCAAATGTCAAGACTGCTACCGATGCAGATTTATCAAATGCCGATATTTTTGTCAAAGATTTATTAGCTAAAACTTATCCAGCCCCAACACTTCAGCCATTTGCTTCTATCATTCCTAACTATGCTGAGTTAGATAAGCAGATCACTGATCCGAAACAATTCGAGCAACAGTACAGACAAGAACTTTTTGAGAAATACAAAGAACTCACACAGATTTCAGCCAAAAAGAAACGCCAAGCTGTCACTGTTCCAGAAAACAAAGATGTTGACAAATCCTCAACCATGCTTCATGCTTATACAGAAACAATCGTTCCACCACCAGTTATATTACTTATTCCACCACCGCCAGGTCAGACATCTGGATGGCGCGACAAAGCATTACAAGATATGCAGCACGCATCAACCAGTTCTGGTAGAGGTGTTAATACTACATTTGTTGCACCTCCGCCATCAATGGCTCCATCAGTCAGACCACGCGTACCAAATTTCAACGTACAGTCACCACAATTATCATCATTCCAGCCTCCTTTGAACTCATTGGAGCCATCTCCATCTCCAAGCTTTCCACCACTTCCGCCGCCAATGAAACCACAGAGTTTCGCTGCTATTCCACCTCCAGGAGCACTTCCACCACCTCCACCTCCCCCACCACCGCCTCCAAAGGCTCCAGGTGGTGGTTCACTTCCTCCTCCACCTCCAGCGGCTTCTCCTGGTATTGCTGCACCTCCTCCATCTACGCCGGCACCAACAAACCAAGGACCTCTGCCTGGCGCACCAAGAGGACATCTCGATCTCATCAAAGCAGGTGGATTCAAGCTTAAACCTGTCAAGAAAGAAGATGTTAAACCTGTTAATGAAGATGTCGATCCTAACTCTCTATCTATTGGTGAATTACTCGCGAAAGTTGCAAAGGTTAGAGAAGATACGAAATTATCCGATGATGATGAGAATGGTGATGACGAAGAAGACTCCGAAGATTGGTAAAATAAATCTTACGGTCATTTTCACCAAATTATTTTATATTATTATTTTTATTAGCTTTTTTAGCATTTTTATACATGTGTATTCTTATGAACATTTGAGTGTTAGTTTTGCATCTTTATTAGCTTAAGAAAAAAGATATTTTTTTTTTATAGGCTTCCACTTGATTATGATTTGTGTTCTAACATATATTTGTAGCAAAATGTGTTATGTTTTGTTGAATCTGCAGTCGAAAATATTTTTGAATAAAAAAAAATTTCAAATCCAAAGAATGACACTCCTTTTGTTGTCCATTTCACTCTTTGTAATAAAGAAATATTAAACATATGTGAATTGTTCAACAATGGAATGTATGAATTAAGGTATTGAACAATAATTTAGAAAGTATATTTAAGTTACCCAGGTGTCAGATATTGAAAAAAATGTATTCTTTATCAAAAAGAAGGAAAACATATTTTACTCTATAATATTAAAAGATCAAATATCAAGTGATATCAGGTAATTAATACAATTAAATGAAGTGGCTTATAAATAAATCGAAAATTTCAATTTTTGATGCCATTTAGCAGCAAGCTTTTTCGGGTTGATTATTTTGTGGAATTATTGGTTTTTCCGGTACATCTTTGACTTTGCACTTGAATCCAATTCCATGTTTAGCCACTGAATAAAATAATTCTTTAATTCCTATGTCTTTCTTTGCAGAAACTTGAATATAATCGACCACTTGGATTTTATCTATTTCACTTGCTTCCACTTCAAATTCTAAATCACATTTGTTACCGGCTAAAACCACAGGAACATCAGGAGGACAATTATCCTTGATTAAATCAAGCCACGAGGGTAAAGACTTAAATGAGTCAAGACTATCAAGTGCAAAAGTTAGTATTATCACATGAGCATCTCTAAAATAATTAACTGCTAAAGATCTAAACTTTTCTTGCCCAGCAGTATCCCATATTCGTATTTTGCATTCCGAGCCATCTATATCTATTTTAATATTCGAGTATGTTGCTCCAAGAGTTGAGGTTGTTTCAAACGTTGGCTCCATATGAATCATTGTTTGCACAATAGATGTCTTACCAACACCACTGTCGCCAATGATTGCTGCTTTAATATAACGGTCATCGTTACAAGAACTCATTTATTTTTTGATTGGGAAATAAAATTAATTTCAATTTGATTTGAATTACTGGCGTGTACAACATATGTCAGATATTAATATTTTAATAATTTCAGGATGAACGATACCTTCTTAACTTTTTTTTATCTGATCATTTTGTGAAGAAAAATAAACAATTATCGTTCGTCTGATTATTTTTAATTCAAATATTGTTCGGCAATGGGTTCAAATCTCATCGTTTGCAAGCTAGTGTTCTACGCTTCATATTGCTTCACATAGTCTCGCCAAACGCACAATCATTGATTACCTTATAAAAGTTCATTAATTTTTGTCATGTTGGTGAAGCAAAATTTATATGGCAATTTCCATATCTAATAATAGAACCTAATTTGGCGCCATATTCACATACTGTTTTTAAAATAATTTTTGGATTTCGTTAACCAAAAAGCTCCAAAATTTAATTTATGAAATTTCATTAAAAATCAAATAGTTATTACATGCTGCTGCATTATATCAATTTTCTTAACTCCTAAGTCTATAAAACTCAAACGAGATAACATTGCAGTCATGTTAGTCTGATTATTTTCCGAAGAAAAATAAACAATTATAAATGTCAAATTTGTTTTTCTGACAAATCTTCGAATGCAAAATGTTTATCTAAAATTTGAGCCTATCTGCGAAGAATCTATTGAAAAAATCAAGGATGGAAGTCGTGTATTAGCAATAACTGTTGCAAATGACAAAACAAATAGCTGTAAAATCATTTTTTCGAGCAGTAATGGTTATTTATTCATTGGTGATATACTTGCGACAAGAAAACTTATCACCATTAAATTTGATAATCCTGTTCAAAGCATTTCTTGCAATCGTTCTGGTGATCTCATCCTTATTACATTTTTCAATAAAGAAATCGCGATATATGATATAGATGCCATTTATTCTTTATTCAAATCATCAGATATTATGAAAGCACAAGAAATTAATTTAGCCCGATTGTTTTATTACGCTAAACATTCATCAGATATTACTTATGCAGCAATTAACTCAGAAATAACTAAGAAAGACAAAGTATCATTTGCTTTTTCAGATAGCGCAGGAAATATATGCACATATTATCAGCAATTGTTTATTGGAGGAACAACAACAATTATTTCGACAAATGAGCCTGGTGTTACAAATATAAAGTGGGATCATAACACTATAGTGTGGTCCACTTCATTGTCTATCGGATCTTACGATGTTTACACTAAAACAAAAAATTTGATTTTTAGTTCAACATCTTCAAAGCCATCCTTCTCAACAACTACGAATTTTACATTTCTCAATCAGAAAACTCTTTGTTCCTCGTTCGGAACTTACTTTTTACAAACTAATTTCGATCCATTTAATACAATGACGATAAATACGGGATTCCCGATAGTTTCAATGGCCATTTCATCACTATCAACACTCCAAATTGTCAAGAAAGACGAGAAAATGATTTTCCTTATTGATAATCCAAGTTATTTCGCAGATGAAAAATTACCTTTAGAATTTGACCAAATACATTCAAACCCAACAATCCTCGCAACCAATAGACCAGAAGTATTCGTTTGCGAAGTGAATGGACAGATATTTTCGGTCACATTTCTGTCATGGGCCGAAAGATTACTAAATACTAAGACATGCGAGTCAGATTTCGAATTAATATGCGAACAGATCGATAAAATGACTCCTTTCCCGTCAGATGAAGAAAGATTGAGCACGATTTTCACAACAATAAATCATTTTCTTCAAATTAACTCAACGGAGTACGCTTTGAAGATCTGTATGAAGAATCTACACTATGATGATGCAGAAGAATGGGATTCTGCCATAGAAGAGTTCGACAAATTCGGCAGAATTCAAGATATTTTGAGAATTGTCCCTGTTGACGAATTAAGAGAGAAAACGCCAAGGGTATGTGATATACTTCTCAGTCTCATTGATACTGATATGGAAAGATTCTTCCATGTTTTCGAAATTTTATTTTCAGGAGATATCTCAAAAGAAGTTTTCTCTAAACTGCAAAAGATCGATAGATTGATCGAATCTATATCCAACTCGACCTATAACAACCCGATATTTAATATTCCTTTGGTATTAATTTATCAAAATTTGGGACAACATGAATCTGCATTGAAACACACCATGCAGGGTGGATATAGAGATTTCTTTAAGTACGTTCGCAACTATAATATGTGGAAATTCTGCTTGCCAAACGTAAAAAGAATTTTCGCAACTTACGGTGACAGTTTTGTAGAATTTCTGATCACAGAAATAGAGCACTTCCCTCCAGAAGACGTCATACAAAACTATTTGCAAGACCAAGCTTCGGATAACACGAACGAATTATTATATCGTTACATGAGAGCTTTAAGGTACAATGAGATACCAATTCCTACAAGATATAATATGCTCCTTATTTCCCTTTATCTCAAACATCGTAGTCCTGAAAGTTTGGACATTTTGAAAACTTGCAAATTTGATGACGCTCATGACATCTTGAAAGTCAAAGAAGATGCACATACAAATGGTATGTATAGAGAAGAAGCGTATATTTTGATGAAAGGAGGCAGAACTGTCGACGGATTAAAGATTCATTTAGATTTCATCAAAGTTCCTGAAGAAGCAGTTGATTACGCCTTAAGATGTGGTGAACAGGATGTTTGGAAGGTATTACTCCAAAGATCTCAAGAAGAACCGTTCAGAACTTATATGTTAGGAAATCTGTTGGACTTAAGTAACTATCTGAAGTTCTTCGATAGTATACAAGGTGATCTGGATAGCAAGGCATGGTCTGCTGTTCAAAATAGCCTCAATGAGTTCAAGAGACAAAATAATATCCTAAAGTATATTGATCAGATTGTTTCTCGAGCCGCATTCGAAAGATTCGAAACTCAAAGGAAGAAACTCAGACGCGGAAAGAGAATCAAAAATTAATTAATAAATTTTGTTTGTTTTACGTTTATATATAACTATCTATTTTGAAGTAAGTTTAAATTTGCTTGAATTTTGGGTAATAAGTTCAAAAATTAAAAATTTTGAAATTCATATTTACTCAAATCTAATTTTTAAACAAATAAGTCAAATATCTATATAATGTATATTATGATTTTATTATTAAAAAGACAAATAATATAGTGGATTTTTCCCTCCATTAACGACGATAGAACGGTTTTGGTCGACCTTTTCGAGATGTCTGCTGATAAAGCCTGATGCTGCAGCTCCAGCTCCAGCTGAACAAACAACAACTGGCAAGAAGGATGTCCAGCTTGGCCCAGTTAAGCGCGATGGTGAAATCGTTATGGGTGTTGCTCACATCTATGCTTCTAAGAACGATACATTCGTCCATGTTACAGATCTTTCTGGCTCAGAAACACTTGCTCGCTGCACAGGTGGTATCGCCGTTCGTGCTCAGCGTGATGAGGCTACACCATACGCTGCTATGCTTGCCGCTCAGGCCGTTGCTGCCCGTCTGAAGGAGCTCGGCGTTGATGGCGTTCACATCAAGTTCCGTGGTGAAGGTGGTTCATCCCGCCGCCTCCCAGCTCAGGGTGCCCAATCAGCTCTCCGTGCCCTCGCTCGTGCTGGTGTTAAGATTGGCCGTATCGAAGATGTTACACCACTTCCACACGATTCCACTCGCAGGAAGGGTGGTCGCCGTGGTCGCCGCCTTTAAACGCTTCAATATACTTAAAATCAATATCATTTGTAAAGCAATTTACGAAAATACGAAAATTTACATAATTCATACTACATAAATTTATTGAGTTATTTCTTTCATAATTTATATCAAAAAAAAATTATCAACAAATTAATAATTAAGATTTGAGCTCTCTTAATGGAAAATTCTGCTTTGGTTCTGTCTTTTAATCCTTTAATTAAAAAAAAAATATGAAAAAAATATATTGGATTTAAAAACAAAATTAAACTATTTAAAGCAAGATAGATTATGTATTGTTTGAGTTAGTCTAATTGCCGCATGAATTTTTATTTAAGCTGGTCTATGTTTGTCGGTGATTTGGATATCGTGAGGTCCTTCTTCAGTTAAGAATTCTTCAAGAGCAAGATCTGATTCTCTGTACTGGCCATCATAAATGAAAGTGAGCTGGCGAGGATTTGAATCTGTTTCTTCAGCAACTGCTTGAAGGACATCGAAAACAGACTGATCTGGTTCGAATTCCTTTTCTATGCTTCCACCTTCGAGTTTGTTGTATTTAATCTTGAGCTTAAAAATATCACACATGGAATAAATGTCACTTTTTATAAGAAATTTACCAAAACATAATTTTTTAGTCAAAATTTTCATATAATTCGATATAATTTCATATGTTCATCATTAAGGCAATATTTTAAATGATTTGAAGATTTCTGTTTTTAAATTTATATTCAAAAATTATCTAATTATTTTTTTTGATTTTTTCTTTTTTTATAATTTCGAAATATTTAGAAGCTTTTGGAAACGACCAATATTTAACAATAATTTTAAACATTCTGAAAACCAAATAACTTCTGTTTGAAACAAAAGTTTCAATTATTGAAAAATTTTATAAGACACTGACAGCTCAAAGAATCTTCCAACAGAATAACAACATTAATTATAATAAAACCTTCTATTCGCGAGAGAAAGTTTCAAAAATTTTGTAATGACTCAAACGTATTATACTGAACTCTTGGAGTTAAACAAGGACTTTGTGGACATCACCACGGCATTGTACAGACTTAAAACCTTTGATCAAGAAGAACTCGCTAAAATTTGCAAAGATATCAAATCTAAAATGATTGAAACAATGAAGTATACGCCAGACATGATCTTGGAAATGATTCTAATAGCAGCCATACATAATAGGAGATACTGCAAATCGTATAACGCAATTTACAAAAATATTTTTAAAGAATATAGTACTCTTGTCGATGATAAAAAGTGCAAACAACTAAATTCTCTTGATTTGCTAGATGTTAATGAAGGAGAAACGATTCATAGAGCAATTATTGATGATGACATAAATTCATTTTTGTTTCTCACAGAAAAATATGGATTTAATAAAGATCAAATGCTAAAATATAATTTCTATCCAGTCAAACAAGGAGGATATTCATTACTTGAATTATGTTGCTATCATGGATCAGTAAATTGCTTTAAATTATTGAGATCAAAATTTGATTCAGAAATTACACCAGAATGTCTTAATTTTTCATTTCTTAGCGGAAATCCAAGCATCATGACTGAGTGCTTGAATTTCCAAAGACCAGGAGAAGAATGTATGCAATATGCAATCATTTCACACAATATTGATTTCGTTACTTTTTTGATGAATCAATACAACTTAAAAATCGATTTAATAAGTTGCTTCAAATTCCATAATTTTCAGGCATTTTTAATTTATTTGGATCAAACAAATGATATCAATCAATGCTTTCTTTATTCATCCTATTTCAAATCCCCTCGCCTTTTCCAATATTTCATTTCACATGGAGCAGATATCAATGCAAAAGATAGTAATGATGGAATGAATGCAATGCATTTTGCTGCAATTAATAATCAAATGTATAATGTTGAAATACTCCTTTCTCTTGGTTTTGATATTAAAACTAAATCATCAAATGGAAATACTCCTCTTCATTATGCTGCTTTATATAATTGCATCGAAATGGTAGAATATCTTTTTGCACATGGCGCAGATATTAATGCAAGAAATAATATAGGGTTAACTCCTATTTATAGTGCAACGGGTCAGAATTGTTGCCGTATCGTTGAATTCCTTATATCACATGGTGCAAAATTATATTCAAAGAATGAAGAAAATTTCACTCCACTTCATCATGCTTCAGTTTTGAATTGTAAAGAGGCAGCAGTCGTTCTCCTTAATCATGGTGAAGATATCAATGAAATAAGTACAGTTGGAATGCATTCAATTCATTACGCAGCATCTTATAATAGTATACAAATGGTTGAATTTCTTATTTCAAGAGGTGCAGATATCAATTTAAAGATCAATAACAATACTGCTGCTCTTCATATTGCTGCCGAAAAAAATTACATTGAATTGGCAGAATTCCTTATTAATCATGGGGCAGATGTAAATATTAAAAATCGGGTTGGATTTACACCACTTCACCGTGCTGCATTCTTAAATCATCCAGAAATGATTAAAATTTTGATTAAACATGGTGCTGATATAGAAGCAAAAGATTCTTATGGATATTCATCTCTTGCACAAGCAGCAATAAATAATTGTAAAGAGGCAGCAGAACTTTTAATTTCTCTTGGCGCGGATGTTAAGTCAGAGTATCTCGTAGTAGCAGCATTTCAAAATTGTAAGGAAGCTGCTGAAATTCTTATTTCTCATGGTGCTGATGTTAATTTTAAAAATTCGGAAGGAAGCCCTGCACTTATTATTGCTGCAAATCATAATAGCAAAGAATTTACTGAAACTCTTATATTGCATGGCGCAGATATCAATCTTAAAAGTAAATCCTCTTTAACTGCACTGCATTATGCAGCAAAAACTAACAGCAAAGAAACAACAGAACTTTTAATTTCTCATGGAGCAGATGTCAACGCAATGAACCGTGATAAATGGACACCACTTCACTATGCAGCAATAAAAAATAGTAAAGAAACAGCAGAGCTTCTTATATCACATGGCGCAGATCTCAATGCGAAAAGCAGTGATGGACTGACACCTCTTCAATATGCCAAAATATTGCGTAAAAACGAAGTAAAAGAACTTCTAATTTCTCATGGTGCAGAAGATATCTCTTTGCCATGGTGTAGATTATAGAGATCATTTATTTACAAAGACATTAAAAATCTCATTATATCGATTTTATAACCTTTCAAATTTTATCAATAAAATTAAATTGATGTTTTTCAGAATCAACATTATGGTATCTGATAGGGATCATTATAATTTAATATGATATTCAGAGAAAGATAAAAGTGGTTTTACATGTAAAAAAACCAAAAAAACAATTATTTAAAATTGAATTTGCCCATTTTTTGTTTATTTGGAAAATTATGGAATTGGCTATTATTTGTGATTGTTATAACACTAGATTCAGTATCCTATTACATATCGTTAGATTGCAATCAAAATATTCAAATGGAATTTGAAATACATGGCAATCTTATTGGTACTATTATAATTTCACATATAAAATAATATCAAGTAGCTATTCTGATACCACCTAAATAGGGATTTCTACCCAATAGAAATATTTTGGATAATTTTGCCAAAAAAAAATGGTTTTGATTCAGCTCAATAGCCAAATACTCCAGAGAATCAATAATTATCAAGCCCTTGACAAAGTTATTTTAACAATCAACAATGTTGAAATCGCCCTCACAAAGTCATTTGCAGTTGCAATTTCAGAATCTTTTTACGCACAGTATCTTTTAGACAATAATTTTGCTAAAATTGATATTACAACCGAAGTGAAATCACCAGACACATACAATATTTTAAAAGATATTCTTCAACTCAAAAAAACGGAAATCGAATGCGATGAAACAATTTTGAAAGACATCTTTCATATTGGAACCACACTTCGGATACAAGAACTCATAGATTTATATAAAGTACATATTATTGATCAAATGAAAATCGACAAAAATAATTGCGTTCAATTACTTGAATTTTATTTCGATATTTCTTCAAAAGAAAAGATTTCCGAATGCATTGATTTTATTTCATCACATTTCTATGAAATAAACAAAGATCAACTCAAAACAATTTCTAAAAAACTTGGAATTGATATTCTTCAAAGAATATTTTGCAACGACAAACTTGAACTTGATAATGAAGATTCATTCGCTAATTTCATTATTTCCCTTACGAAAGAGAGCAAAGAGTTCTATCTTTTGATCGAAAACATTTATTTTGAGTTTTGTAATGAACAAACAATAAAAGACATCCAAAACTTAACAGATACTAATAACTTCCAAAATATTGTGAACTCATTCGGCGATTCACTATTGAGAATAAAGAATCACAGCTCTAAAAACAGAAACAAGATTATTGTTACATTAGTCACAAATTATTTCGAAAGTGGAAATGTTGAAATGTCTGCTTCATCTATATGTGCGGGCTCAATCAGTGACATTAATAAATATAGAAATGATGTTTCTTTTGCTACACAAGATATCCCTAATTCGTGGGTTCAGTGGAAGCTAAAACAAAACTATGCTATCCAGCCTAATGAATATATTATTCGATCATGTCCTCAGTCACAGCCTAAGGTTCAACCACAAACATGGAGAGTTGAAGGTACTACTATTAACGGAGAAACAAAAATCATCCATGAAGTAAATAAATCACCTCTTAATAAAGGAGAAATCCGTAAATATCATTTAAATACAGAAGACAAATTTATATCATTCAAATTAATTCAAACAGATAGAAATTATTTCGATAATGATCATTTAGTTCTAGATGTTTTTGACTTTTCAGGAAATTTATTTGAAAAATCTAGTAGTTGAAGACATTTCCATCATTTGAAAATCGAATGTCATGTCTTCCATTCTAAGTGTATTCGAACAAAAGTCCTCCAATTTGTTAACACAATTATCTGTGATGTATTTGAAAACATTCATACATTTCGAACAGTAGACATTGACTCATTCGACGCCAAAAATGTTACAAATCGATAGATGACTTGTATCATGTCTTACTTCTTTATGAAATACTCTAGATAATGATGATAAAATTTTTATTTTACAAAACTAAATCCTTTTTTATTATATTATTTATCAACTTATTTTCATATTTTTCCAGTCTAGCTCTTAAAAATTGAGCGATATGAGATATTTTCTCTCCAAAATTATGAAAACGAGTTAAACTTATTTTCCAACATGCAAGCTTAAAAATATGTATTTAATTAACATTAAATTGTTTGCAACTATTGTAATGTATCATTAAAGTTGTCGTTTCATTCATCGTGTGTAAAATATCAGTGAAAATTAACATTAAGGATGAACTTACCACTCTCATACATCCTATGAAAAAATCAATATATCCTTATTTTAATAGCAGAAAAGTATAGCAGCTATATTAGGTACTATATAGGAATTTATATTTACTTTCTCCTGACCAAAAATATCAACTTTTGACCTTAGAAAAAGCTTGTGTATAAAAAAAAATTAAAAAAAATTATGAGAATGTGAGAAAGTAGTAAATACACCCTTAAAAAGAAGAATTGAAAGGTTACATCATTCGGGTGTAAGCGAAACCTGAAAAACAAAATATGTATTTAATTTAAAACAAACAGTTATAAAAAACTTTTTTATTTATTTAACATTAACAATTAGTGCTTTTGCAGTTGGCAAGTTGAAATTTCCGTAGCTTTCGGTGTAATACACTGTCAATTGACGGAATTCAAGAGGTGAAGGAAGCAACAATCTTTGCATTCCACTCATTTTAGGAATATAGTATCTGAAGAACTTTTCTCCTCCTTGTGAATCCTGAACGAAAATCGCTATTGATTTGATATTCGTCATATCAGAAATTTCGATTCCTGAAGTAACAGCGTTTGTGAAATCTCCTTGTTCATTTAGTGGCATGATTATGGAGAGTTTCTGTTGACTGTTCGATATCAATCTCGTCTTGATTGTCGAGCAATCGCATGAAGGGATGTTTTTGTCTGTTTTCGGATAACTTTCTTTTATGTAAACATCATCTTTTTCGAAATCGAAACCAGTTATTCCGATGTCATTTCCAACAAAAACGAAAGAGAAGACACGACCAACAGCTTCAATAGTAGCAGATCTATTTCCAGGGGGTAAGAAATGCAAAACATCATTTCCAAACAAAATATCAACAGGATTTTTCGTTTTGACAATGATATTTCTAAAAAGAGCTTTTTGTTTCAAAAGCAAATCAACTTTGACGTAATTGACTTCGGGAGTCCATTCCTTACCTGTTGCAAGCATCTGTTCGAAGCTGACACCGTTCTTTCCAATTGGAAGTTGATTGATAACGACGAAAGGACTTTTTTCATAGAATTTTCCATCTTCTTTTCCTATGAAAGGATACAAATTATTTGCCATTCTCGCGTTCAATGTCACCAACTTCGTAACACTTGCTGTCATCTTGAATCTCTTATCAGAACATGACAAACAGAGTTTGCAAGTGTTGTTTGGATCACTGACGGAATCCTGAGAATCATTAGGTTTATCGCAATGTCTACAAAAATATTTTCTACACAAAGAACATCTGTAATCAGCTGGTCTTCCGCAATTACAAATAATTCCTTCTTGTTCAACATTCGATGGCATCAGTCTGAATATGGATTCAGCCAACACAATCCCTGGATTCATTTTAGGATCGAGTTTCGTCACTTTGTGGAGATATTCTGTCAAAGGCATCAAAGCACATAATCTTCTTTCTTCCCATTGAATGAATGCGTCATGGCTTGGCTCTTCCCAGAATTCGAGCTTGTCTGTGATAGGACTTAAAGGTATTTGAGGACGCTGCAATATCTGTGGTAATGTTTTGCAGCCAAATACTTTGATTCCTAATAAAATAAATTTGTCAAAAGGTGACGAAAAATCAAAAACAAGAAATCGAACTAAAGAAAGATAAGGAGCAATACATTCGTGCCTGTAATGATTAGGCTCGGGTGGAGTAATGGATAATGAGATCCTCTGTTCCCCTGTACTCAAAGCAATGTTTGAAATAACAGGGAAAATGCGATTGGCATATGGACCGCCGTAAATGGTTAATGAAGATGGTGTAGGACGGCGATCGTAGAAACTGGGAAGCCGTATAACAACTTCTGTAACAAAACATGGCTCATTTAACATAATGACAATTGGGGTGTCAGAATTTGTCAAAATTGCCTGTCTCATTTCGAAAAGTGGTCGAGCGGCTGGTGATGACAAGATACAGGCACCTGGTTCATCTGATACGCATCGGATTCGCTCGAAAACGCTGGGAAATGTCATTGGAAGGTTAGGTTTGTTGGGAGAGCCGTCAAAAACGGCCCAGGCTTTGAGTCTCGCTTGGTCATCGGATCCTTGCTTGCGGCGCTTGAAGGGGACACTGCGGTTGTCCTTTTTGGCCGCACGTAAAATATCCGAAATAGAAAATGAGTCGGAATCGGCTGATAAATTGGAAACAAGGTTGCCAGAGTTGATAGTTGCAGTCGTGATATGCTCTAGGATCGATTTGTTGTAGGAAGGGTCGAGTTGAACTTTATTGATGAATTTGAAGACGGATCTCGTAGCAACTACGAACAAACCGAAGTTGCATCTGTCGAGACCATCTTGGCTGGTGACAACGATCGCTGAATCTTGTTTTACAGTGAATTTTATTTTATCTCTGTCCATAAAACCAGAAGAAATTGTTGTTTTGTCTAGTAATTCGTCTGTTAGCTTCGCAACAATCTGTAAGGCTTGGTCAAATGGCATTGATTTCTTGAGATTTGACCAATCAACATTTTTAACAGAAAGAGCTAAGCTGTCACCTACAAATGTTAAACTTTCTTTGAAAGCTCTGTCTACATCACCTCCTTCTTTATTAAAATCAATGATGTTTAGCTTAGGAATTCCAAAAACTGCATTTGTTCGAACAATCCATACAGGAATTGTAGAATAAGGGACTAAATCTGGAGTTACACTATTTGGAACATATGAAATTGGTGTACAGCCTCGTAAAATGATTTGAGATTGAATTTCAATTGATTCTCCTACATAATTAGTAAAAATAAGTTCGACAATGGTCTGGTTGCCAAGGCCGCCTGTTTGGTTGGTTCCTCTCACAGCATTAACTGGACCACAAGTCTCACAAATAACTCTTGTAATTTGGTAGATTTCGTACTTGCCAAATGTGTTCACGTTGAATAGACCTTCAATAATATTGGGACAAATCTTGCCAATTGTGAAGAAATCGAAAACTTGGGAGATATATCTGTTGATAATGCAATCATTTGATGGTTTGCAGCTTAATGGCATGGACAAATCATATGTATGACATATGAAGTGTCCGTATTTAATTGGATATGATTCTATGATGCTTAGAATTTTTTGTTCATTTTGAGTTAATGAATATTTATTTGCTACAACGTAAACGAGCGAATCCACTGAATAAACTTGATGTTTCTTGAATAATAAGCCTGCATCTGAAACAGATTTAATAAAACAAATTATTGTTGCATTTCCTACTGGAAACATTCCAGCAATCATATAATAATTATAGATCTTAACATTATCTTCATGATTCTTGATTCGGTTTATAGCATCATCCTTACTTCGAAAATTATCATATTCTGAAACTCCAGAAAATGAAGGATATCCGCGATCTGGATCAAAATATATAATCTGTGCATCATTTCTATCTGGAAGTTCCAATACAGCATATGAGCCATGTTGCTCGGTGACAATATAAGTCGCCGAAGGAACCCTCATTAAAAGTGACACTTACTTAAAAAAAAAGATTATATAGCTTATCCTTTTATATTATCATCTTTTTGACACTCATCTGAGAACTGAGGCTTATACGCTTTGCAAACAAATATAATGATCATTATTTTATCAATTAATAATTTAATGCTATATTACCACATTATAACATGAAATAACGTTCTGCATTAAATTTGAAAATGTTTCGAAAATATTCTTTCCCGCACAGACGGCAGGATATTGAAGGTATAAAGGAAAAAAAAAGAATACGTCACTTTTTGTATGAGTATTAAAAAATGCTTTATAAATAATAGGAATTAAAAACTGCTAATATCTTATGTTGGATACTAAAAGTGCCATGAAAATATGAATCAAAATTGAGAGCTTTTTCGAATTTTTTTATCAAAAAATACGTTAATTGAATAAAATGTTTCGTGCTCAACCTGTTTGCTCGAAATATCTAGATCTAGCCGAAAAAGCACGCGCTTATGATAGGCACACCTATGCTCTTAAACACAATCCACATAGGCCGATTTCAAAGAAACCTAACGTTGCACAAATATTTTATATCAACAGGCAAAGGAAGAATGAAGAGCTTGAAATGGCTAAAAGGAATGATGTTAAAAACAGCCAGAACATTGATAGTATTTGGAAAAAGGCCCATGGTATCCCAATTCAAGAAGACTTTTTTGCGACAACACCTAAAATACAAAGTCGCTCAGCTCAACTTCCTTGGAGTGAAAGACTTAAATACTGCGAAGCTGAATTTCCAACTGAAAACGAAAAGGGAATTTCATCTTCTTCATCTTCTTTGAGCAATAGCAGATGCGAAAGCTCTAACAGAAGTCAGTCTTCTTTTACACAAGAGCTCGAATCTGGAATGCATGTTAACTACAATTCAAGACAGAAGACACCAGGTAGGCGAACTCCAAAACAGGATGATTACGAGCTAGTATATGATAAGCGTCCTACAGAAAAGTCAAACAAGAATGGTGTTACCCCAAAACCGCAAAAACGCGCTAAAAGTTCAAACAAATATCAATCATCTCAGTCTCCAATACCTGAGTCACCTGATAATAATAGCGTACCACAAAACAATGCCGAGAGTAATGTGCAGGATTCTAAACAGATGAATGGAGAGTACAACTCCAATCTAGTTTCACTTAACACATTTACAAATAACCTTGAAAAGGCAATGAACCACGAAACAGATGAAGAAGAATCAGAAGGACTTCTAGATCAGATGCTAGATAATAAGAATGAACAAAACTCCAACAATTAATTAAGTATTATTATTAAATAAACATGTATGATATTTATATTATTCACTTTATAATCAAACATTTAAATTTTAATAGATTTCGTATAGTTATCCATTAGTCTAAACAAGTGTTATTAATTGGATTCAAATTTCGATCCCAATTAGTGGCAATCTAATAAAATGCATTAGATTAAGGATGTAATCGTGAAAGATTGATTATTTTATCTATTCGTTATTACAATAAAACATGCAGATGTTTATTACTGCACAAGAGCATCCTCTCATGAAAATAATGATGAAGTGCATTGAAATATAAGAAGTGAATAAAGTTGATGCTGCATTACATGATGTTAAGAATGAAATGGTGAAAAGATATCGAAGTATTGAACATTTTTATATGATATTAACAACTAAAATCAATGCTGAAACTTATTTTAATTGTATCCCTCGTTCATCAGCTGATTTCATTTGGTAAATATCCATAAGATTTTAACTATCCCCTAAATATTTTCGAATCCCCCACATAAGAAAATTTAGTCCTCTTTCAAGAATGACTGAAAATACTAAAGTAAGCCCCAAACTTTTAGAACAAGCACTTAAAAGCTGCGATGAAGCTTTGATTAGGTTTGTTCTTGACAAAACAGTTGAAGATCAGATTCCAGCATACATACAACCAATTCCACCAAATCTTTTAGCTACATTCCTCCGTTCTTTCAATAAATTCTTAATTTCCGAGCCGCAATATCTCAAGACAATACTTCCATGGATAGAAAATCTTATAGAAATACATCAATTATCAATAGCTGCATCTGGAGAATGTCAAAGGAAGCTATCTGAACTCCAACACACTCTCAAGCAAAGAACACAACAGATTGGCCAATTTGTAGAAGCCTACGCGGTTACACAATTTGTTCTTCACGAAAGAGAAGGCCAAGGTGTTGGTCTTCCAATTAACGATGAAGATATGCAATCACTTAATGAAGATGAATAGAGATATATTGATAAATAGAGGAAAAATAGATTATTATTTTGAATATACATTAAATAAATATTTTGTCTTATTTAATTACAAACATACAATTATTTATTAATTGTTAGGGATTTTGCACTTCGCATTTAATAATTTAAGCATATATGATTCATCGCTATCTGAATCTAAATCAGAATCATCATCATCTGAGCCAATTTTATCAGAAATTAAGTTTGAATTATCTTCATCACTAATATCTGATGGAGTTAAGCTTTCAATTTTTGAATTCCTTGCTGCATTGTTGCTATTATATACAGCTTTCTTTAAAACTTCATTAAAGAAAACAGAATCATCGCTATCATCAGTTAAATCATCCTGTATCTTTTTAGGAGATTCATCGTCATCAGATGCACTTTCTATCATATTTTCTGCTCTCTTTATTAAGTTTGTTGCTTCGGCATCAGCATCACTATCGAATTTGTCTTCATTTGAATCTTCACTGGAATCTTTGAGTGATATAAGTTGAGTTTGTGGAGCTTTAACAGAAGGTGGAATTGATATTTCATGATAATTCTCGCTGCTGTCGTCGTCATCATCAATATTCAAAAATCTGTTAATTGCTGATGAATTTGGTTCTTGGCTGAAAACATTGAGAACATTTGTCATCCTCAAATCTCTTCTGATTGTTGAATTATTATTGTCAATTCCACTTTCAGAAGCTGAAGCACTTTCTTGTTGATCGCTACAGAATGATGCAAGAGCACCAGGCTCATTAACAGCCTTCAAAAGTTCGAAAAGATTATCGCTCTTTGGTGAATCATTTGAAGCTGATTCACTTTGCAATCTTGCTGGTTGAGGAGTATCAGGAATCAATGGCTCTGTTTGAACTTCCGCTGATTTTGTTGATATGATTTCTCTTGTATCTGTTTGAACACCATACGAAGATTTAATTTGAGCAGGGGGTGGAATCCAACCTTTAGATCTTGCTTTTTCTTTCCAATCAAAATTCTGTTGATAATCTGGAGGTCTCCATCCTAAAAGCATAGCCTTCTGTATCCAATTTGATGAATCCCTACTTCTATGCCTTCTTGAATGATGGTGATGCCTATGACGATGTCTTCTTCTACTTCTTTCATCTTCTTCCTCTTCCTCTTCCTCTTCTTCATAATTATCTTCTTCTTCTTCGTCTTCATCATTTCCCGCGCTTTTAGAGCGTTGTTTCTGGGACTGAACAACCATTTTCTTTGGCTTTTCATCATCTGATGCATCAATTGCTCGATCTTCATGTAAATTAAATTGTCGAATTGGTTCTGAAATTATTTTTTGAGGTCTGATTGGTTCTTCTGGAATAGGCTTTGGCAATTCTCGTTGAACAGATTGAAGTAATGCTTCTGGTCCGTTTTCTGGTTGTCTCTTAAAGAATTCTTGATGCATTTCAAAGCCTAATGCAACATTTATGATTGCGCTACCTACAATTTCTTGTGTTGGGCTCTTAAATTCTATTTGTTTGTTTCTAGCTAAGAACTTAAGCGGTTTTCCATCAACAGTGATTACTTCTTGAAGATTTGGAGGCAGTAATGCAATACCAATGAGTTCCTCACCGGATGTAGTTGATGTATATAGTTCGAACGCAAGTGTGTATCTTGAAATATCTTCAGGCGGAACTTGAGAATAATCAAGTGCATATCCACAATTTATTATAGGGTCAGGATTTATGCAGACAACAAGATTTGTTTGTATCTTTGGACGATCAGGATGTACTCTAATTCTAAGAAAAACTTTAGTGAATAAATCATTGATTTTAATTCTTGAATTTTTTCGTTTATTAAGTTTGAGATTTAGCAATTTAGTGATAAGTAAGAATAATGTTGTATATTCTCCATATGGTGAAGTACTTATTTTTGTAACAGGAATTTGGGATCGTATTGGCTGTTGCATTTGTAATGGTTTAACTTGTATTGAAGCTTTTTTCTTATTTTTTGAACTTGATGTCGGTCCGAAGTCACTTGGACCAAATGTATCGCTTAAAAAACCCGCATCACTCATTAAAAGTGTACGTTTATTTTTCCATTCACAATCAACTTTCATTAGTAAGTAATATAATTGAACCATTTCTATTAGGCATTAAGCAATATTAAACCTGTATTACCCAAATTTCTCCAAATTCTCTGTTATTAAGTAGAATTTGGAGAAGTTTCATTAATACTTGCATTGATATAAGATATATTAAAATCGATGGCTGTTAATAGGAATTTCCAAGACATATAATTTAAATTTATGGATATTTTGAAAAACATTTTAAATTTATAAATTTTTAAAAAATGTTTTAACATCTTTTAGTTTAAACTAATATAAATACAGCAATATATGAAAATGAGATAAATTTTGTGTTGTGGAAATCATTTTTACATGAGAATCCAGAACAGAATGCTAATGATTCGATCTGAAGACCGGATGATCTGAGAAGATGAATGAATGTCTTGTTGTTGATGTTCTGAATAAGAGCACCACATTTGAGAAGAGGACAGTCAAGGAATGCGTTAGAACCAACACTCTGGATGCTAGATGGAATTGTGATCTGTTTGAGGTGTGTGCAGCCTTGGAATGAACTGATGCCAATGCTGAGAAGACTGTTCTCGGGAAGCATGACAGACTCAAGATGTGAACAGCCAATGAATGCACTGTCTTCAATATGTTGGACACCTTCGAGGAGAGAGAAATAGATGCGTGGTGATGCAGGTGGATATACATGCATGCGGCGTCGGTCGCTGCTGTAAATAGCACTGCTCTCGCTGACAAAGTTCTTAGATTGGAATTGGTTAACAATGGAAAAATGTGAACAGCCATCAAAAACACCAAATCCAATTCGAAAAAGATTACTATTGCTGCTGATTTGGATAGATTCGAGTTGGCTGCAGCCTTTGAAGCATTGGTCATCAAGGATTTCAACACTGTCTGGAATGATGATCGAAGAAATGGACGTGTAACTCAATGACTCTGGTCCAATGTTAATGCAGTTGCTGGGAACACTGAATGAGGATAAGTGTGTGCAGCCTTTGAACATGGATGCTGAGATAGATCCGAAACCGATTGAATCGCCAATAAATGAGACTTGCTCGATGCCACTGTTCATGAAACTGCCTGATCCAACTGAAATGACTTTTGATGGAATAGAGAGATATGTAAGTGATGATAAGCCACTGAAGCACGTAACACCAAGAGTGATTTGTGATGTAGTCTTGAATGTGATCACTGTTATTGAGTTGCAGTTGAAGAATGCATTCTCTGAAATGGTCAATGGGACGGTTGATGAAAATGACAATGATGTGATTTTCGTGTTACCATTGAACGCATCCTTTTCAATTGTTGCTAAATTTTGTTGAAATTTGATATCTCCTATGAGTTGTGTTCCATCAAATGCTTGCTCCTTGATGAATCTAATTTTAGAACCGAATTCAAATGTCTGGAGTTTTGCACAACCCCAAAATGCACGAATTTCGATAGTTTCTAAGCTAGATTCGCCTCCAAATTTAATTGAAACTAAATTTTGATTATCTCGGAAAGCATTTGATTTAATTGTCTTTACCGTGCTCAAAAGAACGATTTCAGAACCAGATCCTAAATATTGTGAGATAGATTGGTTATGATCAATATAAATAACATAATAATGGTCAAAATAAATGTATTCATTGCTGATTGATGAAATATTAATACCTGGGTTAGAAGGTAATGCATTTCCTCCTAAAGATTTCAATGTCTTAGGAAGTGTAATATTAGTAAGAGATTTACAATTAGAAAAAACACTGTCACCTAAGACTTCGACACCATCAGGTATAACGATTGATGTCAAGCCGGTTCCATCAAAACAATTATTTTCAATCTTCTTCAGTGACTTCGGAAGCTTAATTTGTTTGAGATCTGTAGTTCTGTAAAATGCATATGTTCCTGTATAATTAACTGAATCTGGAATTATGATCGACGAAAGAAGAGAATTCGCGAAACATCCTCTATTGATATAATAAACATTTGGATCAATTTCATATGTTTCTCCAATATTAGAAGCACAATATAATATCTTGGTTCTATCAGCATTATAGACAGCTTTTGTATCATCAAATAAATATCGATTTTTACTATGAACACGAATAGATTTCATTGTTTTAATATTAGCAAATACCAGTCCATGAAAGTCTGCAAGATTTTCTGGTACAATAAAGTTGATGATTGCAGCATAACTAAAAGCATTTCCATCCAAGATTTGAAGTTGGGAACCTTCAGAAAATGTAACAGAGCTAAGAGAATAACAATAAGAAATAGCAAAGTTTCGAATAGTTGTTACACTTGAAGGTATATTGATGCTGGTTATGTAATAAACAGAAATTCATCAAAAGTGACAGCTCTCAATTTTTTGACATTTGTAAATTCTAAATTGAATGAGAAAAATGAAATAATACTAAGCATAATACAATATTCTAGATTTAATTATAATTAGGGAAAAGTTAGTTTTGAGAGTACTTTTCATAGGCATATAGAATGAAATCTTCTGAAAAATAATATCACATAAACTCATATTATTTTCTAATATATAACTATTTTATATAAAAATCAAATTCAATGATCTTAAAAGCGAAGGAAGTAGTATATGAGTGCGGGTTTAGTGACTTTTTTTGTAACATCTATATATAGACGATGCATTAAAATATATTTATTTATAAACACATTAAAAAATTAACATTAATTTTAAAATAATTTATTTTTTTATCTTTTATAAAAGAAGCTATATATAGATGATGTCAGATATTCCGCGATTAATTAAACATTGTTTAAATCCTGAATGGGTTAAACTTCAATTTAAAAATGAAGATTGTGAATTATTAAATGAATATGAAAGCCAAAATAAGCTAATGAGGTATAAATATAATGATAAAGAATATTTAATTTCATGGAATCAATGGAGTCATAATCAAAGACCTCATAAACGGGAAGAAGAAATTGAAAATAATGAAATGGAAATCATTGATGACATTAAAGAGGATGGAATTCCTAAATTTTGTAGAAAAACCTTTAGAACTAAGTTAGGAGCATATAAACGTAGAGTATTAAATCCTGAATACATAAAACATTTATTTAAAAAGGAAGACTGTGAATTATTAAACGCTAATGAATATGAAAATGCTAAATCAAAATTGAAATATAAATATATTGGAAGTGATGAAAGGTGTAAAGATAAAGATAAAGTTTATACAGTTTCATATAATAACTGGCACACGTTAGGGATAAGAAAACATTTAGGAGATTATGGTAAAAGTTCTGAATTCTTTAAATCTAGTATGTACGAGAGAGTAAAAGAAATTAGAAATAATTATTTTCATGAATGAAAAATAAACTTTAAAAATAAATTGAAACTAATGATTATTTGAATTTATGAAACCAATTATTTGATTCATTCTTTCTTCAATCTCTTCTATTCTTTTTGTTAAATCATCTATTTTCATTAATGAGGTGATTCTTGATTGAGGAATAGATTTCAAACTAACCACTCCTTTTATTTTTGAAATTTTGAATCCATCAACTTTAAACATTTTATTCAATTTACATGTTGTCAATTCTTCAAATAATTTTTTATTATTAGCATAATAGTCATTAAATTCATCAACAGATGAAAAAAATTTTATTTCAGTAATTGGTTTAACAACGTTTATTTTTTGTTGAACATTTTCACTTTCATTTATTTCTTCCTCCTCTGTTTCATTTATTTTTAAAATTGGTTTCATTTATCATTAAATAAAAATTAGAATATAAGTGATGAAATATATTTTTTAATTAATATTAAATCAGAAATGGCGGCAGGATTCTTTAAAAAATTATGGGATGGAATTAAGAAAGCTGCAGGTTGGGTTTATAAAAAGGTTATTAAACCTGTTGCAAACTTTTTGGCACCAGTAGCGAAAACGGCAGGAACTATCATAGGTGGAGTATTAGGTACTAAAGCAGGTAATCCGGCGATGGGAGCACAAGCAGGTAACGCAATTGGTGGAATTGCTGAAGGAATACTTAATAAAATAGGGGTAATAGTGGAAAAATAAATAAATATTATTTTTATCTTAGTATGGTTGTAGTCTTTGATAAACTTTTTCTCCTTTATTTAAAATTTCTCTTATTGGGGCAGCTTTTGGTGTTATTGATTCAGCAACGTCACTAATTGCTTCTTTATTCTTAAATATCCAATTTGCTCCTTTCTTCATTGTTTCCCAAACTTTATGCGCTCCTCTTTTTACTTTATCCCACAGTTTCTTAAAGAATCCTGCAGCCATAGTTGATTATTTCATTAAAATTAAAAATTCATTTTCATTTTAATTTTGATTTTTTATTTAATAATAAATGACGACTAACTATTTGGTGCCAAACACTAAACCAATTAATGGAAATGTGTTTCATTCATTCGAAAAGATAAATGAAATATTCGCAAAGAATGACGGAAGAAGATATTATAGAGAACTTGAAAGTTCATGCTATGACTCTGATGCTCCATATTTTGATGATAAACAAACTCATTTAAGAATTACAAATCCGGCTCATGATGTGAACCAATTAGGTGACACATATATTAAACGCAAAGTTAAAGCAACTCTAGTTTCAAATAAAGCTTTCACATGTGATGCCGCTTTTAAATGCATGCGTTTATTCGTTGGTTACAAATCATCAAATCAAAGCTTTAAACAATTAGAAGTAGAAACCGAAAGAGGTGATGCCGGTTATCTTCAGATGGATTGCGCCCGTGAATCTTTCGCATTTGCAACATATAAACCAAAATCAGAAAGGAAAGTTAAAAAGTTTGTTCATTCGTTATATAATAATGTTCAAAAATATGATAACTCAGTATGTGGTAAATATATTGACCCTTCAGAAGTTTTCAAGAAAGCAAATGAAGAAGTTGATATCACTTTTGATATGATTATTCCGGTAAATGATTTGTTAGCATTTCAGGCGTTCGATGATTATCCTAAATCATTTGGTGAAATCATTCTTAAATATTATGTTTTCAGGGATACTTTAGTATTTTGTCAGGTTGACCCGTTAAGAGTTGCTGATTTACAAAATTACGTTTATGAAAAGATAACTGATGAAAATTATGAAAAGATTATGAATCATGTTTATAAATATGATCGCAAATTCCAACAAATCGGACTTCCTGCCAAATTAATTACAAGCTTAGCCGCTACATCTGCTGACGCAACAGTTGATGACGTTATTATTTCATGCACAAAGATGGAAGTTTTAGAGGATAAATGCATTACACCAGGATACGGTTTAATTGAAGAATCAGTTAAAGCAATACCACGTTTATTCAGTAAGGAAGATCCATTCATGATTCCAGCTCAACATATTGACGTTCGTTCACTAAATGGAGGTTGCATCACTCCTGAAGGTATCAGCTCAGATTTCTCATACGCTCTTCATAATGTTACAGATGTTGTGTTAGCATTTCCGAAGAATGCAATGCAAAGAACAGTTTTAGAAAATCCAATGCTTCGAGGTCTTCAGGTCACTATAGATTCCAGAAACTTCCCCGATCAAGCGATGACCACAGTGGGTGACATATTCTTTACACGTATGCTTCAAGCTTCTGATTTAGATGGAGTGAATGAATGCACAGAAGAATACGAGGACTCATTAACTAGACCACTGAATGATGATAATGGCGCCATTAGCTAGAACATGGAAAGACCAAACTTCATTCTTATGCACTATTCCAGTTCAACGTGATGGAGCGGGTATATTCTTTGATGGATTAGAAACTTTCAACTCACAAGTTACAGTACAAGTGAAAGCTTATCCAATCATTCAGGGTGTAAATGACACTTACTGTTCAAAGGTGACAAATCCTCCTCAGGTTTGGTTTACTAGGACTACGTATTGGACATGGACACCGGATGAAGGTTTGAAATATCATCCAACAGGTACACCACCACAGTATAGAAGTTCATATGATGAAATATTGATGAATAGAAATGTATAAAATTATAAATTTATTTTTGATTAAATGGATTTAAATTCTGAAGAATTAGCGGGAGTATATAATACATACGTAGATGATATGATTAATGAAGCATTGAGTGATAATAGAAATGCTCTATCTAAGGAAAAATTAATGAAAATTCCATATTCTGAATGTTACTTAAATTCAATCACTGCAGCAATTGGTAAACAAAATAAAGGTAAAACATTAACGATATTAAAACAAATTATCATTATTGCTAACACTTCCCCCATTCACATGTGTTAATTTATATCAACCGTTCAGGTTCACCTTCAGATGATACATTTGAATCTTTAAAGCATTTAATCAAAATTCCAATTATTTATTTATCACAAGAAGAAGCAGAAGATTATTTAAAAAACTTTTTAATGTATAAAGAATTATATAATACAATCAAGAAGCAAGGATTAGAGGATAAAATTATTGATAAACAACGGGATGAATTATTTGAAACACTTTCTATTTCAAATTTTGATAGAGAATTTTTGCATTCACTCATTTTTCTAGATGATGCGTGAAATCAAAACTAATAACAAATGAGAAATCATATTTTAATCAGTTATTAACTCAATGTCGACACATTCAGTGTTCATTCTTCATGGCTGTTCAATACTTCAAAGCATTAAGCACAAACATTAAATCAAATCTATCAACACTTTTCATTTTCAGTGGTTTTAGTCGTCAACAGTTGAACGTTATGCTTTATCAAGTGAATTTACCAATGAGCATTAATGAACTTTACACACAATATCAGCAATTAGGTGAACATGGAAAAATAATAGTTGATTTAAATAAAGGAAGTGTTAAATTTGATTAACTTTTTATAATTAATTTTTATTTTTTATTTATAATTAAACATGACAGAAATAGCAAATCTTCTACAGGTTCCATTAAAACAAGGGACAAACAAAAAGGGTGCATATAATAGAACTATGAAAGTTCCAGACGGAATGAAAGAATTAGTCCACATTGTTGCGGTCTTCAAAAGATGTTAAACAAATGAGAAACGTTTTAACATTACCAGAAGCTCAAGCATATGCCAAACGTCATGGTCCAAATTGGGAAGCACACGAAGCAGACATTACAGGTCCAAATGGAAAACCTGATGGTATAAATGAAGTTTTCGTTACTGATGGTCAAGGTAATATTAAAGTCATAAATGGTATAAATTAACTGTATCTGATTATCCTAAACGTAAAGCATATAATGAATGTTATCCTATGCAATTTGATGAAAATGGAAAAGCTGTTAAACAATACATTGGAGAAGGTGAAATGGTCCAATTAATTCATACCGTCATAATCCATATTCTTATTTCAATGAAGAATTAAACGCTATTGAAGAGGACCGGATGGATTACCACGATATGTTAATCAGTTTGATGGTCAATATGCAAATTTGAGACCTGAAATTCCAGCTAAGAAATTCTTTAAAGTTGCTTTATTCGATCCAGTGTTCAATGAACAGAAAGAAGCAATGAAAGCAGAATTTAAACCAATTCAAGTGGCAAGAATTTCTTCATCTTCACTTTCAGAAGCGTTCAAGGAATTGATAAAGAAACCACTTTATTCTCAACAAGGTTATAACTTTGATTTAATTAAAGAAAGTGATAGACGTAAATTAGAAAAATCAGATGGTTTTAAGAATGCATGTAATGAAATGATTAAAGATATTGTAAATGATAAAATAAGACTGGAAGAAACTCAAAGCAATATCAATAACATAATTGGTGCAGTTACAAAGAAAGTATAAGCAAACAAGGATGAACCTTGGGATATTACCGTAACAACTAAATAAAACTTTAAATATATTTTTCTTTTTTTATTCAATTATAAATGAGAAGACGTTTCACAAGTCAAAAGAACACTAACGCAAAAGCAGAGATTACGGTTGGTTATAACGTAAATGATGATAAATCACGAATTATTCAAAATGTTAAAGTTAATGTTAGCCCTGAATTAACAAGGTCAGCAACACAGTCCAATTTATTAACTCGTGACTTACCGAAGAATGAGAAGGAGCAAAATAAAGAAGATGGAGACCCAATCATTTTATCTGAACCCAGTAAAGAACCCGTTGAAATCCCCACATATCCAACATACCCCCCGCCTCTTTCATCAAACATCGAGAACCCAGGAATATACGATTCCAGTCGCAATGCGCCATATAAAGTAGACATTAATTCTGAATTAATGAAAATTTACCGTGATATAATAATTAATAATTATGATTCAATAATAAATTTAATTGATCAATCCGGTTTAATTATTTTACCTTATGAATCATTAATTCACATTATCGCCATTCTTTGTGATGTTCAAGATTCAGACGTTAAGATTCAATTTTTCATAGATGATGAGGTTTCATGCTGCGGAACAGTTGCAAAAATAAATCCTATAAAGGATATTAGCACAATTAAGATATCAAAGAACGGAACAACAACTGAACTTCATTTAACATATAATGATATTTATAATAAAATAGTTGATGAATATAAAATATCACTTGAAAAATTCTTTGTTAAGGCTATTTAATATTCAAGAATTAACATTATTGAATAATAATCCTTTGAATCATAATCAATAATAATTGACCTTTCACCAGTTTCTATCGTTTGTTTTATTTCTTTTTGTTCCCCACTATCTGGATCGGTCATTGTAATTGTTTTTGTTATAGTATCAGCTTTATCTTTAACTTCAATCTTTTTTCCATCAGGATATTTAAACCAAAATTCCAAAAATTCGATATTGTCAATCTGTTCATATTTTAATCTATCAATTACATTTTTAATACCATCTGAAAATCTTATGAAATGGTCATTATATGGGTTTGATTGAACTAAATTTGAATGAAGTGAAATATAACCCGATGATGAATATGACATTGACTCATATTTTCTGAAAACACTAAAATTTATAACATGAATGAATTTCTTATTCGTTGAATTTATGAATTCTTGAGGTAATCTTATTCTAGTTTTATTTATCACTGGAAAATAACGCTTTACCATATTTTTAATCGTAATAAAAATGTCAATTATCAATATTATTTCGAATAATACTGTGAATTAAATTTAACAGTTAGCGGAATTTATAATGTTACTCTCGTTTCTGTGAGTGGTAAATTTAATCCCATTCTTTTAGACCCTTCAGATTATATATCATTTATTAAAGATGACCTTGAAAAAACGTATGATATGTATATAAATAATGTGATAACGAAATGGGATATTAACATGATTATAAGTTATTTAAATGAATCATTTATCGTATGGTATGAAGAAAATTTTAAATCAAAACCCGATAAACTTTTTGAACTTGATGAAATAAATAACCTTATTAAATTTCCGCTGAAAATTAAATTTTGTACTCCTCATCTTCGTTCAATGTTGGGGATATTAAATTTTGAAAAAGATGTTGGGGATGTTTTGTATTCTGACACTGGTTCCAATTTCATTTTAATCAAATGTGATAAAGTTAATACCCCAATGAGATTTTCACATCAAACATTAGACCCTAACTCTTACCCATCAATACAAAACATTTTATCCATCAACTTAAACATATTTTCTTTATCATATCCGTTTCAATTATCCGGGAATTCATTTATTCTTCATTCAAAAGATTTATCAAATATTAAATTTAGAATAACTGACCTATTTGATTGTGATTTAGAATTCATGAATGAAATATTATGGCAATTTCAAATAGAAAAAATAGGTGATGAGATAACGGATTAAATATTTTTTTTAAATCATAATAAATGATTAAACAACAGCAACCACAGCAACTTAAGGCACAGACCATTACATACGCCATATATGCATATAATTCAAAGACGGCAGAACAAACGCAAATGTTGAAATATGGAGATTTGGAGATAGTATTGAAAAATGACCATTTCGAATTCGTTTGCAAAGGTGGTGCAGTGATATCAAATATAAAAGAAATTTTATTTATGAATTCAAAAATTAAAGGTATAACGGATGATATAACATCAATTCCACCAGAAGAACAAAGATATTACGCATTAAATGCATTTCCTAAAGTTTTGAAGATTGGAAGATTTAATTTAAATGAGGAATTCATAAAAGGTTTCCTAAATGACATAATGAAGAAAGCAGATAAGGAATATGTGGTTAGTGAGTTAGAGGAGAAAGCAGATAAGGGACTTGTGGCTAGTGAATTAATGAAGAAGGCAGATAAGGAATATGTTAATGAAAAAGATAATGAAATTATAGAAAGGGTTGAATGGTATCATGAATGGACATCAAAGATTTTAAAAACTAAAGCCGATACAGGATGGGTTTCAGGATGTTTAGACCTTAAAGCAGATAAAACTTATGTTAACAATGAGTTAGGGAAGAAAGCGGATAAAACATATGTTAACGATGAGTTAGGGAAGAAGGCAGATAAAACATATGTTAACGAAGAAATAAAACAATCAGAGGTCTATTTTACTCCGCCATTTTTAAATTTTATGAAATCATCAGATAAAACCTTTGATATAGATTCTTTTGAATGGATATGTTTCGATGGAGTGACCATGTATTTATTTTATACAGCTGGAGTGCTTTATTATTTTAAAACAAATGATTTTAAAAACTATGAATCATTTACTCCATCTGTTTGGAATCCTGATACACGAAAGCCAATCATTAATCCAAGAATTTTATATGTTGAATATAATAACGGTAAATTTATGGGAATGATAACGGTTGGAGATGATTTTTGCCCTTGTTATTCATTCGATTGTATCCAATGGTTCAAATGTAATTTAAATCAAGATGCTAAATTTAAATATCCAAATAATCCTATTAGATGCGTTAATAATAAATGGGTACTAATTTATGAAGTCAATCAAATTTTCATTAGTGAGGATGGGATAAATTATTATATGTTTAGTATGATGTCATCAGATTTGGAAATCGATTATACAAGTAAGTGGTATTACATTAACAACATGTATTTTATCCTACAAAATGATAAAATTTATAGATCATCTTCAATACCACAAGGTCAATTTGAACAAATTTTTCAAGCTGATGGACACATTGAAGCTTTATGTTATGGATCAAATGTTTATGTTCTCGTTTCAGGTGAAATGGTCTATTCATATCCTGTAAGTTATAACAGACATATTTATTTATCACAGGATTTATCAAATTGGGAATTGGTTTATTCATTCACTCCAAAACTTACTCAAAATTATAGATTTACAAATTTATTTTATATTGATGGGTATTTCATTGCTTTAGGATGTGGTGATTTAGTAAATATCAGTAGTGATGGAAGAAACTGGTCTGAAATCACAAAATTTCAAGATGTTAGAAAAGCAATTTTCAAAAATAATACGTTAATATTGATAACAAGACCAGTTTTAAATACTCACCCAAATTCAATATTATATAATAAATTCAATATTCATAATGGATTAAATACAATTCTTGAGATGATTTACCCCATTGGTACTATTTATACGTCAATGAACTCAACAAATCCAGCAACAGTTCTGGTTTCGGTACGTGGAAGCAGATTGTAGATAAATTCCTCTATTGTGCGAACTCTTCAAAGGAAACAGGAGGTTCGAAGAAAATTAAAGAAGCAAACTTACCCCCGCACACTCATACAGGAACTACAAACTTTTCTGGCGACCATAGCCACTCATTAAGAGACCACCCATTATACAACTCAGAATATGAAGCTGGCTATGATGTTTTATCTCCAGATTATAACCATTCAGCAAAAAAGACTTTTCGACCAACTGAACCAGGAGGAAATCATGTCCATACTTTCACACACAAATCCAACAGGTTTGGGTAAAGATTATATGCCACCATTTGTGACTGTATTCGCATGGTACCGTGTTTATTGAATGAACTAAATATATTTTATGTCTGTAATTAATTAGGTAATGAAGTAATGGATGAACTGCAGAAATAAATGTTTACGTTAATGTTTACGTTAATGTTTACGTTAATGGTTTCAGGTTAATGTTTATGTTAATGTTTTCAGGTTATTCAATAATTAATTATTTTTGAAGAACTGAAGGTGTCACTATGTCACCATGTGTCACTCGGTTATTTAACTTCTCTGAAAAAATGAGACAACATGACATTTAGACAACAACACAGGAAATAAATGTTTACGTTAATGTTTTGTCATGATCATTCATCGTTTCTTTGTCATGACTTCTTCATCGTAATGAATGTATATTCTTTGTCAAACATGAGCGTAAATGATTTGTCATGATTTCTTCATCGTAAATGTTTTGTCATGATTTCTTCGTAATGAGCGTAAATGATCCAAAAATAATGTTTAGGTGAAGAGGTGAGATTTCACCTGTTTTTTCACCTAATTTTTCACCTCAGGAATTTTCATGAATTTTCCCGAAATAAAAAATAAAGTTAGTTTTATTTTTATTTTTTTTATTTTGTATGTAAAGATATGATTTCAACAATCGGCACAACAGCAATACAAGCCGCGAACGGCGGGACTCTGTCCACAACTACAGCACCAAACTCGTTAGTCATGAATCCAACATCTATGTTAGTAGAGATGAAAAGCTTCATTCCTTCTTCATATACTTTCGAAACAAAAATCCAGAAGATAAAGCAAGAACTTTTAACAAGTAATTTAGACTGTAGTGCGAAAGATGAAACAAATGAACAGTATCTTTATGAAATGCAGGACATTATTGACCATTTACCTAAACTACCTGAAATCCAACAACAAAAACTAACTATTCCTGAATTCGACGAAATTGAAGTCAAAACAACTGACTCAGTAGAAATAAAGAAGTTCATACGTAAAGTAAATTATGAATTCCTTGGTTTTCATTGCAACCATAAAGTTATGGACAAAGATTGCGACATGGTTTATAAGAATGTTTCTGACATATATAAATCTGAAGAATTTAAGACCTACGATAACTTTGTTTCATTAGTTGCTGAATGTGTTTGGGAAATAAGAGATAAAGATAGAAGAGGCAAAGTATGGAACGAACAACTAAGACCCGCTATGTTTGAGATGAAGAGAGCAATTGACGCCTTAGTTGTTTTAGCAGGTCAAATTTCAATGTATAACGCAAAAATGAACCCGCAATGTTCAAAATGTAAGGCAGCGATGAGGAAATATAACTACTCCGTCAAAGAGATAGAAAGAATGAGAAACGACTATGCAGATTTAAAGAAAGAAGTAGAAAACCCAGCAGAAAATAAAATGGATATGTTGACATTTCTGAACAAAAATTATCCAACTGCTGACGATTTCCTTCTATCTGACGTCAAGAAGAAATATAAAGAAACCTTCGGCATTGTTAAAACATTCGATGTACTAAAAGAAGAAATAGAAGCTACGAAATTGTTTAGGATTTCAAATATACATCGTACAATTCATGTAAAACGCTTGTGAAAAAACTGAGGTGAAAAATTAGGTGAAAAAACAGGTGAAATCTCACCTCTTCACCTAAACATTATTTTTGGATCATTTACACTCATTACGAAGAAATCATGACAAAACATTAACGAAGAAGTTATGACAAAACATTAACGATGAAATCATGACAAAACATTAACGAAGAAGTTATGACAAAACATTAACGAAGAAGTCTTGACAAAACATTTACGAAGAAGTCTTGACAAAACATTAACGAAGAAGTCTTGACAAAGTCATGAGGGTGAAATCATGACAAAGCATTTACGATGAAATCTTGACAAAACATTAACGAAGAAATCATGACAAAACATTAACGAAGAAATCATGACAAAACATTAACGATGAAATCATGACAAAACATTAACGAAGAAGTTATGACAAAGTCATGAGGGTGAAATCATGACAAAACATTAACGATGAAATCATGACAAAACATTTACGAAGAAGTTATGACAAAACATTTACGAAGAAGTCTTGACAAAACATTTACGAAGAAGTCTTGACAAAGTCATGAGGGTGAAAAATTAGGTGAAAAAACAGGTGAAATCTCACCTCTTCACCTAAACATTATTTTTGGATCATTTACGCTCATTACGAAGAAATCATGACAAAACATTTACGATGAAGAAATCATGACAAATCATTTACGCTCATGTTTGACAAAGAATATACATTCATTACGATGAAGAAGTCATGACAAAGAAACGATGAATGATCATGACAAAACATTAACGTAAACATTTATTTCCTGTGTTGTTGTCTAAATGTCATGTTGTCTCATTTTTTCAGAGAAGTTAAATAACCGAGTGACACATGGTGACATAGTGACACCTTCAGTTCTTCAAAAATAATTAATTATTGAATAACCTGAAAACATTAACATAAACATTAACCTGAAACCATTAACGTAAACATTAACGTAAACATTAACGTAAACATTTATTTCTGCAGTTCATCCATTACTTCATTACCTAATTAATTACAGACATAAAATATATTTAGTTCATTCAATAAACACGGTACCATGCGAATACAGTCACAAATGGTGGCATATAATCTTTACCCAAACCTGTTGGATTTGTTGTGAAAGTATGGACATGATTTCCTCCTGGTTCAGTTGGTCGAAAAGTCTTTTTTGCTGAATGGTTATAATCTGGAGATAAAACATCATAGCCAGCTTCATATTCTGAGTTGTATAATGGGTGGTCTCTTAATGAGTGGCTATGGTCGCCAGAAAAGTTTGTAGTTCCTGTATGAGTGTGCGGGGGTAAGTTTGCTTCTTTAATTTTCTTCGAACCTCCTGTTTCCTTTGAAGAGTTCGCACAATAGAGGAATTTATCTACAATCTGCTTCCACGTACCGAAACCCAGAACTGTTGCTGGATTTGTTGAGTTCATTGACGTATAAATAGAACCAATGGGGTAAATCATCTCAAGAATTGTATTTAATCCATTATGAATATTGAATTTATTATATAATATTGAATTTGGGTGAGTATTTAAAACTGGTCTTGTTATCAATATTAACGTATTATTTTTGAAAATTGCTTTTCTAACATCTTGAAATTTTGTGATTTCAGACCAGTTTCTTCCATCACTACTGATATTTACTAAATCACCACATCCTAAAGCAATGAAATACCCATCAATATAAAATAAATTTGTAAATCTATAATTTTGAGTAAGTTTTGGAGTGAATGAATAAACCAATTCCCAATTTGATAAATCCTGTGATAAATAAATATGTCTGTTATAACTTACAGGATATGAATAGACCATTTCACCTGAAACGAGAACATAAACATTTGATCCATAACATAAAGCTTCAATGTCTCCATCAGCTTGAAAAATTTGTTCAAATTGACCTTGTGGTATTGAAGATGATCTATAAATTTTATCATTTTGTAGGATAAAATACATGTTGTTAATGTAATACCACTTACTTGTATAATCATTTCCAAATCTGATGACATCATACTAAACATATAATAATTTATCCCATCCTCACTAATGAAAATTTGATTGACTTCATAAATTAGTACCCATTTATTATTAACGCATCTAATAGGATTATTTGGATATTTAAATTTAGCATCTTGATTTAAATTACATTTGAACCATTGGATACAATCGAATGAATAACAAGGGCAAAAATCATCTCCAACCGTTATCATTCCCATAAATTTACCGTTATTATATTCAACATATAAAATTCTTGGATTAATGATTGGCTTTCGTGTATCAGGATTCAAAACAGATGGAGTAAATGATTCATAGTTTTTAAAATCATTTGTTTTAAAATAATAAAGCACTCCAGCTGTATAAAATAAATACATGGTCACTCCATCGAAACATATCCATTCAAAAGAATCTATATCAAAGGTTTTATCTGATGATTTCATAAAATTTAAAAATGGCGGAGTAAAATAGACCTCTGATTGTTTTATTTCTTCATTAACAAATGTTTTATCTGCTTCTTCTAACTCACTTAACATATGTTTTATCCGCTTTCTTCCCTAACTCATTGTTAACATAAGTTTTATCTGCTTTAAGGTCTAAACATCCTGAAACCCATCCTGTATCGCTTTAGTTTTTAAAATCTTTGATGTCCATTCATGATACCATTCAACCCTTTCTATAATTTCATTATCTTTTTCATTAACATATTCCTTATCTGCCTTCTTCATTAATTCACTAGCCACAAATCCCTTATCTGCTTTCTCCTCTAACTCACTATCCACATATTCCTTATCTGCCTTCTTCATTATGTCATTTAGGAAACCTTTTATGAATTCCTCATTTAAATTAAATCTTCCAATCTTCAAAACTTTAGGAAATGCATTTAATGCGTAATATCTTTGTTCTTCTGGTGGAATTGATGTTATATCATCCGTTATACCTTTAATTTTTGAATTCATAAATAAAATTTCTTTTATATTTGATATCACTGCACCACCTTTGCAAACGAATTCGAAATGGTCATTTTTCAATACTATCTCCAAATCTCCATATTTCAACATTTGCGTTTGTTCTGCCGTCTTTGAATTATATGCATATATGGCGTATGTAATGGTCTGTGCCTTAAGTTGCTGTGGTTGCTGTTGTTTAATCATTTATTATGATTTAAAAATAAATATTTAATCCGTTATCTCATCACCTATTTTTTCTATTTGAAATTGCCATAATATTTCATTCATGAATTCTAAATCACAATCAAATAGGTCAGTTATTCTAAATTTAATATTTGATAAATCTTTTGAATGAAGAATAAATGAATTCCCGGATAATTGAAACGGATATGATAAAGAAAATATGTTTAAGTTGATGGATAAAATGTTTTGTATTGATGGGTAAGAGTTAGGGTCTAATGTTTGATGTGAAAATCTCATTGGGGTATTAACTTTATCACATTTGATTAAAATGAAATTGGAACCAGTGTCAGAATACAAAACATCCCCAACATCTTTTTCAAAATTTAATATCCCCAACATTGAACGAAGATGAGGAGTACAAAATTTAATTTTCAGCGGAAATTTAATAAGGTTATTTATTCATCAAGTTCAAAAAGTTTATCGGGTTTTGATTTAAAATTTTCTTCATACCATACGATAAATGATTCATTTAAATAACTTATAATCATGTTAATATCCCATTTCGTTATCACATTATTTATATACATATCAATACGTTTTTTTCAAGGTCATCTTTAATAAATGATATATAATCTGAAGGGTCTAAAAGAATGGGATTAAATTTACCACTCACAGAAACGAGAGTAACATTATAAATTCCGCTAACTGTTAAATTTAATTCACAGTTATTATTCGAAATAATATTGATAATTGACATTTTTTATTACGATTAAAAATATGGTAAAGCGTTATTTTCCAGTGATAAATAAAACTAGAATAAGATTACCTCAAGAATTCATAAATTCAACGAATAAGAAATTCATTCATGTTATAAATTTTAGTGTTTTCAGAAAATATGAGTCAATGTCATATTCATCATCGGGTTATATTTCACTTCATTCAAATTTAGTTCAATCAAACCCATATAATGACCATTTCATCAGATTTTCAGATGGTATTAAAAATGTAATTGATAGATTAAAATATGAACAGATTGACAATATCGAATTTTTGGAATTTTGGTTTAAATATCCTGATGGAAAAAAGATTGAAGTTAAAGATAAAGCTGATACTATAACAAAAACAATTACAATGACCGATCCAGATAGTGGGAACAAAAAGAAATAAACAAACGATAGAAACTGGTGAAAGGTCAATTATTATTGATTATGATTCAAAGGATTATTATTCAATAATGTTAATGCTTGAATATTAAATAGCCTTAACAAAGAATTTTTCAAGTGATATTTTATATTCATCAACTATTTTATTATAAATATCATTATATGTTAAATGTAGTTCAGTTGTTGTTCCGTTCTTTGATATCTTAATTGTGCTAATATCCTTTATAGGATTTATTTTTGCAACTGTTCCGCAGCATGAAACCTCATCATCTATGAAAAATTGAATCTTAACGTCTGAATCTTGAACATCACAAAGAATGGCGATAATGTGAATTAATGATTCATAAGGTAAAATAATTAAACCGGATTGATCAATTAAATTTATTATTGAATCATAATTATTAATTATTATATCACGGTAAATTTTCATTAATTCAGAATTAATGTCTATTTTATATGGCGCATTGCGACTGTAATCGTATATTCCTGGGTTCTCGATGTTTGATGAAAGAGGTGGGGGGTATGTTGGATATGTGGGGATTTCAACGGGTTCTTTACCGGGTTCAGATAAAATGATTGGGTCTCCATCTTCTTTATTTTGCTCCTCCTCTTTCTTTGGTAAGTCACGAGTTAATAAATTTGGTTGAGTTGCTGACCTTGTTAATTCAGGGCTAACATTAACTTTAACATTTTGAATAATTTGTGATTTATCATCATTTACGTTATAACCAACCGTAATCTCTGCTTTTGCGTTTGTGTTCTTTTGACTAGTGAAACGTCTTCTCATTTATAATTGAATAAAAAAAGAAAAATATATTTAAAGTTTTATTTAGTTGTTACGGTAATATCCCAAGGTTCATCCTTGTTTGCTTATACTTTCTTTGTAACTGCACCAATTATGTTATTGATATTGCTTTGAGTTTCTTCCAGTCTTATTTTATCATTTACAATATCTTTAATCATTTCATTACATGCATTCTTAAAACCATCTGATTTTTCCAATTTACGTCTATCACTTTCTTTAATTAAATCAAAGTTATAACCTTGTTGAGAATAAAGTGGTTTCTTTATCAATTCCTTGAACGCTTCTGAAAGTGAAGATGAAGAAATTCTTGCCACTTGAATTGGTTTAAATTCTGCTTTCATTGCTTCTTTCTGTTCATTGAACACTGGATCGAATAAAGCAACTTTAAAGAATTTCTTAGCTGGAATTTCAGGTCTCAAATTTGCATATTGACCATCAAACTGATTAACATATTGTGGTAATCCATCCGGTCCTTCTTCAATAGCGTTTAATTCTTCATTGAAATAAGAATATGGATTATGACGGTATGAATTAATTGGACCATTTTCACCTTCTCCAATGTATTGTTTAATAGCTTTTCCATTTTCATCAAATTGCATAGGATAACATTCATTATATGCTTTACGTTTAGGATAATCAGATACAGTTAATTTATACCCATTTATGACTTTAATATTACCTTGACCATCAGTAACGAAAACTTCATTTATACCATCAGGTTTTCCATTTGGACCTGTAATGTCTGCTTCGTGTGCTTCCCAATTTGGACCATGACGTTTGGCATATGCTTGAGCTTCTGGTAATGTTAAAACGTTTCTCATTTGTTTAACATCCTTTTGAAGACCGGCAACAATGTGGACTAATTCTTTCATTCCGTCTGGAACTTTCATAGTTCTATTATATGCACCCTTTTTGTTTGTCCCTTGTTTTAATGGAACCTGTAGAAGATTTGCTATTTCTGTCATGTTTAATTATAAATAAAAAATAAAAATTAATTATAAAAAGTTAATCAAATTTAACACTTCCTTTATTTAAATCAACTATTATTTTTCCATGTTCACCTAATTGCTGATATTGTGTGTAAAGTTCATTAATGCTCATTGGTAAATTCACTTGATAAAGCATAACGTTCAACTGTTGACGACTAAAACCACTGAAAATGAAAAGTGTTGATAGATTTGATTTAATGTTTGTGCTTAATGCTTTGAAGTATTGAACAGCCATGAAGAATGAACACTGAATGTGTCGACATTGAGTTAATAACTGATTAAAATATGATTTCTCATTTGTTATTAGTTTTGATTTCACTGCATCATCTAGAAAAATGAGTGAATGCAAAAATTCTCTATCAAAATTTGAAATAGAAAGTGTTTCAAATAATTCATCCCGTTGTTTATCAATAATTTTATCCTCTAATCCTTGCTTCTTGATTGTATTATATAATTCTTTATACATTAAAAAGTTTTTTTAAATAATCTTCTGCTTCTTCTTGTGATAAATAAATAATTGGAATTTTGATTAAATGCTTTAAAGATTCAAATGTATCATCTGAAGGTGAACCTGAACGGTTGATATAAATTAACACATGTGAATGGGGGGAAGTGTTAGCAATAATGATAATTTGTTTTAATATCGTTAATGTTTTACCTTTATTTTGTTTACCAATTGCTGCAGTGATTGAATTTAAGTAACATTCAGAATATGGAATTTTCATTAATTTTTCCTTAGATAGAGCATTTCTATTATCACTCAATGCTTCATTAATCATATCATCTACGTATGTATTATATACTCCCGCTAATTCTTCAGAATTTAAATCCATTTAATCAAAAATAAATTTATAATTTTATACATTTCTATTCATCAATATTTCATCATATGAACTTCTATACTGTGGTGGTGTACCTGTTGGATGATATTTCAAACCTTCATCCGGTGTCCATGTCCAATACGTAGTCCTAGTAAACCAAACCTGAGGAGGATTTGTCACCTTTGAACAGTAAGTGTCATTTACACCCTGAATGATTGGATAAGCTTTCACTTGTACTGTAACTTGTGAGTTGAAAGTTTCTAATCCATCAAAGAATATACCCGCTCCATCACGTTGAACTGGAATAGTGCATAAGAATGAAGTTTGGTCTTTCCATGTTCTAGCTAATGGCACGCCATTATCATCATTCAGTGGTCTAGTTAATGAGTCCTCGTATTCTTCTGTGCATTCATTCACTCCATCTAAATCAGAAGCTTGAAGCATACGTGTAAAGAATATGTCGCCCACTGTGGTCATCGCTTGATCGGGGAAGTTTCTGGAATCTATAGTGACCTGAAGACCTCGAAGCATTGGATTTTCTAAAACTGTTCTTTGCATTGCATTCTTCGGAAATGCTAACACAACATCTGTAACATTATGAAGAGCGTATGAGAAATCTGAGCTGATACCTTCAGGAGTGATGCAACCTCCATTTAGTGAACGAACGTCAATATGTTGAGCTGGAATCATGAATGGATCTTCCTTACTAAATAAACGTGGTATTGCTTTAACTGATTCTTCAATTAAACCGTATCCTGGTGTAATGCATTTATCCTCTAAAACTTCCATCTTTGTGCATGAAATAATAACGTCTTCAACTGTTGCGTCAGCAGATGTAGCGGCTAAGCTTGTAATTAATTTGGTAGGAAGTCCGATTTGTTGGAATTTGCGATCATATTTATAAACATGATTCATAATCTTTTCATAATTTTCATCAGTTATCTTTTCATAAACGTAATTTTGTAAATCAGCAACTCTTAACGGGTCAACCTGACAAAATACTAAAGTATCCCTGAAAAATAATATTTAAGAATGATTTCACCAAATGATTTAGGATAATCATCGAACGCCTGAAATGCTAACAAATCATTTACCGGAATAATCATATCAAAAGTGATATCAACTTCTTCATTTGCTTTCTTGAAAACTTCTGAAGGGTCAATATATTTACCACATACTGAGTTATCATATTTTTGAACATTATTATATAACGAATGAACAAACTTTTTAACTTTCCTTTCTGATTTTGGTTTATATGTTGCAAATGCGAAAGATTCACGGGCGCAATCCATCTGAAGATAACCGGCATCACCTCTTTCGGTTTCTACTTCTAATTGTTTAAAGCTTTGATTTGATGATTTATAACCAACGAATAAACGCATACATTTAAAAGCGGCATCACATGTGAAAGCTTTATTTGAAACTAGAGTTGCTTTAACTTTGCGTTTAATATATGTGTCACCTAATTGGTTCACATCATGAGCCGGATTTGTAATTCTTAAATGAGTTTGTTTATCATCAAAATATGGAGCATCAGAGTCATAGCATGAACTTTCAAGTTCTCTATAATATCTTCTTCCGTCATTCTTTGCAAATATTTCATTTATCTTTTCGAATGAATGAAACACATTTCCATTAATTGGTTTAGTGTTTGGCACCAAATAGTTAGTCGTCATTTATTATTAAATAAAAAATCAAAATTAAAATATGAAAATGAATTTTTAATTTTAATGAAATAATCAACTATGGCTGCAGGATTCTTTAAGAAACTGTGGGATAAAGTAAAAAGAGGAGCGCATAAAGTTTGGGAAACAATGAAGAAAGGAGCGAATTGGATATTTAAGAATAAAGAAGCAATTAGTGACGTTGCTGAATCAATAACACCAAAAGCTGCCCCAATAAGAGAAATTTTAAATAAAGGAGAAAAAGTTTATCAAAGACTACAACCAATACTAAGATAAAAATAATATTTATTTATTTTTCCACTATTTACCCCTATTTTATTAAGTATTCCTTCAGCAATTCCACCAATTGCGTTACCTGCTTGTGCTCCCATCGCCGGATTACCTGCTTTAGTACCTAATACTCACCTATGATAGTTCCTGCCGTTTTCGCTACTGGTGCCAAAAAGTTTGCAACAGGTTTAATAACCTTTTTATAAACCCAACCTGCAGCTTTCTTAATTCCATCCCATAATTTTTTAAAGAATCCTGCCGCCATTTCTGATTTAATATTAATTAAAAATATATTTCATCACTTATATTCTAATTTTTATTTAATGATAAATGAAACCAATTTTAAAAATAAATGAAACAGAGGAGGAAGAAATAAATGAAAGTGAAAATGTTCAACAAAAAATAAACGTTGTTAAACCAATTACTGAAATAAAATTTTTTTCATCTGTTGATGAATTTAATGACTATTATGCTAATAATAAAAAATTATTTGAAGAATTGACAACATGTAAATTGAATAAAATGTTTAAAGTTGATGGATTCAAAATTTCAAAAATAAAAGGAGTGGTTAGTTTGAAATCTATTCCTCAATCAAGAATCACCTCATTAATGAAAATAGATGATTTAACAAAAGAATAGAAGAGATTGAAGAAAGAATGAATCAAATAATTGGTTTCATAAATTCAATAATCATTAGTTTCAATTTATTTTTAAAGTTTATTTTTCATTCATGAAAATAATTATTTCTAATTTCTTTTACTCTCTCGTACATACTAGATTTAAAGAATTCAGAACTTTTACCATAATCTCCTAAATGTTTTCTTATCCCTAACGTGTGCCAGTTATTATATGAAACTGTATAAACTTTATCTTTATCTTTACACCTTTCATCACTTCCAATATATTTATATTTCAATTTTGATTTAGCATTTTCATATTCATTAGCGTTTAATAATTCACAGTCTTCCTTTTTAAATAAATGTTTTATGTATTCAGGATTTAATACTCTACGTTTATATGCTCCTAACTTAGTTCTAAAGGTTTTTCTACAAAATTTAGGAATTCCATCCTCTTTAATGTCATCAATGATTTCCATTTCATTATTTTCAATTTCTTCTTCCCGTTTATGAGGTCTTTGATTATGACTCCATTGATTCCATGAAATTAAATATTCTTTATCATTATATTTATACCTCATTAGCTTATTTTGGCTTTCATATTCATTTAATAATTCACAATCTTCATTTTTAAATTGAAGTTTAACCCATTCAGGATTTAAACAATGTTTAATTAATCGCGGAATATCTGACATCATCTATATATAGCTTCTTTTATAAAAGATAAAAAAATAAATTATTTTAAAATTAATGTTAATTTTTTAATGTGTTTATAAATAAATATATTTTAATGCATCGTCTATATATAGATGTTACAAAAAAAGTCACTAAACCCGCACTCATATACTACTGAAGGATAAACCTCAAAATTTACGAATATAATGAGTGGGAATATAATGCTTATCTATCATAAAACCATATGAAATATCAATTTTTGCTTTACGCCTAATTTTTGACGACAATTAGCAAAAAATGTTAAATGTTAACACTCAGTCCATTTGAATATGAAAAATAAAATTGACTTTGATTAAATGTTTTTATTTATCATGCAATTCTTCTTGCGACCAAAGATTTGAATAAAATTTCAAAAAATAAGATAGCTTAAAAAATAATGTACGGTAGTGTTTACTAATAGATGAATAGTATATAAATTCTATTGGATTTGATCCAAAAAAAATATATAAAATTTGATCATAAATAAAATCGTTTTAAATTACTTCTTCATTTAAATTATAACAATTATTTTTGGTTTTATATTTTTTTGGATCAAATCCATTTTAATAGAATTTATATACTATTCATCTATTAGTAAACACTACCGTATATTATTTTTAAGCTATCTTATTTTTTGAACTTTTATTCAAATCTTTGGTCGCAAGAAGAATTGCATGATAAATAAAAAATTTAATCAAAGTCAATTTTATTTTTCATATTCAAATGGACTGAGTGTTAACATTTAACATTTTTTGCTAATTGTCGTCAAAAATTAGGCGTAAAGCAAAAATTGATATTTCATATGGTTTTATGATAGATAAGCATTATATTCCCACTCATTATATTCGTAATTTTTGAGGTTTATCCTTCGCTTTTAAGATCATTGATTTTGATTTTTATATAAAATAGTTATATATTAGAAAATAATATGAGTTTATGTGATATTATTTTTCAGAAGATTTTGTGTTCTTCTTCAAAATTTTATTTTTTTATTAAAAAGAATCTTTACAAAATATACATTTACTTTAATTAATATTTTAAAACGTGCTCTATCAAAAGTTCCAAAAATTCAATATTTTAGCTTTTCTGAGGTGTCACTTTTGATGAATTTCTGTTTACAACAGGTTATAGATAAATATGAAAGAGCATAATTAAAGATAGTTTTTAATCCTTCTGGAAGAAGAAAACTGGAAATCGATGAGCATTTATAAAATGCATATTGACCGATATATTCGAGATAAATACATGAAGAAAGATCAACGTTTCGAAGTTTTGAACAGCTGAAAAATGCATAGTCGTTAATACGTCTTAGGTTTGGGTTTTGTTTGAATGAAAATGTTTCAAGAATGTTTTTGACTGACTTGAAACAATAATTGATTTCATCAACACCACCAAATACTTCGCATTCGGATGAAATAATCAGATTTTGACTTTGAACACAGACGGAGTTTAATGTTTTGCCTCCGTCTGAATAACAATACTGTGGAATTTCAGTCATTTTCGATCAAAATAGTCATATAAAGATTATATTATCTACTATTTATTGTCATATTATTGCATATGTCTCTTATTTTTCAAGAATGATGTTTCCTCGAACCTTCATTTTCCAACATCATCCCATAAATGATTGAATATTGTTTGGAAATTAAATTAATGGGATCCCTTTCGAAATGCTATCATAAGATTGGCGCGTGTCAATCAATGGTGTATGATTTGACACCAAATAAAAATTATCTTTTTCTTTTATGAATAAATATTTTCAAATTTGTTTGTTGTTCTCGTTGCGCTATTCGAATTATGTTCAAAATCAAGAATTATAGCAAACTCTAGAATGTCACTTTTTGTCAAAATTCATGATAGTATTTGTTTTTATAAGGAATCAAGTTGTGTTTACGATGTATTAATTAGAAAATGTCGCAGAACGATACATTCAATTTTTTTAACAATTTCAACAATGGAAGATGAAGAAATCAGAAACGATTTTTATGTTTACTTTTGGGTTTTAGCTAAATCCTTTACATTTGTTAGAGTTCCTATTGATATAGAACTCTATACCGATATAAATAGCCTTATCAATCATGTCGCAAGTCATTTAGGCGTTCCAAATAATACGGATGTATTCTTCATGGAATATGTTGCCCAGTCTGAAGATAAGAAAGGCAAAAGAAGAAGCGATTCGAATGCAGTTTCCGATATCAGAGAAAAACGTTCTCAAAAATCAGAAGCAGATAATACAAAAGAAGAGAAAGTAGCAAAGATGAGAAAATTAGAAGATTTAAGCCAAATACGAAACAATAGACATTACATATTCGTTAAACAAGGAATGGGTGAGAAAGCAATTCCAAAATTCTTGAACAGCGAAACATACTTTAAATTTGTTAGGAAAATGTTCAAGCAATGGGACTTTCTCATGGAAAATATGAAATGTTCGTCACCTCTTGCTCTTTTTGATGAAAATGGTGAAATTTCAGAGGAATTGTACGATCTCTGTGACCTATTTAACGAGCAGCTTGATATACAATAACTTTGTTAAGAATAAAAAAAGTGTCGAAAATTTTTTAATTTTTTTCCTAAATTATGATTCCACCCGAAACTAAAGAGGCTGAGAAGCCAGAAAGCGATAATAATCTAGGTGAGATTATTCATCAACCCAATTCTAATGAAAATATTGAAAATGAGAAACAAGAAAGCGAAATTCAAGTTTCAAACGTAGATATTATAACAAAAGATACAGAAATCGATGTAAATCCAAAAGAAAATGAACAAATACAGTCTAATAATTGCGAAAATAAAGAAGTTAGCATCGAAAAAGAACAAGAAACTTCAATAATTTCATCTCCTGATAATCATAAAGAGAATGAAAGCGATATTAAAGCCAGCGAATGTACATTAGAGAGTAAGCATGAGCCTAAAATATTCGAGTCTTATATTACGTTATTAAATAATCAGCAAAAGCAGAAAGAAGCTTGGGATAAAATGATGAAAGAAAGACTTGAGCATGCCTCCAACTGTGATGATTATTACAATAAAATTCAGAATTCTCCAAAACTTCAACTTTCAAATGAATCTTGCAAGCCTCAAGTGGCTCCATTCCCAACTCTTCCTAGCTCTCAAGAAATACTAGCACGTATAAAAGCTACCGAAGATGAAATAATAGTTCAAAAGCGAAAATTACAAGATTTGATCATTTCAATACAACCAAAAGTTACAGAATTCGGATCTACCGAAGACGCACCTCCAGAGATTGGGATTCGCAACTGTTCTGGCGTAATTATTGGTAAAAAGGTGATAGATTCAATAATTTCAGCCAATCGTGCAAAAGCATCTAAATCACACGATAAAAGTATATTGCATAACGAAATTACATCCAAATATAAAAGAATTGGTGACTATCCCCACTACTTTATGGATAATACACAATTTATTGAGCCAATGCTTGAACATATTGCAGAAAATAAAGAGGAAGAATATGAATACAACCAGAAATTAACTCGAGAGTACATAGAACGTAAAGAAATATGGGATGAAATGTCAGATAATTTGAATACCTACCATAAAGTACTCCATGCATCAATAGATGTCTGGCCACCAGAATTCGCTGTGAATCTACCTAAGGAAACCGATCATGAAAAGCTTTTATCTGTTGTTGCTCCAGATCAAATCATGTATAACAGCCAAGAAGAGAAGGAAGCCTACTTGTACTACGATGAAAATATGTTGGTCGAAGATCCTGAACGCGCCCATCAGCAATTCAAAAATAGACTTAAATGGACCGACCACGAAAAGAAGATTTTCATGGAAAAATATGCTCTTCATCCACGCGAATTTAAGAAAATCGCCAATAGCTTGCCAGGAAAGAGTATTAAGGATGTTATTGAATATTATCACATTTATCGAATTAAAATAGACCTCAAGAAACTGGAAGTTGCTGCTAGGACCAAGGGAAGTAAGAGAAGAGTAATTGCGGAAGGCTCAAGAAAATAATTTTTCAAAAAATTAATTTTAATCAAGAAAAAAAGGATTAATTATCGGCAATTGACTTGCTATGGATAATTATTTGTCCTTTTTCTCATCTTTCATGCGAAGTTTTCTCAAGAACCTTCTCATATCTTCTTCAATAAGAAACTACCCTTAATGAACTTTGAAAAACCACAAAAGTTTAATCAATGAGTCGTTGTGATGTCGTGTTATGAGTATTTGTTCAATTACTCATAAAAAAAATTCGAAATTCCATTCATAGAAATATCAACATTTCCGGCCTGAGCCAAATACAATCTTAGTTAACTCATACTCCGTATTGAGTTTCTTGAAAAAAAATCAAATTTATAAAATAAAATATTTTGTTATGTTTTATAAGCACTAAAATCTAGATTGAAAATAATAGTTGAATGATTTGAAGGAGAAGCGTTAACAATTTTTCACTCGTTTGAAATCAATAAGAAACATTTGCCTTTTCATATACTACGAAATGATTCTATACACCAATATGAAAATAAACTATATAATTGAAAAGAAGCTATCACGAATGAGTATTCAATAATTAGCATATTTCTAAAATAATTCAAATCAAATTCGATTATGCTAAAATATGCTAATAATATAACATTCAGTCATTTGAAAAGATTCGATAAAACCTTTTTAACCATAGACAAAAATGTTTCAATGGAAAATGAAAATGATGTTATTAATAATGTTGGAATCTATTGAGCAGGCTAGATTATTATATACAAACATAAAACATTTTAAATGCAATTGCAAGCTTTTAACGCCGCCTGTGCATCTTTATTTCCCTTTTGGATTGCCACTCCAAGTGGTGTTTTGTTATAAGAATCTTTTGCATTCTTTTGAATTCCTGCTTGTTTACAAAGGAAAGTGCAAAGTTTAGCGTAATTGAGATAGGCGGCTATATGGAGAGGAGTTCTTTTATTTGTTTTAGTGGTTGCATTTATGTTAATAAATTGAAGTGCAAATTGAACCCCTTCTATAGAATCTCTGTGACAGAAATAATGAAGAATTGTGATATCATCATCAGTCTTGGAACAAGGATCTGCTCCATATTCTTGTAACAATCTAACAAGCTTAAGATTTCCTTTACGTGCAGCATTAATAATGCAATTTGATCCCTTATCATTAATTATTCTCCAGGTATTGTTTTTAACACATTCCTCGATAGTCTTTGTGTCATCATTTGCTGCTGCTTTTTCCAAAATCTCATAAACTTGATAAAATAATTGTGAAATTTTGAAATCCTTAATTTGAATTGAATGACTTCTTGAGGATTCATAAGATGCATTACCAATATGAAAATCACCTGCATGTTTTAAAAAAATGTCGTTTAAGGGCTTCATTTCAAAAATTTCTGATATACATTTTATGACCGTGTAATTATCTTTATCTTTTTTGAAATTAACATTTGAGCATTTCAACATGGAAATAATGTCGTTTGGATCAAAATACTCCTTTACAATGTTGAAAATTCTTGTAAATTGATCCACGGAAAGGTATGTAAGCTTTAAAATTTCGCACATTTGGTGTGTCTCCCTAATTTTAATAAAGTCTTCGTTGATAATTTTATCTATATTGCCAGCATAATACTTATAATCGATCTCCATTTTCAATAAATTTTTAGATTACGACTTAATTGAAAAATGAAAAAAATCATTGGAAATTAATTAGGAGAAAGATGCTAGATATTTAAAACTTTTGAAATAAATTGAATAGTGGAAAAAAGTCGACTTTTAAAATTGGAGCCCATGGGTAAAAAAATCGTCTGATTTTTATATTAAAATTGAATGGAGGTATGTGTTGGCATTGATTGTGGAACTACAAATTCATGCATAGCATATGCTGATAACATAAATTCGGATGGAAAGGTAATACAAGTTAATGGAAAAAACTTTGTTCCAACAAATTTAATTTATTATAAAAATTCTAATGAACCATTAGCATGTGTTGACAAATCAACTTCGGATATTGAACCAGGCAATTGTTTACATAATATTAAACGCATCATCGGAAAAGATTTATTAGATGAAGATATTCAAAATAGAAAATCAAATTGGGATTTCAAATTAGTTGAAGGCAATAACAAAATGGCAGCATTTCAAGTAAAAACTAAAGATGGACGGTGTATTGTATCTCCTGAACAGGCAGCCGCACATGTCTACAAAAAATTAATAAACGCCGCGAAATCAACACAAGAGAGTGAAAATTGTAAGGCAAAAGTCGTTCTTACAATTCCTGTTGCATTCAATGCTGAACAATGTGAACGCATAAAATCAGCTGCAAAAGCCGCAAAAATTGATATTCTTTCTACAATCTATGAGCCAACTGCAGCTGCGATTGCAAGCAATGTCATGTCTTCTGGAAAAAATCAAAAACTTATGATCTTCGATTTCGGTGGAGGCACATTGGATGTAACAATTATGGAAATGAGCAAAGATTCAGAAGGAGTCTTCAAGTTCAAGACTATTGCCATTACCGGAGACCCAGATCTTGGTGGCGAAGTAATCGATGAAATGCTCATGGATCATTTTTCACAAATTTTGGAGAAATATGATTATAAAGTCAAAACCGGTGATGATGAAATGACAAGCCGTAATCTCAGAACTCTGAGAGATACATGCCACAAAATGAAAGAAGAACTTACTTACAAAAAATCCGTGGATTTTACCTGGCCCGGTATTAATTTTAAGCCAAGAGATTCTAAAATACTTTCATCTAAATTTCAAATGATGATGGAAGAAAAGGGATATACCGATCGCATCAGAACAACTGTAAAGACATGCCTTAATAAAGCCAATTACAAACCAAAAGATGTTGACAAAGTTATATGTGTTGGTGGTTCTTCCGTTATGAAAGTAGTAAAAAAGACACTTGAAGATATTTTTGATGAAGAAAAAATATCAATAAGCAAACATCCTGAAGAAGATATAGCTAAAGGAGCTGCAATTTATGCTTATTTACTTCACTCTGGAGGTGTTAAAAATGTTCTTAACACTCCCCCGCCAACAAGACAAAAATGTCCAGTTTCAATTATTGTTGAAAACAATTTACCATTTTCTATTGGTTATACAGATGCATATGGTGATATGGATGAAATTTTTGAGAAAGGAATCGTAATCCCTGTAAGTAGAACAATTAGTGTTAGTAGTGCTTCGAATACACAATCCAATATGTATTTGAGAGTTTGCTACAGAAATGATTATGATGAAAATCCAAAATCATTAACATCTTATATCATTGACTATAATGGAGCAAGAGGCGACAAAGTAAAGGAAACATGGTCAATTGATGCAGGTGGAAATCTTACAATTACTTCTGTTCTTGCTTCATCCGGAAAAATAATCTCTAAGAATGTTGGTTTGTTTGAAACATCAAGTGAAATTTATTGTGATTCTGAAAATGACATAACATTTGATTGCGCTCATAACTCCGAAATTAATAGAAGAAATGAAATTTCTAGTGATTCAGGAAATGATCGAAGAAATGAAAGTCAACATGATCCTGAGATGGACTCAATCAAGCAGCAAATTCGAGATGAAATTTCTAATGCAATAAAGAAAATGAAAATTCTCCCACAGTTGAAGTCCATAAAAGTACAACTCGATGAAATAAGCCGATGGTTAGATTCAGATGAGAAAAGAACAAAAGAAGAATACAACAAGAAACTTGAAGAAGTTCGAAATCTTGTTCAAAGAGGTCGAGCGCCTGATGTATCTGCTGGCATTAATAGAAGACCTGAAATCACTCGCAACTCTGAAAATGATCGAAGAACTGAAATCACTCGCAACTCTGAAAATGATAATTCGTCTGAAAGTTCCAGTTTTTCTGATACTGATTCATCGACAGTAAGTTCTAGTGATTCAGGAAATGATCGAAGAAATGAAAGTCAACATGATCCTGAGATGGACTCAATCAAGCAGCAAATTCGAGATGAAATTTCTAATGCAATAAAGAAAATGAAAATTCTCCCACAGTTGAAGTCCATAAAAGTACAACTCGATGAAATAAGCCGATGGTTAGATTCAGATGAGAAAAGAACAAAAGAAGAATACAACAAGAAACTTGAAGAAGTTCGAAATCTTGTTCAAAGAGGTCGAGCGCCTGATGTATCTGCTGGCATTAATAGAAGACCTGAAATCACTCGCAACTCTGAAAATGATCGAAGAACTGAAATCACTCGCAACTCTGAAAATGATAATTCGTCTGAAAGTTCCAGTTTTTCTGATACTGATTCATCGACAGTAAGTTCTAGTGATTCAGGAAATGATCGAAGAAATGAAAGTCAACATGATCCTGAGATGGACTCAATCAAGCAGCAAATTCGAGATGAAATTTCTAATGCAATAAAGAAAATGAAAATTCTCCCACAGTTGAAGTCCATAAAAGTACAACTCGATGAAATAAGCCGATGGTTAGATTCAGATGAGAAAAGAACAAAAGAAGAATACAACAAGAAACTTGAAGAAGTTCGAAATCTTGTTCAAAGAGGTCGAGCGCCTGATGTATCTGCTGGCATTAATAGAAGACCTGAAATCACTCGCAACTCTGAAAATGATAGGAGAAATGAAAGCACTAATAACTCTGAAAATGATAGAAGACCTGAAATCACTCGCAACTCTGAAAATGATAGGAGAAATGAAAGTCCGCATGATTCTGAGATAGATTCAATCAAACAGCAAATTCGCGATGAAATTTCCAAAGGAAGAGATTCGGTTTCGAGACGTCCTGTTTTGAGGGTTATGAAAGGACCGCAACTTGATGAAATAAGTCGATGGTTAGATTCAGATGAGAAAAGAACAAAAGAAGAATACAACAAGAAACTTGAAGAAGTTCGAAATCTCAATAAAAGATATCAAACGACTGATGCATCGACTGATGATAATAGAAGAACTGAAAGTTTTCATAATCCTGAAATTAATCGAAGAACTGAAACCACTCGCAACTCTGAAAATGATCGAAGAGATGAAAGTCAACATGATCCTGAGATGGACTCAATCAAGCAGCAAATTCGAGATGAAATTTCTAATGCAATAAAGAAAATGAAAATTCTCCCACAGTTGAAGTCCATAAAAGTACAACTCGATGAAATAAGCCGATGGTTAGATTCAGATGAGAAAAGAACAAAAGAAGAATACAACAAGAAACTTGAAGCGGTTCAAAACCTCACTAAGAGAGGTCAAATGGCTATAAGATGATTGAAATGATTTATCAATTGTTTGATTTCGAAACAAAAAATATATTAATTTTTTCGTTCATGTATTTTTTAATACTATATTCTAAATATTATTATATATGAATTCACAATATGAGCATATTTATTATCAGGATATATGAGAAATAACATAGCATATAATCAGAATTTAGTTATGTTTGAAATATGTATAAGAGTTTTATAGATAATATTTATGTTTATTTCTTTTAAATTTTGATAGTTTATGAAAGAATTAAATAACATTAATAAAAAAAAGTAATTATTAAATTATATATATATATATAAAAATTCTAATCAAGTTCATCAACGTTGAACTTATCGGATACATTTTCGTCAAATTTTTCTTCAGAAACAATCGTGATTTTAGATGTTTCTGTTCCTTTGTTGTCTTCTTCAAATTTTAGAGGGCTTGAAGGTACACTCTCGTCTTTTGTCTCGTCATTTGCACCAGTTGTAACAAAGAAACGCTCATCTGAGCTCATGGTAAAAAGGTTGCCACCTGATGAGCTTTCTGATGCATCTTCGTCTGAAGACCACAGTTCTGGATGATCTTTAAGAGACTGGCCCGCTTCGATGACTGCTTTTCGCTGCATGTTTCGGAACTTGATTCGGTTTTGATCTTGTTGTTGAAGTTTCTCTTGTTTGATCTGCTCCCGCATGGACTTTTCTGCTTGTGGACCGCCTTGAACCCATGCATTAACTAAACGGCGTTCATCAAGCTCAATTGGTGAGTCATCAAGGAACCTAAGCTCTTTATTCATAGAAATGAGCTTACGGCGGTAATTGTCCATGTTTCTTGTGACTGGATTTCCTGTATTTCTTAAAACTCGAAGTTTGGGAAGCTTTTGCAGGTATTCAGAAAACTTTTCATCTTCCATTCCATTATCTGTCATGTTTAGTACTGTTAACTCGGGAACATCTGCAAGGCCAGATAATGACTCTGGTTGCTTTAGTCTGTTATGATCAATTTCAAGAGTAGTTAAATTTGGACAGCCAGAAAGGCCTGAAATGTTTGAAATGAAATTATTTGAAACAACTAGTGTTTTAAGAGAATAAAGACCTTCTAAGCCGCTAAGTTCTTCGATGATATTGTTTTGAAGATATAAACATGCCAAATTTTTTAGATTTGATAAGCCTTCAATAACAGAAATGGCATTGTTATTGAGCCAAAGAGCCTTTAAATTAATGAAAGGATCTAAATTTTTTATGCGTGTGAAAGATCGATAATGTAAATAAAGAACGTCATTGAGTTCAGGTGAACTGACATAACCACTATTCTTTTTGAGTGATTCGCGGATTGCTTTTTTAGTAATTGGCTTTCCATCGTCTTCCTCCTCTTCAAAGTAACTCATTACAAAAAAAAATAACGTGTTTTATTTCTTCTCCCAAATTATTTACGTTTAAAAAATCCGGAACGCATAGAAATCAAATGTCAGATAAGGATAACAAGCATTTATCTAAGAAAATTTGGCTTTCGATTTAGAAAAAATGGAAATTTAATGTATTCTCTGATATTAATGAACGTTATGGGTTATACATTGCGTGAATGATAATTTTTGTTAAATTATATCGATTAATAAATTAAATATTAAATTTTTTTATTATTGAATTCGAGTTCAAGCTTAAACTATATCGGAAATCATTTGTTTATATGAAATTTTAGAAAAATTGTTGTTGATAAAATCGAAAATCATGAAAAAAAATTATAAAATAAATTTTACAAGAAATCATAGATTATATATACTTAGTGAAGCGTGGGAGAACATTTGAATCTGGAATTCTCTTCATAGCGTTCTGCATTAAGCTCATTCTGTTTGGATGTCCAAGACCACACAAAAGAGCAACGGATTGCTGCATGATAATATTGTATTGGCCCAACTTATCTAACACCTTCTCTGTATTTTGCATAATATTAGGAATTGCCTTAATTTCGTTTGAAAATCCGTTTTCAAACAGATAAATGAGGAAAGAAAGGCAGTTCAAGCATATATGTTGCTGTTCAAGATGGAGAACAAGCATAAATGATGCCAAATTATGGAGTTTCTTGTCAATACAATTTTGTTTGTTGCCGCGAACAGCAAAAGTAAGAGCAAGGAAGCCATTGGCAACAATCTCGGTGACTTTTGCGTTCTTCTGGATGACAGGAGCAAGTTTATTCTCGACTTTTGTGGCAAATTCGATTTCTTCAGGTGAAACATCACTTCTAAGGCTGTAGTCGAATGATCTATTGGCTTTTTCATCATATTTGGCCATGGTTCTGCATAAAATAACGCATGCAGCTGAAAGAACGAATGGTTCCATTTTTTCATCGATCAAATCGAGAACAAACTGGACATTCTTGGGATCCTCGAGGTATAAAGTGCAATCTGACATGAAACAGATCCTGGAAAACGCCAAAATCGATACATTATTTTTCATATTAAAAAGTGTATCGACATACTTCTTGTTTGTTGCAATCCTTCGCATCGCTGCTGGTGTAATATTGCAAATTGATATGGAAAGAAGTAAAGCGTCACGTTCTGGACCTTCAAATTCAGATTTTTCAAAGTGGTCGAGCAAAATGTCCAAAAGTCCCTTCTCTGCGGCCTTCTTAAATGATTCTTCATCGGCCAATTTGAGGTATTTGACGATTTTTCCAAGATTTTGGGATGAAACATCCTTTAATGAAGGAACTAAGGTATGCATCAAGGTAAAATCGAATACTCCGTCGATGAAGAGCTGGATGCCGAAATCTGAAAGGGCTTCGATGACTTTTGTATTGTGAACGAATAATTTCATCAAAGGAATGATAATTTTGCCGATATTACGGGCAGTAAGCTTCTCAGCACCTTGGTCTGTAATTTGGTTCTGTCTTAAAAACATTTTGAGCTTTAATAATTGAATCAAAAATTCATCTTGGTCAAAAACTAAGTCTACGAGATCTCTGTATGGTTTAATGTCATTATCGGTGGTAGAAAGGTTAGGCATTCCGATATGTGACATGAACATTTTAATTCCTTGCTCAATTTCCTTATTTGTGCCATTTTTCTTTGTAATTGAGTATTCTCCAAGTGCTGCTACGAGATTTTCTTTGGATTCGAATACCTGTCCGAGTCTGAAATGAGCCAAAGCGAAATAAATTTGGAGTGGATCATTTTCAAGGGGTTCTTTTCTAATTTCATGGTATGATTTTATGATTCTGTTGCAGTCTTCAACGACTATGTCATTCTTGTCTAATAACAATGCACATTGAGCTCTTGCAGCAAGTAATGAAAATAAAATTTCTGTTTCTTCATCAGAATTTCCTTTAATACTATCGATGACTGGGGATATTTCTTCAGATGCAACCTTGTATTTGCGTCCAGAAACTAACTTAAGAATTCTTTGCGAATTTTCGCGAAGATTTTCCATAAATAAATGGTCAGACAACTGCTTTATGAAAAAAGTTTGTTTTAGAGATAAATAAGAGAATTTAGATCTTGCAATTATTCATCATGATAGTGTGTAAATAGAGGAATGTAATTACTATTTCCAACCATTGTAACTCTCTTTTTTTAATTTAAATCATTCGAAATTAGTCATGAATATAATGCCTAACGATCTCATCTGATTGAAAATATATTCTTTGTATCATTTCATATAATATATTAGCTTGAAACATCCAGAAATCGATGCTTTTTTTTTAACATATTTTAGCAATAATTATTAATTTGCTAACGTTGTTAGATACTTCTATGGAATGTATGTCCCTCCAAAATATTCACTGATGTGATAGCATCCTCGGGATTTTTGGACTTCCAATGAATTGAAAGAAATTTGAAGGAATCTAAGCAGAAAACTATGCAAAAAGTTCATTACCATATAATATATTGCATATATTTCATAAAATTAAAAGGCATTTCAAAAATGGATTTCGAGAACAATTGAAATCCTGATTTGTTGAGGGATTATTAAACAAATTTGCATGTCATTCACATCTATCCATCGAAAGTTTAGAGTTCTGAGATGCTTACACTTGAAAAATAAGAAACTCACAATAAATCATTTAAAAATTATTTTTATCTAAAGAGAAAGATATGAAATAATACATTTCACATAAGCATCTGATATCAAAGATTGCTTTTATCATAAAAAAAAGATATTATAAAAAATATAATTTACATAAGTGGATTAAATCCAAATAGACTAAACAATAAATTAGAAGAACACTTCATTCATGGTATTATCTTCTCTATTTTCAGGGGGAGTATCTGAGGTAAATAACTCAGGATCGTTCTGTATATCAAGTGTTGTCTTTGTTGTTTCTGTTAAAACAGTTCCAATTTCTGTTTCTTCAGATACATCAGGGATTTCAGATGAAGAATCATCAGAAAGACCCTTCTTAGTACGTCTGTACATAAACAATCCGAGAAGTGAAAACAACAAAAGAATGGCCATTGCGCCAATACTCAATCCAATAATTCTTCCCGCCTTTGATTTATCTCTTGGTGCAACATCATTCACAATCATTTCCAATGTGATATATGTTTCTGTTTCAATAACAGTGAATGTAACAACATGAGTCAATGTTACTTCACCTCTAGAAAGTGTTTCAGAAACAGTAATTGTTTCTTCAACGGTTGTTGTTATAATTTTAGATGAAGTAACAATGATTGTTTCACCACTTGAAGGGACATTTGAAGCAGAAGGTGTTGATGCAGGAGTTGGAATAGGTGTTGAAAACGCAGGAGTACTAAATGCTGTTGCAAAAACAGTCTTAAATGGTGTACTCGATGGTGTTGAAAAAGCGGTTTCAAATGGAGTAATAAATGGTGTTTCGACATTTGTTACAGAAGCTGTTTCAAATGCTGTAGAAAATGGAGTGATAAATGGTGTTGTTTCAGCAGTTGAATGTGCTGTACTGAATGGAGTATCATGTGGTGTAGAATGTGCAGTACTAAATGGAGTATCATGTGGTGTAGAATGTGCTGTACTAAATGGAGTAATAAATGGTGTTGTAAATTCAGTTTCAAATGGAGTTTTATGTGCAGTACTAAACGGTGTCTCAAATGCAGTAACAAAAGCAGTGGAAAATGGAGTACTAAACGGTGTTTAAAAAGCAGTAACAAAAGCAGTAGAAGATGGAGTTTCAAAAGCAGTAACAAAAGCAGTAGAAGATGGAGTTTTAAAAGCAGTAATAAAAGCAGTAGAAAATGGAGTTTCAAAAGCAGTTTTGAAAGCAGTAGAAAATGGTGTTTCATGTGCTGTAGAAAATGCTGTGGAATGTGCTGTTGAAAAAGGTGTTTCAAATGCTGTTTTTTCTGCAGTAGAAAATACTGTATCGAAAGGAGTTGAATGAGCTGTTGAATGTGCAGTACTGAAAGGTGTTTCGAAAGCAGTAACAAATGGTGTTGAATGTGCTGTAGAAAATGGAGTTGAATGAGCTGTGGAATGTGCAGTACTGAAAGGTGTTTCAAATGCTGTTTTTTCCGCAGTAGAAAATACAGTTGCAAATGGAGTTACATGGCCTGTTGAATGTGGTGTAGAATGTGGTGTCTCAAATGCAGTACTAAATGGAGTAGAATGTGCTGTAGAAAATGCTCTTGAATGTGGTGTAGAATGAGGTGTTTCGAAAGCAGTACTAAATGGAGTTGAATGAGGAGTAATTGCATTTGTAGCAATTACACTGAAACTTGAAAATGTAAATGGAAAAACATCTTTTTCTAATGGTTTTGCTGTAGGGAATTTATTATATGGCGTTTCTCTTGGTACTCTTGTGAATTGTGTAGCAACATATGTATATTCTGATGGAGAAGGAAGATCAGAAATTTTTTGTTCTCCTTCGAAACTATTACTTATTGTTGCATATGAAATATCATCTGTTGTAGCTCTATTAATTGATTTTCCTGATTCTTCACAAACAGGTGCAGTTCCATTTGTTTGCATTATTACCCAATTTAGATTTTTTCCATCGGGTTGTGTGTAATAAATGTATTGATTAGGAAGATTTTGGGAAAATTCTGGATTCTTAAAATCATCATTCATCGAATTCCATCCAATATAAGAATTCAAATATATCTCATGACCTCTTCCTCCATATGTTGTTGCATCTTCTGTCTGTGAAAAATCATATTCATCGGTGTTATCTTTGTCTAAAACAAAGTTATTGAAGAAACAACAGCTCTGTGTATAAAACGATGCATAAACACTTGGTGGTTCACCATTTTTAGGCATTGGTGGACCTTCAAAATACAAAGCGCCACCTCCAAATTTGATAGATTTCTGATATTGTTTTTTATTTTCATCTTCAACTTCTTTTTCATCTAAGAAGTGGTTTGTAATGTAATTGTTAATGAATTTGGTATCGAAAATGTCTAATCTCTTTGTCATACAGCATTCCATGCCTCCGCCAAATGATGCAGCATGGTTTTGCTTAAATTCACAATGATCTAGTATGGCTTCTGTACAGGCAATGACTGATAAGCCTCCGCCACATGAATGCGCCCTATTTTCAATGAAATTGCACTCTTGGAGTACTAATCTGACGTTGAGAGTGTTTACTAAATTGGAATCTCCATCATAACACACGGCACCACCAAATTTGTAAGCAACATTCTTGTTAAAGATGGATTTAATTAAGTATACTTGTGATTGGACGCAGCAGATGGCTCCACCTGTTGCTGCACGATTTGATTTAAAATTATTTTCATCGCCGCTCGTTGTTAGTGAAGATTTATACACGTAGATGGCTCCACCAGATGCAGGATCTACTCCTGATCCTAAAGCCCAACAATTTGTGACGCTTAATTTGCTAATTAGAATATTGCAATAGTAGAACTGATACCTTGTTTGCTGATTATTGATATTATCATTTTCTGATAAAGTTCTGGAAACATATTCGTTATTGTATACGTTTTCGTAATCTGGAATATATATTTCGTAATCTGGCATATCCACAAATGCTGGTGGGTTAAGAATGTTTTCTTGACTTACGGGAGAATCTACTTCGCCGTCTGATATTGCTAAACTACATAAAATTGGAAGAAATATCATTACCAATCCAAGTGGAAAAAAATTTCTGAAGATAATTTGAATTGCCGAACCATCGATTATTAAAGTTGCCTATATTGATCTGATAAACAAATTTGTGCAAAAAAAGATATCAAGTGTAAGCAGTTTATTTGAAATTATGCTCTCAATTAAGAATACCGGTGTAAAAAATGAAAAGTATTGAAAATATTTTTTTGAATAATCGTTCACTTTCAATTTCAATGATATGTGCATTTTCACTCGGTTTCTTCAATAAATGCTCGAATTTTCTTCATATTCGAGTATAAAATTATTATTGTATATAAATTAATGTGACAATTTTTATTTGTGGCCATTTTCCGATTATTCCTCCAAAAATATGATAGAAAAGTGTAAATTCTTTAATAAAATGAAATTAACATTTGATTTAATGTCTATCCTCCATAAATCGACGTCTATCGTCCTTGGTCTCGAAATTCCATGTTTTGCAAAAAAAAAATTGAGATCGAAATTATTGGAATTGATACCATACATGGAATGTACCTAATGATTTTGTGTATGGCAAATAATATCATTGGGATCCCCCACATTCATATTCTCAAATTAAAAAAAAAATACAAGCCTTATGATCTATACTTTAGGATATTAAATAGCAAGCAATTTAAGCTATAAATGCATAAAAATATGCAAAGTATAACTAGAATTTTGAAATTTTTCAAAAATAACTTTAATATAATAGCTATTCAGGAAGAAATATCTCGTTGTTTTTGTATGGTTAAGCTAATATATTCTTTGTATTGAAATTCGAAGAGAAATCTTTTCAGTCCCAGATATTTCGTAGATTTAGCCTAGTTATGTTTATCTGAAAAGAAGTACTACTGAACCTATTCTCATTTGGACATAATTTATCGCAGATTTTGAGATTCGAAATGCCAAATGCCAGAATTTTTCAATTTTTGTTGGTCTTATGATTTGAATAGTTTCAATACCTTGTTATGAATGGATTTCAATTTAAAAAATCAAAATTCGATCTGACAACCGATTAATTCATATTCAAAATTCTTCCATCCTGTTGTTCAAACAATTTGATCAAAATAGACTTTTCGAAAATTTTTGTAACCTTGTATTTTCAATGGGTTTTACATTTATCAGAAAAGGAATTGAAGAGGTAGGGCAACGATAGAAAATTTTTGGAAAAAAAGTTCGGAGATCTTAAACGTATCATATTCCCTGCATGGTTTGGTATCTTCCGCCATGCGTTGTGCCAAACATATTGACACTTTCCAATAATTAATTTATGGTATGAGTCACAGAGTTAGATTATAAAAAGAAAGTAAATAATTGCAATTAGAAATCATATATGTCGGAAATCAAATGTTGATGAGCAGAAACCTTTTACTCATCATAAAAGAGATAAATCACTAAAGATTTGTATACATTAAAATTTGATATTTGGTGCTCGAAAACTGTCTGATGGGACTCCTCCAAAATGAACCAATCTATCGCTGAGGACCAAATTAGATGATGTGGATGGTGTATTCTCTAATTCTAACTTAGGAAGAATGGGAACAAAACGAATGACGACAACAACATGTCAAACATAGATTAAATATCTATGAATCAATAAAGTATACGTGCATTGAAGGTGATAACGATCACTTGAGGCTTATAACTCTTTGACTAAATTATGCAATAATTAAATATAATCATTTTTATATTTTTATACTGATAGTAATTAATATACTATCCTGCTTAATAAATGGTATGATCAAATTTGTTTGAAAATTTAATTATGTATATGAAACTATGTCTTCTATATAAAAATCAAAATTTTCGGACGAACCTAGATTGAACCTTTATGAAAATCTATCATTTTTGTTAATTGAGTTAATATGAATCTTTTACATATGTATATATAGCATTGATAGCTTATATAATCATGGTTTATTCCATATTAACATATTTTTTCAGTTAAATTTGTTAATAATATCATGTAACAAATTAATTCAAGACTAGAATGTCTACAAAATGCTAACAAATAAGAACAAAATACGATTTCTCGACTTAAATTTTAATATGGAGTAGTTTTTCGTTTAAATCTAATTAAAAATGAATAAAAACTTATTTGTACTATTTTCATTCAAAGATTTTAATAATGTAAATCATGCATTTTCATAATTCAGTACAGTTCTTTTTAGAATTAAAGTTGATGAGGATGATATTTGTGATTTAAAATAATTTGTTAATGTTCACCTTTTATTCATCACCTTGTGGTATGCCCTAAAGCAATAGCATTATCAATTCTGCTGAATTGATCAACTCAAAATTCCAAAAAAAATTCAAAATTTCAAAAATGAAATTAAACAATTTGAATTTTCACATGAAAAAATCAATTTCGAAAAAATTTGGAAAATCAAAGTATTTGATAATTAGTCAAATAATCAATTTACATCGTTTTTACTCATAAAAAACAACTAATTTTTGATTTTGATATCATATTTGATAAATACTCATTCCAGAATTGACGTAATGTATTAATTATTGTTAGAGATATTGCTTTCGCAGCAAAATTCTTATTTCATGAAAGAAAAAAAAATGATTTTATTCCAACAAAAACAAGTAAACAGATGAATGGAAACGTACTATATTTTCATAAATGTAGTAATCAGCGTGTCGGCTTTTGTTTATCATGTTCGAGTCAAAATGTATTAACTTGTAATAAGAAATATTCGAAGATTATATGAAGTATTCAGCATTCTTTGTAGAAATATTTGTAATTCATTACTAACATATATAATAAAGTTGTTTTTTTTCCCTTATTGCAATAATTTTGTCTGATTTTAATAACTTTTCATGTATACGAGTTGTGTGAATATGCATCATAATATGCGTAAATATACTTATTTGCGACGAATAATGTGGTTGCATAATGGAGGTGCTAAATTTTGATTTTTAATATGGGGCTTTGGTATGTATAATCATGTTCTTATCTCAACGTAGGAGTATTGGTGCAATATGATTAAAATTTACGAGGTTGATCTTAAATTGAATAATTCTGGAGTATAAATCACAATGCAGCTAATTCTATGTTAAAGATAGATACAGATTGTAGTAATCAATTAGGGAGTACAAATTCATTCTTTCATTTCTGTCGTATTGAGCAGAAAGGAAGAGATCATAACCCTAGGAAAAAAAGCCCAAATTTGTCACTTTTCATAGTACGTTAAACTCAATTCGCTCGGCGAATGCCGAGCACACGTACTCATCATTCAACATAATATTCTCATTCTTTGGTTATTATAGTGCCAGACAACACAAGATTTCAAAGAATTACTTGAGTTTTCAATTAATCTTAATCCGATTTTAGATTTATCGAGAACTCCATCATCACAATCACATACTTCAGTGCGGTAACTACAATTATCCATATACAGAAGGAAGTTCTTTTCGAACAACTCATTTGGAGTCTGTTTTGGAAAGAACTTCTTTCTGTCCGACTTAATTTCATAGTTCCTGATCAACCAAAAGACAGAAACCACACACTATCTACTTAGGAAAGGAGTTCTTTCTAAATCTTCCTTAAATTGAGATTTTACGAGAGATAACCCTTCTATTGCACTTAAAAATGAACATTTTGATATCTTTAGTATCACACAAGGTCATATATAGTATTTCATCTACATGAATACATTCATCTTTCGAAGTCTCTCATTAAATGGGAAGCTTCGAAAGATGAATCGTTTTATTCATACAACTTTAAATCTCGAACACATTTAGAGAGTGAGTATATCATTTTATTCTTGTTTTGAGTTTATTCTGATTCAAAATTGCAGTGAAAACAGAAGTTCACACATCATATCTGAATGTGAGCTCATCTATACTTATACGATCTCAATACCTCCACTCTAAGCATAAGAGGTGAAGTTATATAAAAATTATCAGATGCGTTGAAGTCTCAAAAGTATTGCCTGAATGCTTGTTTCATATTTGTCCAAGTAGTTTCAATGAATAAATGTATTGTTTTTTATAATTTCGATTTATTTTTAGAAAATATTCAATATAAACCGTTATTGTGTTATTTACATCTCATAAATTCTCTGTCTAAATCATATAAAAGCGCGTTTTACCCCTATGAATCAAGAAATTCATTCAATATTCATGGTATATTTATTAAATTTATACGATTTACTAATAATCAATATTATATCCTCATAAATTGCAATATATTTTGGTAATCTATGATAATCATATACAATATTTGAAATCAAATTTTCATTAGTTTAGGTTCCTTGTTAATAGTAAACCATTATATTTATTACTAATAATAAAATCTATGTGTCGTATTGAAATTCAATAAAATTACTTATTCGGTCCAAAAAAACAAATTAGATAAAATTTTTCTTTTTTTATGTAATTTTTGTTTTTCATTTTTCTCAAGATCCTAAGTTATGTTCTAACTTTTGACATCATATCCTATCATGCTAGGCTATATATTATAGCATATCCAAAAGGTAAGGAAATCTATCAGAGAAGCCTTTTTGACCTATCGTTGCCCTACCTCTGGAATTGAAAATATTCACAAATTTTTCACGATGACGCAGAAGACTGCTGAAAACAAGGAACCCCCAGAACATAAAAATCTCCCACCTCCAAGTTGCCCTGTAAAGGTTGGAAAGGTATTTAAATCAATTAACGTTATCGGATCCGGAGCATTTGGCGTTGTTTACTGCGCTATGGGTCACAATGGAGAGACATGTGCCATCAAATGTGCTGTCGATGATCCGAACTACAGAAACCGCGAAGTTAAGGTTTTTACTCGCCTTAATCATCATAATTGCATAAAGATGAGAAGCCATTTCAAATCGAAGGACAAGAAATATGATAGAACTATTGAGAACATCGTAATGGAATATCTCCCAGATTCCCTTCAGAATTATGATCGCCAGTTAGCCCAAAACAATGAACACTTACCGATTTGGATGGTAAAACTGTTTGCATACCAAATGTTCTGTGGTTTAAGGCATATGCATACAATTGGATATATTCATCGTGATATCAAGCCTGCCAACCTTCTTATTGACGTTGATGCTGGTATTCTTAAGCTTTGTGACTTTGGCTCATCAAAAAGGCCAAAACCAGGACAAACCTGCAAATCTTATGTCGGATCAAGGCCATATCGTGCAATTGAATGCATCTTAGGAAGCGAAACTTACGGAGCCCCCATAGATATCTGGTCTGCTGGCTGCGTTATTACCCAAATGCTTACAGGCGTTAATCCAATTTTCGCAGCAAGTTCTACTGAAGAATTGACCAATTCTATCATTCATTTCCTTGGTACTCCATCAAAGGAAGATATTCAAGATATGGAAGTTAAATGGAACCCACCAAAGATTCATAAAAAACTTTTAATCGAGTCTCATCTTCCAAAGCACACTCCAAACGATATAATCGATCTCCTTAATCATATTTTCGTCTACTCTCCAAAGAAAAGACTTACTGCAGAGCAATGTATGAAACATAAATGTTTTGCGGAATTATTTACCATGAAGACTTTGCCAAATGGCAATCCTATGCCAAAACTTGATGAAGTCCCACAGTAATGTGTTTGTTAACTTAATTTATTTTTTGAAAATAAATTCTAAAAAAAAATCTTTTGATTTATTAACATAAACGATTGTTTTTCAGGTTTTATATGTATTAAACATCCAAAAATTGGATTAAACTTAAAATGAAGCAATACCTATTGAAAAAATATCATTTCTGAGCACCATCATGCTGTATTTAGTTATTCTAAGCGCTCTATTAACTATTTTTAGACTCTGATAATCTAATTGACCAAATCAGATAAACATTATCAATATCGAAAGTCATTTTGCTTATAAAAGTTTGAAAATATAATGTGCTAATGCAAGTTAATATATTATATATCAGATCTTGTTGTAGTTTCATACGGCAAATGTCATTTTTCTCATAAGAGCTTTTAGAGTTGTTTTCATTGGGGCGTCTGGCTCAGGAAAAACATCTGTAACGCAAAGAATTGCAACACATAAATTCAACCCTACAGTATTTTCATCATCAGGACCTAAATCAACAAGAATTTTAGTAAATCGCGAAAATAAAGAATTTTACGTTGACATGATTGATGCTCCAGGAAATCCGAAATATCGAGAGTTGACTCTAAAATATATAGAAGATGCTACTGTAGTTATACTAGTTTTTGACGTAACAAATCCAAATTCTTTGCATGATGACGTTATGTATTGGGCAGCTAAAGTACATGAATCTAATTCGATTAATAGAATAATTCTCGCAAATAAAATCGATCTTGACAAAGAAAGAAAAGTTTCTACAACTGAAGGTATGAAGTTTGCAAATAAATTTTTATTTTCATACTCAGAATGCTCTGCATTGCATGGTGTTGGCGTAGAAGAACTTTTTGATGTAATATTATTTCATTGTATTAATTCTTGGAACGAATATTTCTTTAATAACGAAAATTCAATAACAAGCGATGAGAACGAAGAGAATAGTTATTATTTGCCATTCGAAATAATGAATCTACAAATATAATTTTTTTTTGTTTTATTAAATTTTTTTTATGTATCACTATATTATACTATAGCTTCGTCGAGTAATAGGATTTAGATTCCACATATTAAGAGCATTATTTGTATAAAATGGTAATATCAAAATGAACAAATTAATTATTATAGACACTTTAATTCAAAATTAAATGAAAACCGACCATAGCTCAGTTGGAAGAGCATGGGACTGTAGAATTGTGGTTATCCCGGGGTCACTGGTTCGAATCCGGTTGGTCGGATTACTTTTTATTTTTTATGATGAATTTATTATAACCATGGTAAACGATACCCAAGGTGTTGTTTATACTAAATATGACGACTTTGCGATATGCGGAACAAACGAGTCCAAAGTTATAAATAATGCTGGGAAAAATCTAGATTCATCTGTTATCTATATCCAAAATTTTTTCGAAGACCTACCTGTTAAGCAAATTGGTAGTGCAGCATTTAAATCAAATACAATTATTACATCAATACATATTCCGAACAACATTGAATACATTTTCTTTGATGCTATTTCTTATTGCACGAATCTTCAATACATATACTTTGAAGAAGGAAGTCATTTGTTTTATATTTCTCAAGGATCGATTTATTTTCTAGAAAAATTAAAATATTTACGTCTTCCCAGGACAGTCTCAGTGGTTCCGACTAATTTATCCTTGGGAGCAAATCCAAACTTTGAAACTTTGATTTATTGCGGATTAACCATCTTTCCAATGGGAACATTTATGAGATCCAGGGTACCTAATGTTCTTTATTGTCCAAAAACCATCTATGTTATTGATGATTATCCAAGCGATAATTTTGGAGGATGCGATAACCTAAAGAGGATGAGTCAATGTGACATTGTGCCTCCAATACCGTGTAATACAGTAAGAAATAACAAGCACAATTGTAATAACTTATTTTCATTTTCATATCTTTATGTATTTATTTTTCTTTGAATTATTTAAAAAATTTTCAGCTCTATCCGCAAAATATGCTTAATTCTGTACTTTTGAAACCAAATACCCTTGATTCTCATATTACATTAATTACTAGTAAAGTTCACACATCAACTCTTTTCCTGAAAAAAAATTCTGACGAACGTGTGAAAAATTGAATTGATGATGGTTGACATTTCAATGATTAAAAAAAATATATCAGTGTTTATTTGAAGACATGTCAATTTATTCAAATTTGATCTGATTTAGAATCAATTGACATTCAAATGTTTTTGTTGATTGTAGCAATCAGAGCTGAATCAGAGGTTTATAAAGCAATGAAAGCTGGTTTTCCATGCAAGATATGTCATTCATTACATAAAAGAATGCATGATGTCGATCCAACAAAAATAAACATCTCTCGTGATTCGTTTATAAAAGAATGCAATTCGATGCCGATGTCAACACGAGGTCTTTGTCATATCATCGCACTTGATTGGTATGATCACATTCAACAAAACAAAGACGTTCAAAATGCTTGTTCTTTTTCATGTGACTCAACAGTTCGAAAGATCAAAACACGCAAACAAGATAAACAAAAACCACGATCACGTCCTCGTAGTCTTTCACTCTTTAATTATCAAGATGATATCTGCCTTGCCTGCAGAAGTACAATACAGTGTATATTAGACATGTTTCCTGAAATTGTTGCCGGAATGCCTGAAGATCAAGCAAATCCGCTTTACGATGCTTGTATGAAGGTCCCAATGTTTGAAGATAGATGTCATCTTCTCACGCAAGAAAAAGTTTCAAGGGTATATAGTTATATTTCACAAAATATTTCTCCTTATGAATTTTGTTCAATGTTTAAACAATGCTAAAATTATAATAAAAATTCTGTTCATAATTTTATATTGAGTTCTTTTTGTAATTCATCTTGTCTTTGAAATTCAAGAGAAATACATGAGTAAATGATTTGATTTAGTATACAGCATTCAGTCTAGTTAAATGATTTCAAAATGAGATATTTTGTTAGTATTTGAGCACAATTATAGCCATTCGATGCTGTAAATGATTTTGTTCTATAAGTTTTAACATTCCCTCATTCAAAAACGTTGAAAATGTATTGAGTTCATTCAAACTCAATCATAAGGCATGTATAATTTGGTTTATAAAATGGTGACTAATTCAGGGAAAAATGAAGCTTAAAATACACATTAATTTATCATTAAGAAGAAAATTATATATATCGTTAGCATTTAGAAATAATTATTGATCAATTCCACACTGGGAAATCAATTTCTATATTATATTTTGTTCAGTGACAGATTCTTCATCGTTTTGTAGATAAAAATTAACAATTGTCAAATTGAAAACTGTAAAAATACAAAACTTGTGATAAAATGTCTATTAAAATACCCATTAGTATCAACAAATCTCATAGAACATACTTAAAGAAAAAATTAATTATTTATATTGAAAGAAATACAAGTGTGAATGAGGTAAGAGATAAATATGAAGTGCATCTGAAGGACACACTATAGCAATATGATGAAAATGTTCCGAAAACTTCAATTGCATAAAAAGAAAGCTCTGTGGTATGGCATGAAGTAATTCCTTTACCTGATATTCGGAGGTGCTTCAATATGGTGGGATGAGGAAAAACATACTCCCGAATTGTTTCGGTATCACAATTACAACTCGGCGCATGGTCGCTTCTATCGCAAAATGGTCTATTAGTTTCCATAATGAAATTATATTTAGATCCATCAAGTGATGAATCTATAGTAGTTGCGTTCAAAAAAGTTAATCCGTTTCCGACCTTAATTTGTATTTTTTCAACACTCACGAATGTTTTTGGAAACGATAATGTGTACGTATTAATTTCAGAACCTGTAGCTGCAAAAGCATAAGAAGAATTCCAAAAAAGCTATTATTGCATGTATAAATTTCACCGGTACGTGTGCTAGAGCATTGTATTTCACCATTTGAATTGTAATAAACAGAAATTCATCAAAAGTGACAGCTCTCAATTTTTTGACATTTGTAAATTCTAAATTGAATGAGAAAAATGAAATAATACTAAGCATAATACAATATTCTAGATTTAATTATAATTAGGAAAAAGTTAGTTTTGAGAGTACTTTTCATAGGCATATAGAATGAAATCTTCTGAAAAATAATATCACATAAACTCATATTATTTTCTAATATATAACTATTTTATATAAAAATCAAATTCAATGATCTTAAAAGCGAAGGATAAACCTCAAAATTTACGAATATAATGAGTGGGAATATAATGCTTATCTATCATAAAACCATATGAAATATCAATTTTTGCTTTACGCCTAATTTTTGACGACAATTAGCAAAAAATGTTAAATGTTAACACTCAGTCCATTTGAATATGAAAAATAAAATTGACTTTGATTAAATGTTTTTATTTATCATGCAATTCTTCTTGCGACCAAAGATTTGAATAAAAGTTCAAAAAATAAGATAGCTTAAAAAATAATGTACGGTAGTGTTTACTAATAGATGAATAGTATATAAATTCTATTAAAATGGATTTGATCCAAAAAAATATATAAAATTTGATCATAAATAAAATCGTTTTAAATTACTTCTTCATTTAAATTATAACAATTATTTTGGTTTTATATTTTTTTGGATCAAATTCATTTTAATAGAATTTATATACTATTCATCTATTAGTAAACACTACGTACATTATTTTTTAAGCTATCTTATTTTTTGAACTTTTATTCAAATCTTTGGTCGCAAGAAGAATTGCATGATAAATAAAAACATTTAATCAAAGTCAATTTTATTTTTCATATTCAAATGGACTGAGTGTTAACATTTAACATTTTTTGCTAATTGTCGTCAAAAATTAGGCGTAAAGCAAAAATTGATATTTCATATGGTTTTATGATAGATAAGCATTATATTCCCACTCATTATATTCGTAAATTTTGAGGTTTATCCTTCGCTTTTAAGATCATTGAATTTGATTTTTATATAAAATAGTTATATATTAGAAAATAATATGAGTTTATGTGATATTATTTTTCAGAAGATTTTGTGTTCTTCTTCAAAATTTTATTTTTTTATTAAAAAGAATCTTTACAAAATATCCATTTACTTTAATTAATATTTAAAAACGTGCTCTATCAAAAGTTCCAAAAATTCAATATTTTAGCTTTTCTGAGGTGTCACCTTTGATGAATTTCTGTTTACAACAGAATAGCCATCATTCTGGATCAATGTTTCTACAAGTTTCGTTTACTGAAGCAAAATTTTCGAAATTTTGTAAATACTTATGGGCGTCTTACACCCCCTATTATCAGTTCACTTCATTGTCAGAAATGAAAATTGTATTTCTCGAAAGGGATACTATCCCAAAGCACATCCAAATCCCCAGACCTAGCTTCCCACATGAATGGGTAGAATATGGATTTACGAAAGTTGAAGAAGTTTTCGAGAGAATCAAAAATGCTGAAATAATTATCGTAAATAAAGTTTTAATCAAGAGAGAAGTTATGGAGAAATGCCCTAAATTGAAACTTATCGCTGTTGCTGCTACAGGCATGAACAATATTGACCATGCCGCAGCAAAAGAATTCGGAATTACTGTTAAAAATGTAACAGGTTATTCCTCTGTTTCACTTCCAGAGCATGTTCTTGGATTAATATACTCTCTGAAGCACAGCATCCATTTGTGGGCTCGCGATCAATTGACTGACAGATGGAGCAATTCAAATACATTTTGTTACTTTGACCATCCAATTACAGACGTTAAGGGATCAACAATCGGAATCATAGGTAAAGGTAACCTTGGAAGCGAAGTTGGAAGGCTGGCTCAGCTTGTAGGAATGAATGTTCTTTATGCCGAGCATCGTGATGCCAAAACCATTCGCGAAGGCTACACGAAATTCGAGGATGTATTAGCACAATCCGACATCATTACTCTTCACTGTCCTTTGACAGATGAAACAAATAACATCATAAACGAATCTACAATCAACATGATGAAGCCAGGAGTCATGTTAATCAATACAGGCCGCGGAGCACTCATTGATTCTGAAGCAGTAATCAAAGCTCTTGAATCCGGAAAAATCGGATCAGCTGCCATCGACGTTATGATCAAAGAACCACCAGAGAAAGGTAATGTTATTATGGAAGCAGCAAAAAGGCTTCCAAACCTTATTGTTACTCCACACGTCGCCTGGTCATCAGATTCAGCTGTTGAGACCTTAGTTAACAAGGTTAAACAAAACATTGAAGATTTCGTTGCAAATTCTCATTAAATACTTTCTTAGTTTTTAATTATTACTCAAATTTTTGTTCTTTTTTGTTTTATTTTGGCTTTAAACAACATTCCTATCTATACTTGTGGAATATATGTAACTATCAATTTACAAATTACCTATGTTACTTTTTTATTAAAGATATAATTTGCTTATTAAGATGAAATATCATTAAAATCAGTTTGAAGTGCTCCAAAATCCTATGTATATCCTATGTGATTTATGAAAAGCAATAGAAACATTCTAAATTTTTCCAAAAAAATTTCAAATTTTTAAAAATGAACTTCAAAATTCAGATTTTACAGTGATTTTTTCAAATTTGAAAAAATTTTGGAAATACAAAAATATTTAATTTTAGACATATATTATAAATATTCACAAAATTTTAACCAAATTTGAAGATTCGAAAAATTATTAATTATCATATCATTTTTTAGGTTTAATTTGCTAACAAATAGAATAACATTGATATGTTTACTATAAATTTATATTAAAATCTATAATATAATATTTTCCAAAAATCAATCCGTTTCATATGGTAAAAATTGAAAAAATTGTGATATTTATACGGAAAAATATTAAATGAAAATTTTATTCATCGTCTTCAGGCGGATTTAGCATTGTATTAAGTTCTCCTTGTGCCATGTTAATTCTTGCCTCAAATTCCTTTGTATTATTATCATTCTTATCCATTGTTTTCAGTCTAGCCGTGTTTGCTGCGATAGATTTCTTCAATTGCTCGATATAGATCTCAGGATTAAATTCTCCGCTCTCAGCCTTAGCAGTAAATTCATCCATTTCCTTTTTAGCGCGTGTATACTGCGCTTCAAGGCCTTCTTGTACTGGAACTTTTCGAGATTTGCACATATTCATGATAAACTCGCCTTGTTCGATGAGATACTGAAGTGTAATAGGACAAACAAAGTTATCCCACTCCCAATCTGGAAGAATTGCGACTTGCGGAATTTCGACTTTTGGTTGAGGTTTCGCTGCTGGTTTTGGCTTCGGTTTCGGCTTGGCAGGGGCTTGTTCTTGCTTAGGAGATTCTGCTTGTGGAGCTGCTGGCTTCTGTTGCTGCTCAACTGCGGTTCCATTTGGAATTGAATGGATTTCAACGATTTTTGATTGAAATTCAGGCTTGGCAAATGGCTGCCTCATCTGTGCTGTAAATGTTACGTAGAATGAAGTACTGTCGTTGTTGAATTTTATTGGGATTTTGACTTCTTGTGTTGTTTTTCCTTCAAATTCTCTCATGTGGAGTTCGTATGTGGCTATTGGGGTCTTCTTAGTAATAATGAACTTTGTTTTCTGGATAATTTCGAAGACAACTTTTGTTTGTCTTAATTTCGCTGGTTTTGAAGTGTTCAACCCAGAAAATGAGCATTCATATTGACCAGGGACCTTGAATTTGGGTGTATAGTAGAAATTATTTTCATCTAATGGATGAGTAACTTTGATATTATAGTTGTAATTTCCTGGTGGGAGCTTGATTTCGTTAAATTTAATATAGATTGTTTCGGGTGGAACGGATTCATGGACAACAGGAATGTTCAATTGGAATTTCTTTAATGGTAAAACTGGACATTTTTGATTATTTTGATAAATTTGGGAAATATATGCACATGCTTCAACGGATTTGGCAATAATTTGATCATACTTTTCAGCAACTTGTGCAAAACCTGCACGCTGATAAACGATCTTGTCTTTGATTAAATTAACTCTTTCTTTATTAACGCGATCCATCAAAGAAATAAGTCTTTCGTTTTTGGGAATAGCAGCAGATGTTAAATCATTGCGACAAAGATCAAGTAACTCTGTGAAATCATCAATTAAAATTTGTTGTGACTCACCGTTGTGGCGAGCTTTAATAGCAGATTGAATGATGCTCATAGCAATTGCAAAAGTACGAGAAACATTCTTCTCTCGGATAGAAAGATCAGTCATTTAAAATTTTTTTTTGTTTTCGATTTTTTTTTCTCTTTCACAGTGTTGGCATTTTTCAAATTTCAACATAATTTTCGATTCCATTTCATTTGAAAGGACGATAGCATACATTATTAGAATTTTATCTTTTCACCCATCATTGGCGATTTTTCAACAATATTTTGATTCGAATAATCATAAAGAAATATGATATTACTACAAATCTCCTTTATATTAGTCATGTCTTATTGTGTGATCTAATTTTTCTAAAATCTCTTCAAATTCTAATATTCTTTTTGGATTTTTCTTGTGAGATATCTAAAAAAGACTTAAAAGTAATAATAACAAAATGGTTTAAATAAAAATTCTATCTATTTGCTCTTTTTTCTTACAACATTAGAAACAGTAAAACTGGAAGATCCACCAATAGAGAATGCAATGCATAGGTATGTTTCAGCAGCCATCACGACATCTGCCATCGCCTCCTCAGCCGCATCCTCATCATCATCTTCATTCGCTTTATCCAAAACATCAAACTTTTCCATCAAAACATCCCATTTCTGTTGGAAGTGAGGAATTCCTCCAGTACTTCCACTATTGATAACGAGTTTTCCGATGTTATCATCTTCGAAATGAATGTTAACGGAGTAATTATCTTCAGGAGCTTTGATAATATCGCAAAGACTAAATACTTCAACACTTTTATCATCAACAAAAGGTTCAGAAGAAGCGATGATAAATGGTGAATAAGTCATAACTTTCAAGAAATATTCACTGAATGATTCACTCTTTGCACCTTCGAATATATCACCTCCGTTTACTTCTAAGCTGCAAGAATCGAAATGATCGACAATGAAGATGACGGAATCGAAGCCAAACGCTTTAGAAATTGCATTCGGAAAGTTCAAAACGTTGCCACGCCATTGTGGGAAATAATCATGATTTGCCCAGAACTCTTTTAGTTCACCGAATAGGTCTTTGAGCTTAGAAACGAGTTCTCTGTCTTCGCATTCTTTCAGGAATCTCCTTGGCAAAGCTGCGGCGCTTTTCTGGATAACAATTGAATGGAAAGATTTAATTAGTTCTGGATACCATTGCTTGTAGAAAGGAGATTGAGCTTCAAGTAATAAGAATGTATGAGTAATCATCCATTTGAAGAATTCAGCAAGATCTGTTGCAGCTAATGCGGACATTCTCATATTAGCAATGAATAAAAAGTAATGATGTCTATCTCCTGTAATTGCTAACTCTAAGGCAAGATAATTGATAAACCTGGCCAAATATGTAGTTTTACCCGAATTATGTGGTCCGAACAAAAGAGCTTGGAAATTGTATGTGTTACCGAATTTATGAAGGTTTCTGTGTGAATCAATGAAGTTTTTAACAGCTTCATTAATTTCTTCTTCGTATTTGATAATTTCATCTTTCTTAGTGAAAGATTCGCGTTCAAGAATAGCTTTAATCTGATTTATGTATCTGATATCTTGTAATTGTTCAACGTTGAGACATGAATTAAAGAATTTTGCGGCTTTTGGAGGAAAAGCTGAAATTGCTTTTTCAACAGAAGATTTGTATTCAGGACCAATGAGTTCTTCAACAACTGAGTATAATGTAGCATCCTCATCCTCATTCTCTGTTTCCTCTTCTGTATTATTTTCATTATTTTGTGTATTTTCTTCTTCCTCTTCTTCATTTTCATTTTCATCATGTTTTGTAGCCATTTCTATCTCTGAATCGTTGATTTGATCAGAAGTAATGAGCTTTCTATTCTTTGATAAAATCGTTTCTTCTGGATTGAGACTTTGAAGATCTGATTCATCATCTGTCTGGTTTTCTTGATACTCTTGATCTTCTTCCTCTTCTTGTTCTGAATCAAATTCAGGGTTTGAAGCTAAATCATCTGATGAAAGTTGTCTTTGCAAAATTTCATCATCAACATCTGTAGTTCTTGGTTTATTTTGTCCACCAACTACTTGGCGCCTAACAGGAATCAATGACTTGCCTGTTCTCTTATTTGGATTTTGATATTCTGCAGCAGATGCTGCATCTGTTTCGTACTGTGTTGTTGACTCTATTAATTCAAAGTTTCTTTCAGGATTCTTTAAAATTTGCGGAATTTCAGAAGAAGTGAAAGTATCATCATCTTCTGTTGGTGGAACAATAACATCGTCATCATCATCTGATATAAGTCTGGTTTGCTTCGTTTTGTCAGAAATTTGTTGATGAATTGGCTGAAGTGGCTTTGTTGAAACGAGAATAGTTGATTTCGGAGTGATGTCTGAGATAGTTTCGATGATTTTACCTTGGCTATCGAAAAATGCAGTGATGTCTCTTTTCAAACGAAAAACGCTATTAACAGATTTTTTAAGGGAATCTAGAGAATGTGGAAACATAATTCTTACAGAATTAGAATCACTTTGACCTGCCAATTTAACATATATAAATGATTGGCCGATCATCGGCTTTCGCTGAGCCGAGCTTTTCATTCTGCGAGAAATTTTAAACGTCAACGATCTAAAATTTTTTACATCCTGGTCAAACTCTGTTACAAAAAGAACCTCTATCAAAAATGTCATATATTTATCTGAAATGCTACGAAATCGATAAAATTTTCCTCAATTTTATTCGTTTGGCATCTTATTCAATGAAAGCTAGATAAAAATGCAGGAACTATCCCATAATAGCATATGTCTTCATTTCGAAAGTGATGCGCTAATTAGATAAATGTTGAAATGAAAAGATTTGTAGATTTGCTTAAAATAATAAAGACGTTGTTGTTAACAGTTAAATTATAAAACATATTTTATTCTCTATTCTTTTTGTGGCTCTTGTTCTTGTTGAATTTCTTGTTCCTTTTGCTTTTCTTCAAGAGCTCTTTGTTTTCTTGCCTCCTTCTTAGCTCTCTTTCTATCTCTTGCATTCTCCTTTCTTTGGAATCCCTCTGGATTTGAGCGCTTCGAGAAAACAAGAGCTCTAACTTTTAAGAAGCTCTGATCGCCAATTTCGAATTCTACCTTAGCAGTTTCTTCATGTGTCTTCTCTAGAGTGACCAATTGTCTGCAATAGCGGCTCATTAAGACTTGTTGACATATGGATACTAATTTCAAGGCAGGATGCTTCGGAAGGTCCTTATCTGCATCGAAATCGTATCCCGTTGGAAGCCAGTAAACAAGTCTGCCGCCAACTTTAAGACAAACAGCAGCAACTTCGTATAATCTGAGTAATAATGGTAATAAAGGAGAAGGAGCATCAGAACGTTGCTTCTCTCTGATTCCATATGGTGGATCTGTAACAATTGCATCGAGTTTTGGCATCTTGTCGTATCTTAAATTATCTGATAAGAAATCTAAGCGGAAAATGCCAAGGAAACGATCTAAAAGTCCGTATTGCTTGAAGTTATCTGGAATGGAAACACCATCTTTCTTTTCTGGGCCTTGTTGCGTCATTGATTTCATATCGTAGTCGGAACCAAGAGCGTAAGCGCCAAGAGAGGCAGCAGCAATAAGTAAAGAACCAGATCCAACAAATGGATCGTAAACAATCTTGCCAGGACCAGCCAATCCTTGGACACAAGCATGAATTGCAACAGAAGACTCCATTGATGTCTTATTTATGAATTTACGTGTTTTTAGTGAGTATTTATCTGGCATTTCGAAAGCTCCTTTTGCCAATTGAATGCCAAAGTAATATCTTTCTTCTGTAATGGTAGATTTCTGTTCTGGAACACGGCGGATGTATACTACAATTGTATGTTTCGGATTCTTTAAATCTACGTTCGATGATAAACGTAAAGCCGGAATAAGTTGATTAATATAGTTTAATCTGTCTTCATTTGAAATTCTCCTACCAAATGTTTCAACCTTGATGGAATATGTTTCATCTCCTATTTGATGTTCGAATTTTTCTGCAAAAGATAAAATTGGTGCAAAATCTGGTCCATCGCAGTATAATCTTGCGCAAGCTTTAGTAACAATAGACTTAGAAGCGAATAGTTTTGCATCTTCATCAGTATTGAACAGTAAAACAATGAAAAATGAAGGTGGAGGAACTCCAATCTTTAATGTTGGATCTTCGAGCTTCATTTCGATATTAAGCGATTGTGCTAGGGCTATTAAATCTGAAATGACAAAATTCTCGTTTCTAAGTGTTAAATGGAAGATGTAACGATTCATTTTTTATAAAAACAAAATTGTTGTCACTTTTTGGCGAAAATCTTTTGTCAAAATATTTTTTTTTGAAAATGGAAAAAATTCGAGAATTGGCATTGATTTCTGCTGTTCTCGAAGCAGTTAAGAAATCAATGAAGATAGATAAACGACAAGTAGCAGAATTTTTGATTAGTTGTGCAAAAAAGAACAATTCTTTCGATGATTTCATTGCAACTTTGAAAACTCGTAAAGTAAACTTGCCAATTGATTTATCAAAATATATATTTGATGTTACTAAACGCCATTGCAATCAAGTTATTCCTGAAAACACAATAGTTCCAATTAGCAAAGCATCATTCGACGAACCAGACATAATGCAACCAGAGGTTGGTGTTATTTACAAAGGGAGAGTAACATCAGTTACAAATCAATGCGCTTTCGTTAAAATCGAAGGTTTTCATTCAAAACCAGTAGGAATGTTACCTGTTACAGAGATGAGCAATGATCCAGGCAGTCGATTATTAGCTACAGATATCGTTGGTGTTGGCCAACATCTTTTTGTTAAAGTTATAAAATCTATGACTGCTTCATTAACGCTATCAATCAAAGGAATAGATCAAACAACAGGCCTAAGTTATGAAGAAGAGGCTGTTATTGAAAATACTGCTCCCACAGGCGCATTTCGGACGATGAGATTATCATCTCCAGAAAGATTCGAAGTAGAGCAACTTATGAGGGCCGGAACAGTTACGCAAAACGATTTACATGATTTAGCCGGTGATTACGAGCAAATATCTTATTCCTCAATCCCAGAAACTTATTTCGAGATTGCATTAAACAAAACCGTTCCTCCTTTCCTACAAGGCCTCAAGACAGACAAAAGGAAAATCGAACCCTTGTATGTAGAATCCAATCCAGAAGGTTCTCTCGCAAGATCTGCTCGAGAAGCATCCAGATTATCCCGAGAGAAGCAAGAAACAAAGCGATCAACACAAGGATCATCGAAGTCAATTGTTGGACTACTCGATGACGAAGCACCATCAGTTATTCCGACAATTCCATTATCAGAATTACCAGAATGGAAAAGACAAACATTTGGTAGTTTCGGACCAACCCTTGAGAAGAAGAAACTACCGATATCCGATTACGAATCCCAAATAATTGACATGCTCTCAAAAAACAGAGTTTTTATTTTGGTCGGAGAAACAGGATGTGGAAAAACAACTCAAATTCCACAATTCCTATTAAGAAGTGGTATAGCAGGAGATCTAATGATAGGAGTAACACAACCGAGAAGAGTTGCTGCTATTTCTGTTGCTAAAAGAGTTGCTGATGAAACAAATTCTATAATTGGAGATTTAATTGGTTATCAAGTCAGATTTGAAGAAAAAACATCAAGAAACACAAAAGTCAAGTTTATGACTGATGGTATGTTATTAAAAGAATGTCTTGGAGATCGACAGCTTTCTAATTATGGTGTTATTATGTTGGATGAAGCTCACGAACGAACAATTCACACTGATGTTTTATTTGGCTTGATGAAAGAGTTGTTGTCAAAAGATGACAGGTTAAAAGTAATTGTTACATCCGCAACTTTACAGAAAGAAAAGTTTAGTTCTTTCTTCTTTAATTGTCCTGTCTTGGAAGTTCCTGGAAGAACATTTCCTGTAACAACTTCGTTCGCTGTCACTGCTTTCACTGATTATTTGCAAGCGAGTGTAAATACAGTATTAAAATTGCATCAAACAGAAGAAAAACCTGGAGATATTTTGTTGTTCCTTACAGGTCAAGATGACATTGATACGGCCTGTGAACAGATTTACCAAAGATCTAAACCAATGGAAGAAAACTTTGGTAAATTAATTGTTCTTCCAATTTATTCGAGTCTTCCAACTGAACAGCAAACAATGATTTTCCAGCCTACACCTCCTGGACAAAGGAAAGTTGTTGTTGCAACAAATATCGCGGAAACATCAATTACTATTGATGGAATTCGATATGTCGTTGATCCAGGACTTGTCAAAGAAATGAGATATGATCCAAGGACAGGAATGGACACTTTGGAAGTAGTTCCAATCTCCAAAGCAGCAGCAAACCAAAGAAAAGGAAGAGCAGGAAGAACGGCAGCAGGAAAATGTATAAGATTATATACAGAAGATAGTTATAACAATGAAATGAAAGAAACAACAATTCCTGAAATACAAAGATCGAATATGGCAATGGTTGCTTTGGATATGAAAGTTATTGGTATTGATGATTTGATTGGCTTCGATTTCATGGATAAGCCACCAACGAAAATCATCATCGACGCGTTGGATCAACTCTATACTTTAGGTGCTTTGGATGAAGAAGGAAATTTGACACCTCTTGGAAGAGACATGTCAAAATTTTCATTAAATCCACAACTCGCGAAGATGTTGATTATGAGTTCTATGCTGGGATGTTCCGAAGAAGTTTTGGTGCTTGTTGCAATCTTGAGTGTACAAGGAATATGGTACAGACCAAGAAAGAAACAAGCAGAAGCAGATGCGATGAAAGCAAGATTAAACAGAGATGAAGGTGATCATATGACATTGTTACATGTATTTAGAGAATGGCAAAAGAACGGAGAAAGAGAAGCATGGTGCAAAGAGAACTACGTACATTATAGATCATTGAAAAGAGCAAAGGATGTAATGACACAGTTAAGACAACAAATGGAACAATTCCATGTTCCTTTAGTTTCTTGCGGAAAAGAAATAATTCCAATTTTGAAGGCAATTGTTTCTGGATTTTTCGCAAAAGCAGCAAGAAGATACATGGGAACTGAGTACAAAACAATAGTTGATGACCACCCTGTTTATATTTTCCCTGGATCAGCATTGTTCGGAAGAGAACCTGAGTACTGCGTTTTTCATGAATTAGTGAATACAACAAGAGAATACATGAGAAATACTGTTGCTGTTGATCCAAGATGGTTGGTTGAGTTGGCTCCTGCTTTCTATAGAAAGGCATCTCCATTGGAAATGACGTCGAGAAAGAGAGCAGATAGAGTCAATCCTCTCGCTGATAGAAAGTCAGATAATAAGGATAGAAAGTGGAGAATCACTGAACAAAGAATTATTAGAATATAAAATAGATATTTTTTGTTTGTATTGTTATATAATAAATATATAGATAGCATTATTTGGAACATAATTGATTTATATGTGAATAATTTTTCCAAAAAAAACTGAGTAGTTATTTATTTCTAAATATGGCAAATCCTTATTTCAAACACTAAAATAATGATTACTATCACCTAAATAAGAGTGATCCCAAAAAATACCAAATTCAATTCACAGTAATCGTTTTTTGGAATTTTTTGGGCCATTGATAACCGAATAAAATTTCCAAATATTTAAAATAATTTGAGTGTAAATCATCATCTAATAATAACCTTAAACATTATAATTGAATACCATGTCATAAGGGTTTAAGTAAACACTTAAGGATGTGCTTATGCGAGTCTAAAAGAATAATAATTTTTGTATTCACACTCTCAATTTTTTTATTCTTTTTTGTGCGATTGGCCAATATAAGGCGGTATTACACTGATGATCATAACTAATTGTGTGGATGATCATATTATTCAATGAATAGAATGTCTATGTGATATAAAAATTAATATTTCATTATAATAATAATTACATCCTAAAATAAAGCGAGTTTAAATAGCTTAAATACATATAATTCACTTAAATCAATTAAGATTATCTTTTACAAAATATTAGAATAGCTTTATTTCTCGGATAATTTAAAAATTTTAATTATATTATCTCATAATATTCAAATAATGTGCTATATCAAATTTCCAGCCAGCCATTTCGGACTCATTTAAATTATTTCATTGATATTGGCACCATGTGAAATAAGAAGATCGGCAGTTTCTTTATTATTAAATACTGCTGCAATTTGAAGAGCGGTTTCTCCAAGATTATTTTTTTCATTGATATTTGCATCATATGAAATAAGAAGTTCGGCCGTTTCTTTACTATTAAATACTGCCGCAATATGAAGAGCAGTTTGTCCATTTTCATCTTTTTCATTGATATTTGCTCCATGTGAAATAAGAAGATTGACCATTTCTTTACTATTACATGAAGCTGCATGATGAAGAGGGGTTTTCTCATTTTTATCTTTTTCATTGATATTTGCACCATGTGAAATAAGAAGATCGACAATTTCTTTACTATTTTCATGTGCTGCAATATGAAGAGCGATTTTCCCATATTCATCCTTTTCATTGATATTTGCACCGTGTGAAATAAGAAGATCAGCAGTTTCTTTACTATTAAATGCTGCTGATTTATGAAGAGCAGTTTTCCCATATTCATCCTTTTCATTGATATTTGCACCATGTGAAATAAGAAGAATGGCGGTTTCTTTCATATTATTCAATGCTGTAATATGAAGAGCGGTTTCTCCCTGTTTATTTTTTTCATTGATATTTGCACCATATAAAATAAAAGATTCAGCCATTTCTTTATTTTTATATGATGCTGCGTGATGAAGAGCAGTATCTCCAATTTCATCCTTTTCATTGATATTTGCACCGCATGTAATAAGAAGAATGGCGGTTTCTATACTATTAAATGAAGCTGCAGTATGAAGAGCTGTTCGTCCATAAATATCTTTTTCATTGATATTTGCATCATGTAAAATAAGAATATCAGCAATATCTTCGTTGTTAAATTTTGCTGCAATATGAAGAGCTGTTTGTCCAATATTATCTTTTTCATTGACATTTGCACCATAGGAAAGGAAATATTCACAAAGGGCTGGAATTTCAAACAATGTGGAATTAACAAAACATTTGTTAAAATCGTTAGTTTGATCGAAATAGACTAAAAATGATTCAAGATTATGATATAATACACAATAAAATAAATCGATCTCTATATTGTATTCATTTACCAAGAATGTAACAAAATCAATGTTGTGTGAAATAATTGCATTAATCATGCATTGTTCATCTGGCTTTTGATATTTCAAACATTCACTCATGATCTCTGGATTTCGGCCTAAAAATGATAATTGAAGACATGTTTCAGTTATTTTTGAGTTAAATTTCGTTCTTAATAACTTGAAACAATCAACTGCTCCATAATAACAACATAATTCAAGTAATGAATATCTTATGCTAGCATTTGGATATAAATAGCTTTTAAGCTTTTGATCTCTATCGAATCCTTCACTTTCAATGAAGTAGATGAATTTTTCTTTGTCATTATACATAATTGCCCCGAAAATAGTATTTTTTGAATGAATTTCGTGATGTTCAGATTTAATTTCTTCGAAAAAATCAGAATTGCCTAATATAATTCCATATTCTTTATAAAACAGGAAGTCTGAAATAGGCTCAACATTGTAGATCTTTTTGACTTGATAAACATCAGATATGAGTTTGGCAAGAAATAAATATGACTTCGCATAACGATTATTATACGGAATGATATTTAAAATGTTTCTTATAATTATACATGGCACGATGGGCGCTACTTTTTTGGCGCCAGCGGCGCCGCCCGCGCCTCCGGTGGCTCCCACTGGTGGGGAGGAGACGATAGAAAAAGATATAAATTTTACTAAAAAAATTGAATTTTGGAAATTCTTTTGATTTTTTTGAATGATTTACGAAGAGATTGAACACATTTTGTACTATGAAATATCGTTATTAATAAATTTACTTCTTAAACATCTATTAAAATCGCAATTTTGAATATTTTTATGATTTTTTTTGACCCGATCACTTGCGCCCGCGCCCACTGGGAGGGGCGCTTGTAAAGTATTCAAAAATCAATGTAAACATTTCAATTTTTGCTCCCACCTCCCATTGGGAGGGGGGCATATATCTTGTAGTGTTCAAGTTCAAGTGATGAAAGTGCATAAGAAAGCTCCTTAATCATACCGATAGAAACAGCATTAGGGGCGCCAAATGGCGCTCGGTGATGTTTCCCATAAAAGCTTAATTTCAGGTATCCATAATCATAACCTGTCAGACGCAATAATTCATTAGCACACAATCATCGTTTCTCAATCAAGAAACGAAACGCACGATTGATTATGCTGGCCATTAAATTTTCATATCAAATAATTTACTACTTCAAGAAAAATTAAAGACTATCATCAACCAAAGCTTAAAATTCTCAGTGTTTACAACTCTCATACTTCGAATATGCATATTTCCAAAATAGCATGAAATTTTTTTTCATTTGAGCTCATTTTCTTTTGTTCTATTAACTAATACATGCAGTACAAGCTTGTTATACGTATACTTAATAAGTAAGGTCTTAAGGGAAATAATAAAAAAGAATTTTGCTATTAATTATATTAAACAATATTTATTTGTAATTTCGTGATAATTATATTTCTTATTACAAAGTAAAGGTATTTGATATAATGTTTGCCTTACAAAAATGTTTCCTTTGTCTTGCCACCATAGGTATTCTATTTTGTCACTTTTTGCGCCCGCCGTGCCATGTATACTTATAATATCTTGTGGAGGATATTTCTTTGAATCAATCAATTCTATTTTGATAATTTTATAAATCTTGTTTAATTCTTCTTCATTTTCCGTTTTTATCTGATACAATGCATTATATGAATCAATGTAGAATTGGCAGATACATCGCAGTTCATTGTATTTATTTGGGTGAATGTCTTGAGCAGACATGAAATAAAAAAAATTTAAAATTCCTTTATTTGCGATTTACCATGAAAATGCAGTCCAATATTATGGGTTAGATAAACTACTTGTAGTCTAATTTTGATCGAGTTTATGAAATGGTATTCGATTTTTAGGAGACTTTGAGCATCTCTATTTTGCAATCCTGAGAGCTTAAGAGAAAACAGTCTAAAGGGCATAAATGATATATTTGCATTGAAAGAATGCAATGCAATATCCTTAAAAACAGGAATTTTAGTCGTACAAAATTTGTAAACAAACACATAAAAAAGGTGTACTTATGTCCGTATGGTATAGCCGTCATATCTGCTTTTTAAGGCGGATTTTCAATGTTATTTCAAGCCTCTTGTCAGAAATTTGAATTAAAATCAGATGAGTAACTCTATAAAAAAAATTCTAAGATATTTATAATAGATAAGATCAAATACTGTATATATTTATTCTCTATTGGAAGTGTACACCTCCGTTGTTAAATTCCTTAAGTAAATTCAAGAAATCTTCGATATCTAACTCCATTGGACGAGATTGTGCAAGTACTGTAGTTCCAAGAACATATTCAATAAGCTCTTCTATGGACATCGTTGCCTGTTGGTTGATTGAACTTAAATACTTTTCACGGTTCTCATTAAGCAATGCGCGTATCTTCTTTTTATGGAATGTGGCCTGTAGTGTACGATTTGGACGTGTAAAACAGAGTTTGATAAGACCATCCCATTCATTAAAATCTATATCTGGCTGAACTTCACGTGGCTGTATGGAAACGACGATTGAATCGACTTTTGGTGGTGGAACGAAGTTCTTTCTTGAAACATTCATTACTAATTTAACAGAAGCGTATAATTGAGTGTTAATTGCAAGACGGCCCCATCCATCCTTGCCTGGCCTTGCAACAATTCTCTCGCCAAATTCTTTTTGAACCATGAGAACTGTTCTGCGGAATGTTGGTCGAGCAAGTAATTTAAAGACAATGGCTGATGATATATTGTATGGAATGTTAGATATACATAAATCAAACTCAGGTAAATCTACTGATAAGACGTCTGCATTGATAATTCTAAGATTTGGATGACGAGGGAATTTTTTCTTAAGTTCGACACACATTCTTTGGTCTTTTTCGATAGCAATCACTTCAATGCCTTCACGACTAAGCATTTCTTCTGTCATGTTACCATTACCTGGACCGATTTCCAAAATTTTATCTCCAGGTCTTGGTTCGCCTGCATCTACAATGTTTTTCACAACGACTTTGGATCTGAGAATGTTCTGACCAAGTGAATGGTCCATTTTGAAAAGGCCGCCCTTTGGTTGCGCAGACTTTGGAGCGACAGCCATAAAATTTTTTTAGAGCGCAATAGAGACAAAAATTTTGGATAAAAAAGTGTCAGACAAAAAGACATCATCAAGATTTTCTGATAAAAACGCAATTTCATATATATATCTACCACTTTTTCATACACAATTTACAGTTTCAATAACATCATTCATTTTAATTAGCCATAAAAGAGAAATTTGTTAAAACTTTTAATGTATGCATTTATCTACATATTCATATTTCTTATGAAGAATTAAATGTTTCTGCTCATTAATTGTTTCGTTTCACAATGTTAGATTTTTAATTGCATAATATTTAGAGAAAGGGACAAACTATCCAGTGTCACTTTTCAAAGGAATAAAAAAATAATAAAGATGAAATAATAACATGAAATCTTATATAAATATAATTTTATCTAAATAGATAAATGAATTAAGCAGTTTACAGTTATATATATTTAATGAGAGACAATATCTAGTTCTATGGTAGAAATGACTCTTAGACTCAAATAAGTAACACAGATAGAAAGTACTCAGTATAATAATTATATATGTACACTCAAAGTTAGTCGCTGCTAAAATCTTAACCTTGCATTTCGGGAAAATCTGACAAATGGCTCTTAGACTCAAATAAGTAACACAGATAGAAAGTACTCAGTATAACAATTATATATGTACACTCAAAGTTAGTCGCTGCTAAAATCTTAACCTTGCATTTCGGGAAAATCTGACAAATGGCTCTTAGACTCAAATAAGTAACACAGATAGAAAGTACTCAGTATAAAATTATATATGTACACTCAAAGTTAGTCGCTGCTAAAATCTTAACCTTGCATTTCGGGAAAATCTGACAAATGGCTCTTAGACTTGTTTTGATAATTAATTCTTCAATTATAATAAGGATGTCAATTCGGAAAATTGTTTTCATTTTAGGAGAATATAATTTTCCTTTTGGAAAATTTAAAAAGTGAGACGCGCAGGATTCGAACTTTTTTAAAAGTTGATTTAAATATATTCTAGTGTGGATTCTAAAGATAATATCATATTTAAAATAAGAATATACTAGTTTAGGTGGTATAATTTTTTTCGATAAATTTGAGAGTATGTACGTTTAGGGCATCAAAAGTGTCAATTCGCTCAGCGAAAGCTGAGCTAGCTTCGTTCTCGAAAAAATAGGGAAGGAGTGAAAGAGAGTGATACAGATGTTGACACATTCATATCATTTCAACAAATTTTGATCAAATTGAAATTCAATGAAATTCAATTCACTTCATATCCTTCAGTCAGTACATTGACATCCTTCTACATCACAATGATAACTCGTGCATCAATAGTTCTACAACTAACTCAGAAAAAACAAGATTTTTACTTCCAGCTTACAGCTTTTAAAAAGTTTCGATGATAAAAATCACTCTACTCTTGTTTATCGATATGTTGTGATAGTAGGTAAACGTATTCTTATCGATATTAATAAAAATATTTTTACGAAAATCTGAACCAATTACAGAGTTATTCATAAAGTTTATGATAACTGTAATTACTTCATCTTTGTTTTATATTTGAATAAACAATTTAATTTAATTTGCATAATTTTTTTTAGTTGAAAAACAGGAAACTTATTTGAGTTTGTATTATTTTTATCGTTCAATTCATTGTATATGTGAGTGATCCAGATATTTAAGATATTTAGAAAAAATTTATTAATTTGATTAACAAATTTTAATCAAAATAGCAAAAATCTATTTGATAGCTGTAAGCAAACAATAATTTTTATTTCAAGCAAAATCAATTATTTTCATCTAAACGTATAAAATTGTCAATTTTATGAGAATAAATTTAAAATCTCATGAAATATAAAGGAGAGTAATATTTTTCAATTTTCTTTTTTTCTTTGTCTCAAATATTTTCTGTTGGGAATTTTCTTGTTATCAAAAAATAATTTTAATATTTGTTTATTTCATTACATACAATAAAATTTTAAAAACTCTATTTGTTCACAAGAAAATTTTTTCCCTTCATATGAAGAAACATTTTGTTCTCCATTTGATGCTGAGTCTAAATCTCGATTTTTGATTTTTCTTCTTTCCAAATTTCTTTTTTCCAAATTAGAAGTTTAATTCAAATTTTCAATAGTTTATATATTTTCTCAAACCGTCTTAGATTTTCTCAATTTTTAGGGATTTTCTCTCAAAATACAAAAATAGTAATATCAATACATGTGTCTAATATACTTTAAAACCATCGTGATAAAATTCAAAAACGAAGAGTTCTTCTCTCCAAATTTTTTTCAAAATCAAAAAAATGAGATAAAAAAGTACGTTTGGAAAATTCATTTTTAGCATTTTAGGAATTTTCTCACTTTTCTTCCAAATTGACATCCTTAATTATAACAAATTTCCTCAAACTATCTGTATGTCATTCAATTCCCGGCCACTACATTCAATGATGGACCATTTCCTTCAAATTTTGAAATACCTTATTCAATTTGTTGTATGGAGCCCGTGATATTCAACACTATGGAGCTCCTCCAGTTTGGTATCCAAGAAGAGATAAAAGCTAGCATGGGCTACTCTCAAAAATGCAGGAAAGAATACTCCACGATCGAATACAAATGTAAGTATCCACAATGTCAAGCTAAATTCAAAGTCCGGATAATAGATCAAGATAAATATGAACTACTAATCCACTCTGACTCTCATGATCATTCTGCACCTCCGAAATCAACAAAAACAATATCCTCATTATTTGTCAGAAATTATCTTAAACATTACTTTGAAAACAATATGAATCATGCTACAGCTCAACTTAAGTGTTTCCAAGACTTAAATATTTCATATACAGACGAAGAGTTACTTTCAATATTTGCACAAGGTCCAGATGCATTACGTAAATTTGCTCAAAGAGCTGAAATTGTTTCCAAACGCTTTAGTTCGGATGAAAAAGTTTCTTTAGCTATCTTTGTCGAATCTGTTCAAGAAAGTTGTCCAGAAGATTTAATTGAATTTATCTCTGAGCCGGGAAAACTAGTTTTTTTATATGCACCTTTCGAAGCGAAGGCCCTTGGTCACCAAATTTCTACGTTTCACATCGATTCAACGTATAAACTTCTAAGGGCTAACATTCCATTATATGCACTCACAGGAAAAACAGAACATACTATTGTTTTTCCTTTTTTGTATTTCTTTATTTCTCCTGACACAAGCGAAAATATTCAATATTGTGTTTGTCGTTATTTTCAATATATTAATAGAGAACCCGAGATGATAAGTATGGACTGCGCCCCACAAATAGCCGAGGCAATTGAGCGAGGTATTCCAAACTGTCATATTCTTTGGTGTGGCGTGCATGTCCTTCGCGCCATATTAAGAAAAGCGGATAAGTTTAAATCACGAGACAATTTTGAAGAATTTTATAATCTAATGAAATTATTAGTATTCGATACTAAAGAAGAATCTCCCGAGGAAGAACAGAACCAAGAAGAAGAAAATCCTAGAGAGGAACCAGCTCAATCTCACTTACTTCAAGCAGAAGAAATTGAAGAAGAGGAACAATATGAAGAAGAATTCATCGAAAATGAATTTCAACCTTCTCAAATCTTTTTACCACGAGAATCTTCTGATGATCCAAACGATTCTGAATTTATTCCAGAAGAAGAAACGTTTGAAACAAGTGAAGAAGTTCCAGAGCACCTCACTCAAGAAGAAGCTGCAGACCTAGATGCAGTTTATGATCGAATTCTTGAAATTCTTTCCACTGAACCGAAAGCCCAAAAGTACTTCGATAGGCAATGGAGGCATCATTTAGATCGTTGGAATAAGCGCTATCGCAACGGAGGTGACGCGACTAATAACGTCAGTGAGTCACATTTCAAAGTTCTCAAGCATTCTTATTTCCCAGAGAGAAGGAATATTCGATTAGACGATTTTGTTGTTGAATTATACACAACGGTTGTTCCAGCATTATTGATTAAATTTAAAGTTCAATTAATCAATAGTGATAAAGTTGTTCGTATATTACGAAAAGCTAATGACCATGAACAAATATTGGAAAACAAAAAAGTCGAATGTTTGAAAATGCTTGAAGCAATATATTCAAGTTTGCAACAAGGATCAATAGATTCAAATCTTGTTTATTGTACTTTAAAGGTACTTTTAAAAAAAGAAACAATTAATGTAAAAGATTCAAATAATTTTTTATTATTATTTTATTAATTTTTTAAAATAAGGTTAATAAAAAAGTGACACTGGATAGTTTGTCCCACACTCTAATATTTACTGCAACTCTAACTGAGATTAATTTATTGATGAGTGTATATACTAATGATACAAAGCTCGGCCCAAAATACAAAGCCAAGCAATTGATAGGATCGGTGAAAATTCCACGTGCTTTTTTTTTTCAAAAAATTTCTATCGTAAACATGCCCCTTTTATAAAATGTTATAAGCTTCTTTTTATAGTACCAATGTCATTTTGAGAACTTTTCAAATTGCGTTATAGAAGTCATCGTTTCATCTTACTACAATTAGTATCTCAAGTAAATTAGTAATTTCAATTTGAAATCAATAACATCAAAAACATTTTTGTTATAGTGCCGATCAAAACAGAGAAAAACGGAAATTGCCATCAGTTATGTTTCCTTTGAAAAATTATATAATTGATCTCCATAGAACAATTCTTGCGACAAACTTTCAAAGTTAATCATTAGAAAAATTGAAATTAGTCATATATTAAATCGCATTTATTTTAGAAGACTGTCAAATATCATACAATATAAATCAAGCAACAATATTATTTTTTGGTTTAACCACATATTTATATCAATTTTCTGAGAGGACAATTTCTTTATTTTTGCCACTGAAAAATCAAAGAACATATATATGACATTCTGATAAAGAAATCTTTTTTCCGATTCAACAATGAGTAATTTTCAGAAAAAGCATTTTAGATTCAATTAGAGGAGTTAGTAAACATATCATGGGTACGGAGGCACTGCGCGCCTCCTTACCCATTATATGTGAATTT